TGCAAGTACAAAAATCCTTTTGAGACACTTTTCTCACCTGACTGATTTGTGCGTACATGGTGCGTTTGAATGCTGGGTGGAAGCTGAGAAATCTGTATTTCCTTTGGATTTAGTCTAAACTTGTGTTGATGGGACAAATATGTTTTTCTGTGGGAAAATAAAGCATCTCAGGATCCTGTAGTTACAAAAGATAGACCAACATTTAATTTTTAATCATCTAAAATTGTTTATTTAGCGATACGTGTGTTTATGAACCATGAAAACAGTCAAAGGGTTTTAACTAATGACTAATAAATTGCAGAGTGGTTCTCTGACTGGAAAAAGCAGGTTTCAAACTGGGAGAAGGCACGCGTCACTGGGCGCCTAAGTCAACCCATCTACTTCTACGAAGTCAGTCAGGTGAGAAAAAAGTCTCAAAAGGGTTTTTGGACATGTAAACTGATCTGTGTGTAATATAGTTTTGTCTGTGTGTGCCACGTGATTTGTATGTGTAGGAACTGAAGTTACACACCAAAATGTAAACGCAGGTTACAAATCAGGAGTTACACACACACACACACACACACAAATCTAGATACACACAAATCTAGATATACACACAAATGTAGACACACACACAAATCTAGACACACACACACAAATCTAGCTACATACAAATCTAGATATACACACAAATGTAGACACACACACACACAAATCTAGACACACACACACAAATCTAGCTACATACACAAATCTAGATATACACACAAATGTAGACACACACACAAATCTAGACACACACACACAAATCTAGCTACATACAAATCTAGATATACACACAAATGTAGACACACACACACACACAAATCTAGACACACACACACAAATCTAGCTACATACACAAATCTAGATATACACACAAATGTAGACACACACACAAATGTAGACACACACACACACACACACACAGATCTTTTGAGACTTTTTTTCTCCCCATAGTTTGCTTCCTTCTAAGTTATAATTATATTGAGCATCCCTGTCCTGAAATAGGTTTAGAATACGGAGGGGCAAAATTATTTTTGATACTTTATACATAATCAACAGTATGTAAACAGTGGCAGTAATGCTAACAGCAGAGCAACACAAGCCTGAACCACTGCTAACACAACACATTCTCACTCCAACTCACTCTTTCCAACTGTACATCTCCTTTAAGCCCCATGAGATGTCTAAGCTGCAGCTGTTACACACCTGCTTAGACTCTATCAAAACCTGGATGGTGGGAGCGTTCTACAGCTGAATGAAGATAAGACTGAGATCCTCATCTGTGCCCCAGACAAGCTGGTTCCCAAAGTCAGAGACTCTCTTGGTCAGCTTGCTTCTCACACCAAACCTTCTGTCAGGAATCTTGGCGTGACCTTTGACCCAGCTCTCACCCTGGATTCTCATGTCAGTTCTCTTGTTCGCTCTTCCATCTCAGGAACATTGCTAAGCTGAGTCCCATTCTGTCTCGCTCTGAACTTGAGACAGTTCTCCACACCTTCATCTCCTCACGCTTAGACTACTGTAACTCTCTTTTCACGTGTCTGAGCAGAACCTCCCTGAACCGTCTACAGGTGGTTCAGAACACCTGTGCTCGGCTTCTGACCAAGTCCTCCAAACACACCCACATCACCCCGCTTCTCCTCCAGCTTCACTGGCTGCCAGTCAACTTCAGGGTTCATTTCAAGATCCTGGTTCTGGTCTATAGGGCCTTACATGGACAAGCACCATCATACATTGGTGATCTTCTTAGTCCCTACACCCCCAGCAGGTCCCTGAGGTCCAGTGATCAAAGCCTACTGGTTGTGCAGCACCAGGCTAAAGACCAAAGGTGACAGATCATTTGCTGCTGTGGCCCCCAGACTCTGGACCTCTCTCCCCCTGAGCCTGAGATCAGTGGACTCAGTGGTCTCCTTTAAAAAGCAGCTGAAGACTCACTTGTTCAAGCTGGCTTTTGTATGACCTTCTTCACCTCTCTCTCTTTATTCTGCTCTCCCCACCAATTCCACCTTCCTCAGGATCCACTGATTTCCCTCTTTCCTGTTCACTCTCTCTCTTTTTTAACTTTTTTTAATCCCAATTGCCTATTTTTGCTCATTTTAAATATATTTTTAAACATTTTCTAAATGCTTTTTTATATTTTTACATTTTTTTTGTTTTTGTGAAACGCCTCGTGATTTTTATCTTGAGAGGCGCTATAGAAATGATACTTTCTTCTTCTTCTTCTTCTTCTTCTTCTTCTTCTTCTTCTTCTTCTTCTTCACTCCCAGCACGTCAACAACAAACGCTTGGTCAGCCACCCTCCACATCAGACCCCTGATGCCAAAAGTGCCCTTTTTCATTACTTATGTGCGAGAAGGGGTTTTCCCTTTTGTAACTGCAGATCCCAAAGCAGTGTAAAACTGACGGGATGAGATATCCACTGATGCAGCACCGAACCAGCTCATTTAACCGCACCTAAACCTTAACGTTTTGCTATTTATAACCTTCCCCCCACCCTCATACCTAACCTTAACCCTCTTGCTACCTAAAACGTTACTCTCACTGTGATCAAGCGTCTGTTTCCCATGCATTCTGACTGTGAATTTTCGTATTTGCCGCCCAAGGGGAACGTTAGAACATACCATCTGGCGAGAGGGAGGTTCGAAATACCCTCTACTTTTAACCTTCACCGTGGACCGTGGTAGTTGAAACCTCCCCCTCGCGTTGGCTCGGTCCAAACTCGACCAATGACGTGGCGGCTACCGCTGTTCACTTCATAGAGCCGGCTTTTAGAGCGACCGACACATCACTAACGTGTTCGCTAGCAAGATGGTTAAGGTTCGGATAGGGGTGAGGGGAAGGTTAAATAAGAGGACACGGTTAAGGTGAGGTACAATGAGCTTGTTTGGTGCCCTGGCTGTGGACATCCCATCGCGTCAGTGTAACGCTGCATTGGGATCTGCAGTCAAATAAGGGAAAAACCCCTTTTCGCACATAAGTAATGAAAAAGGGCACTTTTGGCGTCAGGGGTCTGACGTGGAGGGTGGCTGACCAAGCGTTTGTTTTTGACGCGCTGGGAGTGAGAATGTGTTGGCTAACGTCATTGTTGGACAAGAGGGAAACAATAAAGATTAATGTTGGAGCACACGTGGCAACATTCCAGCATGTATTTAGAACATCCAGACTTTGACTGAATATCAGAAAAATACATAGCTTGCTTAATGACTTATCTGGTTACTGAACATGGTACAGTTTCTAGCTTCATTGTAGAGGTATTGGGGTAAACCAGCCAATCAGCATGCAACTTATTTTATATTCATGTCCTGGGTGAGTGGCAGGGCGTACCAGTCTTTCCATTGTAGGGCTTTATTGTAGGGTTGTTTGGCCATTCATCAGGACTCCTGGGTTATTGTGAGCCTCAGCAAAGTTCCATATGATACACTCAGTTTCAAAGTTGTTCTAGAACCCCTTTAAATGCCAAATCTACTTTGGTGGAAGACACAAGTAAACGTTTACAAAGTTTGTTATTAAAAACTGTTTTGGTGTCATTTTTGACCCAAAACAACATAACTAATTGTTTGATTCCAATGAGCGCCCTACATTACTGCCTTGTAGCCTAGTTTAAGTCATGACTTTTTCCCAGACTCAACCATTTAATAACGATGTTTCAGAGCCTGAAGCTGATGCGAGAGGCAGACACACACGATTAACCTACAATCTGAGAGTTTATTAGATTTACAAAGTTTGAAAAGTGTTCCAGGATCCTGTGAAAAATGGACTGCCTTTGTAGGTTTTGACAGTTTCACATGGGAAAGAGCTGTGATCTCTGAAAGGTAGACTTTGGATTCAGGTGTGATGGGAGTGTAATTCTTGAAAATGTTTCTCTGACACTTAAAAGTTTTAGGTTTTGCCAAAATGGTTATTATCTCATTATCTTCCACTTTGAAGGATCCTAAACCTGGTGTTGAGGGAGTGGGGATGATGCTCAAAGTTAGCCCCATTCGTTTACATTACAGGAAATCTGTTTTTTAACTCTTTAATGAATATCTGTCAGAAAGCAGGGGCGTGTCCAGGGAGTGGCCTGGGGTAGCACATGCCACCCTTGGAATCTTATTGGCCACCCCGGGTGCCACCACACTAATTTACCTTTAAATAGGCTTTTCATTGTCCACAAAAGGCTTGAGGGTAAAACAAAAAAGCATAACCATCGGTGCCACCCATGCACAAAGTTGTGCCTCACCTGGGCCACCCCATTTTAAAAGATCTGGACACGCCACTGTCAGAAAGGCTTTAGTCTCTGAAACAAAATGACAAAAAAATATTTTGGACGTTTAAAATGTGTTTTTTCTTTGTGTCAATTTAAGTTTACATAACCACATAGAAGTTCGGAGATACAAAGTGTTGTTTTATACTTTGTGGTTATCTGTTCATATTTTTTTGTCTTGTTTACTTTTGTTTTTTGTTGTTTTTATGTCCAAAATAAAGATGTAGTCATCCTCAGAATTTGTGGCTTTTTTTTGGGGGGGTGGGGGGGTGGGGGGGGGGGGGGGGTGATCAACATGTGATGACTTGAAGATTAAAACTTTAGTTTTATCTATTTTTTATTCATTGTCTAAATTATTCAAATTGTCAGAATAAACTGATTCATCTTTTCATTTCTAAAGCTGGTTGTTCTCAGTGTTTTCCAGCGTTGTTCTAACATTTTTCCAGAGACTGTTTAGGGTAAATCCGATTGAATTAATAGACCAGTTCAGATAAAAATAGCAAGACCTTTTTTTTTGTTGTTTCCCTTTCAGCGTGGCGCCGCCTCCGCTCCGTGCGTAAAGACGCATTAAGAAAGTGACACCGCATCTGATAATCCAGACAGGAGGCTCTCTGCCTGTCATTAAGAGAGGAAGTGGAAACATCTCAGCTTCTTTTGATCCTGATATTTATTAAATCTGTTTAAGAATCGCGCCTCTTCCCACAGATCACAAGTTCTCCAGGGAGTCTGAGGTGAAATGTTCGGAGAGTTCCGGAACCGGAGGTCATTGGATGGGATTTCCGTGCACCCCGCGGCGCCTGAGAACGATCGGACACTGACGCGTCGGACGTCTCCAGCCTGAATGGACAGCATGTCTCCGCAGCAGCAACAGGACAGCCTGAGCCGAGGACAGCAGGACAATAAACGGGTAAGTGCGCCTCAGCGCGCAGAGGAGCGGGGTGAGAGGTCGTAAACAAATAAAGAAGCTAAATAGAAGGTAGGTTATTGATCTGATAAAGAAAACACTCATCTGCCAATAAATGATCCAAACACACCAAATTAATTACTGATTGGTTCGTTTATTAACCCGAAGTATTTAGTAACGTATTTACATTTAGATTTACATCACAGATACAATTTTAAATACTTTGATTTATTAAAAAATAACCGAAAACAATCTACAAAAAGATTAGATTAATGATGCATGTAAACTTTATTGGTGCTCACCATTCAATTTAATTTAAAATAAATATAAAAGTTTATTTTAAATATTTGGTTTTCCCATCATCCCATATTTGATTTTTTCTGTTGCAAACTGAATATTCTAGACTTTTATCATTGACTGTCTGGTACAACAGCTGTTTTAGTTTAGGAAGCACATATATGTGTAGGGTGCTGTACGGGAAAAATATTTGTATTTATCACATTTAGGTTTAGATAAAAACGTTTAAAATAAATGTTAATAATCGAGTCTGAATATACAATTTACATAACAACGTTTAAGACCAAATTTAATTATATTAAGTTAAATCTGAATATTTAGATTAAAATGCCAATTAATGAATTATAAAACTATTTTTGATCTTGTCCAAATATTTGGAAGAAAACGTAATAACATGATATAAAGTTGAAGCTGACATTTAGAATTAAATCTAAATATATAGATTTGTATGAAATATTTAGAATCAAAACTCAATGTATAATTTATATTTAATCTAAAGAGGGAGTTTTTATTGTACAATCTATATTTAAATCTAGTATTTTTAATCAAATCTAAATATTTAATCTTAAATTTCAAGTTTGGAATCTAATTCAAATAGGCAATTTAATCTTTAATCTAATATTTACAAATAAATATTATGTTATATGAAATTTATTTTTGAATCATCCAAATATACAATCTTAAATATAATTGTCTAAAGCAAATCTAAATATGGTTTTAAATTTAATATTCAAATTTTAATCTGAATAAGCAAAGTTTGAAATCCAAATCCTCTATTTAGCTTGTTGACGTGTCTATTTAAATCGGATGGTGTAAAACTAAACATGCAACCTTTAAATTCTGATCATTGTAAAATGAGAGTGTCCTACCAAAATAAAAGTGGCGTGAAGAGATCTTTTATCCAACATCGCAGAGTGCCGTGGATGTTGGAGTTTTGTGAGTTTATGTGAACATATAATTTATCAGCGTTCCAGTTCGGGTTCTGCTGCATACTGATGAACGATCCAGGATTTAACAGATTCGCACAACCTGATGGGGGATCTCTTCTCTCTGCTTTTATTTTGGTAAGCTGCTTCTATTTTAGTGGTTTGAAGTCTTGCTAAATATTTAATTTTACACCAACAGATTTAAATTTGATATCAAAAGCTAAATGAAGCAGTCATCTGTCACCAGTTGGAAGTTTAGCAACACAAACAGATTAAGGTTTAAAGCAAATTATCACCTGTTTTTTATGAACTACGCTTTAGCCAACACAGAGTTCTCACTTTGATTAATTATTGAAGGAAAACAGCTTGTTGAGCGTATCTGCTGATTGGAATAGACCTAGAAGCAACACATGGACCTTTCAGCCGCAGTTAAACCTGGCCTCCTCCATAGCAACCATGAACTGTTTTTAGTATCATTGAATGTATGTTGGTTGGTTGTTTAACCAACATTTTTCCATTAAAATGAATGGTTTACTTTTTATTCTACCTTGTAATGCCACGACTAAAGCAGAAGGAATGTTTCACCAGTCTGCGACCAAGTTGAGTCAATAATATTACAACGTGAAATGTCAAAAATGTGTGGACGTGTGCTAGGAATGAGGAGGACTCGTAGTTTCACACGTTTTTCTTTTTCAGACCAACGATTTAGGGTTTTACCTTGTGCCGTGCTTTAGGTGGGTTCCCATGTGATGAATGGAGTGGAAAAACATTTATATTTATAAACGTTTGAAAAGACAAGGTTACATGTGCTTTTAACGATCATCTGAGACATGATAGATGGTTATGTTTACTACCTTTGATCACTCTAATAGCTTTTATGTTTATGTGAAACCTTCAGCTACATCCAGTAGTGTCAATAGGGGTGTTTCCTACTATGGGGAAATCTGGGAACTTTCTGGAAAGGGGAAATAGACCGGGAGATTCGATGGATCGGTCATCTCAGCTGCTGTGTCTCCATACAGATTCGGCCCTTTCAGGACTGATTTAGTACATCAGCATCAAAAAGTGTCCATGGACTTTAAAAAGCACCACGAATTACTTTATTTAGAGAGGATTTCTTTTAGCCAAGAAATCTAGAGACAGTAGCCAAAGCAAAATGATTTTGCTCTGCATGTTGGTCTAGCCACACTTCATGGCAGCCTTAGCAGGACTACGAATAGCCAGGCACAATCTCTATTTTGTCTTGCCAACCACATAAGTTTGGTGTATTCGATGTTACAGCAACTGAGCATTAACGGGAGACTAGGCAGTTTTGGCTTGCTTTAGCACCACCTTGTGTCTATTTGTAGAACCAAATGCTAAACTTATCTCCTCGCTGTGCGTTCGTCTTTTTAACACTTAATCGATCGACTGAAATGTCTTCCCAGTCTTCATTAGTGTCTACAGGAGTGATTGATCACTAAATTAAACAAATCAGCTGTGTTCATGATCTAAAAGATGCTGGAAATGTGCTGGAAGCAAATTGCAGGGATGTCAGCTCAACCTTTTTTTTAAGTCCCACCAGAGCGGCCGGGCAACTCTGAAGTGGAATATTGTGGCCACAGGGGGTGATAGGGGCTGGGTGGCCTTTCACTAACCCTGTTAAAGGTCATTTAAGCACATACTGGATTGGCAGACCGGGGTGGTGGTCCTTCTATTTAAAAAGGACGACCGCAGGGTGTGTTCCAACTACATGGGGATCACACTCCTGAGCCTCCATCGAAAGGTCTATTCTATGGCGTGGTATGGGGGCCAAAATTAAGACTACTGCCCAGCAGCAGGAGGCTATATAAATTCCGAAGCAAACTACTGATCTGATTAATGATAAGCTGGCGCTGGTAACTGAGAGGCTGGCGCTGCTTACTGAGGAATAGCACCTTTTTCGGCATTATTACCAGATACGCTAGGGACTAGCAGCCCTCGGCTGGTCATTGACTGGTTCACACACTCCCTCTACTGTCTATTAGCATTGATAGGCTAGCGTTAGCCTGGACGGACTGGTGTTAGCATTGGAGAGGCTAGCCATTAGCATGCCTAGGCTGGCCACTAGCTGGATTTCCTATCCCCTTGACAGACCTTAAGCATGGATAGGCTGGCATTAGCATCGGAGAGGCTAGCCATTAGCATGTCTTGGAGAGTCACTAGTCAACTAGTGGCCAACTAGTGAGAACGACAAGCGGATTGGTGCTGCATCTGCAGTGATGCGGGCGTTGTACCGGTCTGTAGTGGTGAAAAGAGAGCTTCACCTTCCGGCTCAGCTCTCGATTTACCGGTTCGAGCTATGTTCCTACCCTCGCCTATGGTCACGAGCTTTGGGTAGTGACTGAAACAATGAGACTGCGGTTGGCTGGGTCTCTCTTAGAGGTAGGGTGCAGGGGCACCTCCAGAAAATGTTGATAGGGGTGGCCAGATGGGGCCAAAGAAATTTTTGGGGTGGCACACCAAATTGGTCCTTGTGCTAACTCTGGGAGAGTTTAGCCTGTGGCATTGTATTGCATTGCTCCTTTATTCGTTTTATTTAACAAACACTATGCATCCAAAACATTTAACTTAAATATTACAAACACAAACATTTCAGTTATTTAAATTTTATTCCAAATTTAATTTAAAAATGTATTTTTTTTCGGTGTAGTCACCTGTGTTGCTGTGTTCACAAAAAACTATGATGATAAAAAAATTATTTTTAATGGTGAGCAGCAGAAACATATGTATTTTTTTCTGATTACTTCTTTACTCATTAATTGTATTTGTTTATTTTTTGTTTGTTTTACAATTATTTCTTGAATAAATAAGATTAATTTATGGTTTGAGTGAACATTAATATGATTTATGAACACTGGCTTTTCCTGGGAGGGCCAGCGATTTTCTAGGGGTGGCCAGGGCCACCCTTTGGGGGCGCCCTTGATGGGGTGAGAAGCTCAGTCATCCGGGACGGGCTCGGAGTAAACCCGCTGCTCCTCCCCGTCAAGAGGAGCCAGTTGAGATGGCTCGGGCATCTGATTAGGATGCCTCCTGGACGCCTCCTTGGTGAGGTTTTCCGGGCATGTCCAACCGGGAGGAGACCCAGACAAGTTGGAGAGACTATGTCGCTCACCTGGCCAGGGAACTCCTTGGGATTCCCCCGGAATAGCTGGGGAGAGAGCAGTCTGGGCCTCTCAACTTAGGCTGTTGCCCCTGCAGCCGGACTCCGGATAAGCAGAAGAGAATGGATGGATGAATGGATTGGCTCAAGAAAATCACTTAAAAATTGGAAAAAGTTACAAAGTATTGCTTTAAAACAAAGATGGCGGCAGCTTGTCTCATTCCCTTCCATTCCGCTTCACCAACAACTCTTCTAATGTTACAAATACTGGTTGTTTTGGGTGACGTATGTTGATGCCGTTTCCCACCAATCAGCAAGAGTTAACCACCAGTTCCACTCAACAACTCCTCCGGGCTTTTCTGAGTCCCCCTTTTCAAGTACTCACAATGTTGATTCCTGAAAAAGACCTGTTGGGCCGGTCCGGTGAAGTGGAGACACGAGCATGCTGCGAAGTGCTGCTAAAATACCCCAAAGTTCTGATGGTGGAATGTTGGATCATCATCCCCATCCTGTGAAGGCTCCGTCAGTTAAAGGAACTCTGGTGTCCCTCTTGGCGGGTGCACTTTTGTTTTTCTTTTTGACAATTTTTATTTGTGAAAAATAATTTTAAAATATGTCAAAAGAGAAGAAGAAGAAGAAGAAGAAGAAAGTAGCATTTCTATAGCGCCTCAAGATAAAAATCACGAGGCGCTTCACAAAAACAAAAAATGTAAAAAATATATAAAAAAAGAATTTATTTTTTGTTATTCAAGTTTTTTTTATTAAGTTTTCCAAATTTTTATATACAAACAAAAACAAAATACCCAAATAACCCACCCCCCTTACAGCACAGGCTAACTCAAAACCACTCACAGCCACCATTCATAATAATTTCAAAACATGCTATCCAACAACTTTTATATCTTCTTACCAATAAAAAACAAAAATTCATTCCAGGTTTCAAAATATGAGTTTTTTCCCCTTCATTTTAGCAATTAATAATTCATAAGATGCAAGGGGCAGCAGTAGCTCAGGTGGTAGAGCGGGTTGCCTCATGATCGGAGGGTCATGGGTGTGATTCCAGCTCCCGCCAGGGGTACCCTGCTGTTGTGTCCTTGGGCAAGACACTTCACCCAACTTGCCTGTGTTAGTGGTGGTCAGAGGGGCCGACGGCGCCAAATGGCAGCCTCGCCTCTTTCAGACCTCCCCAGGGTGGCTGTGGCTACAAGTAGCTTACCATCACTAGCAGTGTGTGAATGTGAGAGTGTGTGGAAAGTGTCTTTGGGTGTCTAGAAAAGCGCTATATAAGTTCAATGCATTATTATTATTATTATTATTAATCTCCGTCATCGTTATTATCCAGTCTCTGTAACCAGGTGCCTCAAAACTTTTCCATTTACTCAGTATGACTCTAGCTGCTGAAATAAAACCTGTAAGAGCCAGGGCCCCTGCCGTTGTAGATATATTCGGTACACACGATAAGTCTCCTAGTAAACAAAGTCGAGCAGTTTCCGGGAGCGGTATACCCAACCACTCTTGCATTGTATTCAATATTTTTTTCCCAAAAAGTTTGAACAACATAGCATGACCACATAGAATGAATAAAAGTACCTTCCTGCCTTTTACATTTCCAGCATAAATTGTTCTTCATTAAACTCATTTTATAAAGACGAACCGGTGTTAAATAATATCTATGGATTATCTTATAATGTGTCAGCTTTCCTCGTGCTTCCCTGGTAAACCATCCCATTTTGGACATTATCCTTTGCCATGAATCTCTGTCCAACCTTATGCTTAAATCCCTCTGCCAGACATGCCTTAAGCCATCACAATTTTCATATAATACTTTGGCTGCCATCTTATAAAACATAGATGCTGATTTCTGACTGATACTCTTCTGCCAATGTTAAATAGAGCTGTACAACATTGTCCTCTTCAGGCAGCTCCTTAACCAAACTGTCCAAGCTACTTCTTATTTGGAAATATCTCCATAAATTACCTATATTATCCACGTTAAGTCTCAAGTCCTGATAAGATTTCACTGTTCTGTCGTCGATTAGATCCTCTAATTTTCTCATGCCCCTCCCTCTCCACGTATTTCAACAGATGACTTCCTTTCCCACCCTTATTGCTGGGTTATACCAAATTGATGAATAGAATTGTTTATACTGGGATATCTTTAACCATTTGTGGAGTTTGATCCAGATATTTTTAGAATGCTGTAATATTGGATTTTTCTCTTTATACTCATAAAAAAAATTTAGAAAATGATTAAAAATATATTTAAAATGAGCAAAAAATACACAATTGTGATTAATTGTGTAAAGAAAGAGAGAGAGTGAATAGGAAAGAGGGAAATCAGTGGATCATGAGGAAGGTGGAATAGGTGGGGAGAGCAGAATAAAGAGAGAGAGGTGAAGAAGGTCATACAAAAGCCAGCTTGAACAAGTGAGTCTTCAGCTGCTTTTTAAAGGAGACCACTGAGTCCACTGATCTCAGGCTCAGGGGGAGAGAGTTCCAGAGTCTGGGGGCCACAGCAGCAAATGATCTGTCACCTTTGACCTTTAGCCTGGTGCTGCACAACCAGTAGGCTTTGATCACTGGACCTCAGGTACCTGCTGGGGGTGTAGGGACTAAGAAGATCACCAATGTAAGTTGGTGCTTGTCCATGTAAGGCCCTATAGACCAGAACCAGGATCTTGAAATGAACCCTGAAGTTGACTGGCAGCCAGTGAAGCTGGAGGAGAAGCGGGGTGATGTGGGTGTGTTTGGAGGACTTGGTTAGAAGCTGAGCACAGGCATTCTGAACCACCTGTAGACGGTTCAGGGAGGTTCTGCTCAGACACGTGAAAAGAGAGTTACAGTAGTCTAAGCGTGAGGAGATGAAGGTGTGGATAACTGTCTCAAGTTCAGAGCGAGACAGAATGGGACTCAGCTTAGCAATGTTCCTGAGATGGAAGAAGGAAGAGCGAACAAGAGAACTGACATGAGAATCCAGGGTGAGAGCTGGGTCAAAGGTCACGCCAAGATTCCTGACAGAAGGTTTGGTGTGAGAAGCAAGCTGACCAAGAGAGTCTCTGACTTTGGGAACCAGCTTGTCTGGGGCACAGATGAGGATCTCAGTCTTATCTTCATTCAGCTGAAGAAAGCTCCCAGCCATCAGTCGTGTAAATTTAATGCAGATACCTTTAAACCTTCTCAAGAACCAGCGCATTTCTGGGCTCCAAATCTTCTCACTGTACAAGAACCTTGACCAGATCCACCATGTTTCAGCTCTCTTCAATTAGAGAGCCAATAAAAATGCAGATTTAGGGTACAGTTTTTACATTTTTTTTCTTCACACTTGCGTCAAAAGCATTAAAAGGTCTCTGCACTAAGAATGTAACCCGGTCTTGTCTGAATGCAATAAAAACCCAATAAACTTGGATTGCATCAAGCTACTTAAGGGTTTTGTTTAAAACAAACACTGAACACAGCAGCTTTACGTGACTGCCGCCAAGTGGGTTAATCTGACAAACAATGAAAAATGTTATGCAACTGCTGTAATCCCACAAATCCTTCTACAATTAGATTAAATCAAACACAATGATCATCCCGGTGGTGTGAATAGGAATATAGGATCCTGCGAAGAACATAAATAATGTTTCAGACTTTTTCTCTCTTTTATTCGCAGAGGTTTCACAGTTACCGGCGTCAGTCTGCGCCCTCGTTGGTCATCACAAAGGCCCTCACCAGGTCCAAGACTGTGTCCAGGTACAAATATCATCACCAGATTACAATTACTTCTGTATATTTGGCACTTTTGGTTTTAATGAAAGATAATTAAAGCCTGATGTGGCTGGTGACTTCCCCTGAGCTACCGTCATCGCTATTGGTCTTGCTTCTTGTTCGATTTGAGAGGACATCTCTCGAGGCCAAATTTAATTGTTGTTTCAGTTTGCTACAGTTAAAAAAACAGCATCACGAGTGCCTCCAGTCTAGTAATCAGTCAGTCTGCCTGTTTAAACCTGGTAAGGTAGTGTGTACCCCTCTGAGCATGGAGTACAGAAAGTTGAAGACAGTTGTTTCAGGAGAGGAGCTAGACGACCATCTTGAGGCAGCCTTAAGGCTACAAGACCATCTCCAACCACCTAAACACTAGAAGACCATCTCCATGCAGAAAAAGACTAGAAGACTATCTCCAACCACTTAAAGACTGGTAAACTATCTTCAACAACTTAAAGACTAGATGACCATCTCCACGCAGAAAAAGACTAGAAAACTATCTCCAACTACTTAAAGACTAGAAAACTATCTCCAACCACTTAGAGGCTAGAAGATTATCTCCAACCACCTGAAGACTAGATGACCATCTCCATGCAGAAAAAGACTGGAAAACTATCTCCAACCACTTAATGACTAGAAGACCATCTTCAACCACCTAAAGACTAGACGACTTTCTCCAACCACCTAAAGGCTAGAAGACCATCTTCAACCACCTAAAGACTAGACGACTATCTCCAACCACCTAAAGACTAGACGACTATCTCCAACCACCTAAAGACTAGACGACTATCTCCAACCACCTAAAGACTAGACGACTATCTCCAACCACCTAAAGGCTAGAAGACCATCTTCAACCACCTAAAGACTAGACAACTTTCTCCAACCACCTAAAGACTAGACAACTATCTCCAACCACCTAAAGACTAGACGACTATCTCCAACCACCTAAAGACTAGACAACTTTCTCCAACCACCTAAAGACTAGACGACTATCTCCAACCACCTAAAGACTAGACGACTATCTCCAACCACCTAAAGGCTAGAAGACCATCTCCAACCACCTAAAGACTAGACGACTTTCTCCAACCACCTAAAGACTAGACGACTATCTCCAACCACCTAAAGGCTAGAAGACCATCTTCAACTACCTAAAGACTAGACGACTATCTCCAACCACTTAAAGACTAGAAGACTATTTACAACCACCTAAAGACTCGTTGACCATCTCCAAACAGAAAAAGACTAGAAGACTATCTCCAACCTCTTAAAGACTAGAAAACTATCTCCAACCACCTAAAGACTAGACGACTTTCTCCAACCACCTAAAGACTAGACGACTATCTCCAACCACCTAAAGGCTAGAAGACCATCTTCAACCACCTAAAGACTAGACGACTATCTCCAACCACTTAAAGACTAGAAGACTATTTACAACCACCTAAAGACTCGTTGACCATCTCCAAACAGAAAAAGACTAGAAGACTATCTCCAACCACTTAAAGACTAGAAAACTATCTCCAACCACCTAAAGGCTGGAAGACTATCTCCAAGCAGCTTGATATTCCTCTGATTACAGTTGAACATATTATTGTGATGTTTATGGTCCATGGACCTGGTCTAGGGCTGAAGATGACCTCCCTGGGTGGGGACACAAGAAGAAAACCAACCCTAAGTTAATTTTATAAAAATTGTAGATGGGAGCAAAAGTTCCTGATAAACTCCAAGGCCAAGGAAGGAAACTTTGTGATCACATCATTCGTCACTTACTGAACTGTAATGGTCTTCTTCTATGAATCATGATCCCATCTGTGGATGGAGCTGAAACATCTGGAGGAGAAACCTTTCAGGCCTGAAATTGATGTTTTCGCAATAGAAGTGGACTAAAATCCGACAAAAATCCACAAAAATCAACAATCAATGATGAACAAGAGTCTGCTTCTAGACCTGCAGAAACTGAAAAAAAGGGACACACAACAATACAACAGGAGCAAGCTATCACTGCGTCTACCTGATGAGGAAATATAAAATCAACATTGTTTTACTGAACAATCACACAATAATAACTCACAGTGCATTTAGTGCCAACTGCAGCCTTAAGACATGTGTTGAACGTGCCCAAGCCCATACTTATGAGAGCACCATGTGAGCACCTGTGTGTACACGCGCTTTGTTATGTAAGGTTTCTCTATAGGCTACAGATCTGCCCCCCAAAGACGTGTAGGAGATGGAAGGAGCTCCAAGTCCCAGAGATCCAGGTGCTGCCCCAGAGCACAGGGACCCCAGGGAGACTGCGACCAGAAAAGCCCCTGCCCCCTCTCGAGAGGCGCAGAGGATCGCCCCGGGGGGGGTCACAACCAGCAGCTGGCAGAGTCCCGGGAGATATCAGCGGCAAGCCCACAGGCCCGCCCGCAGTCTCCCACCCCCCAGCCGGCTGAGCCCGGAACCCAGCTGTCCGGGACCCAGGGGCGACCACCCCCGCTGGGGACCCAACAGAGCCCAGGGACCCAGATCCCACCAGGCAGCCACCGGGATTGATCGGAAAGACTCGCAAAAAAAATAAAAATAACAAAAATCCGTCTATCTTCTTGATCACTTGGTTCATATGAACACCATCACAGAACATTGTGTCTTCTTGAAGTTTTACTAAAACAACAGCAGCACTCCATGTATTTATTTGCTGCACGGTGGCGCAGTGGTTAGCACTGTTGCCTCGCAGCACGAAGGTTGCAGGTTCGAAACTCGGCTGCGGCCTTTCTGCGTGGAGTTCCATGTTCTCCCCATGCATGCGTGGGTTTCCTCTGGGTACTCCGGTTTCCCCCACGGATCACAACATGCCCTATTGGTTATAAATTGTAAGTCGCTTTGGATAAAAGCGTCTGCCAAATAAATAAACATAAACATTATTTGATTTGATTTTCTCCTCTAACTAACAGATCTCTTCCTGGAGACCTCAGCCATGCAGGCTCTCAACACTGAAATGAAACCTCTCTTACACACAACTGGAGGAAGTGTTAGATCCACTCTAATAGATAATCCTCCTGTTGATAAACTAATCAAAGGATCAGGCATCTATTAATAGTCCCTGCCTTTGAGCATATGGTCTGGGAAAGTGAAGAATAAGTAACCTGGTTAAAAAGCTCCTCCAACAGGGACGGCTCATAAATGGCATCCCCCCTACCACCCGACGGTGGCTTACAAGGGTCAAATTACTCATGCCTAATTAGTTGTCTTCTTCTTTTGTTTAACCAAGACCTCATCAGCTAAAAACCTTCTAATGTGTTCAAGTACAGAACAGGCTGCTTATTCATCTCGTTTAGTTTTCTAAGGAAAAAAAAATGTCTGATTTTCCAACAATTTCAAATCAAACCCCAGTGGGAGAAATGGTGGGATAATCTTACTTGCCTGGGTTCGTGTGAGATAGCACCACTACGTACATAGACTAAAGGTAACTTTCTGTTTCTTCAAAATAAAAGACCAACATGAACCCCAAACAGGGTTACAACCTTTTCTGTTTAACGGCGGAATCCTGGAAACTGATTTTCGAGCATCATCCCTGGATAGAGTCAGTAATCCCAACGACCGCTAATTCAGGGACGATATTTAACTGCACCACATACATGTTACATTCCTGTTTCATTGATGCAAGTGTACTAATCCAGTCAATGGAGTCCTTGTTCTGCACCAAATATGTCAAATTCTTGAATAGTGGACTGGTTGTACATTCACACTTACACAACTGCACAGGCTGAGGGTTTTCCGACTCTAAAGCTGATCCGTAGCCTCATATTTCCAGGATTAGCTCCTGACTTTGACATATTTAGCTCGTTTGATGGACAGTTCTTGGACTAGGGAAAAATCTAAGAATAGAGACCTTTTAGATATGACCTTTTGTTGAAGTCAGCTGAACACAACTTCCAGTTTTCCACCACAAAGGATGGCTTATCGCTTTGACAGTGATGTTACTCTGAGATTCTTTTTAAACAAATCTGTGCAGCTTTGTAGGAACTGCTCTTTTTCCAGTGTATCCAGTAAAAGTGTCCTCTGTGGCTGGCAGAGAGATAAAAAACCAGTAACGCCAAAGAGACAGGCCAAAAGAAAAGGAAACCGGTACTTTTAAATATATTGGAAATGTATCGACATCGGAATGTTAGTTCCAATAAATCACCAGATGGAACCCTTAAAGAGCAAGTCACCCCCAAATCAACTTTGCTTTGCTGATAAACTATGTAAATGAGTGTCTGATCGTACTGTTGACAGATGCCATCAATAATTTGGCGCTGTAATGCATCTTTGTTAAAATTTAAATATTCTGCCTTAAACTGTCAGTGCTGCACCCCCTTCAGGTAAAAAGTCTGCACTGCATTTTAATTTTAATCTGCCATTGCTATTGGCTAAGAAGTATCAAATGACATCAGCTGGTACCATATGATGTCACAATGTCATTGTGAACCTGTATTTGTGTGTATTTGTTAGCAGCTCCGCCCTCTCGGTCTGCTTGGCAACAGCATTTTTTGTATTTTTCAAACAGGAAGTGGGTGTGGAGTAAGATTCTGGTAGGGGGTGACTTGCTCTTTAACTATCCATGGAGAGTGTTGGTTCTTTACCACAAATAATATCGTGATTGCGATAATCAGGAATATCGCAATTACAAGTTTTTGAAATATCGCCGTTTTTCCAATGGAAACAAAGAGGTTTCTGGGAAATGTGGTCTTAAACATGCCCTCTGTTGTCTGATCATTTCTGTTCCAGAGACAGCTTCCAGGTGTCCGTGTGTCCAGAAACATGTTCGCTAGTCCAGTCCCTCCTGACCGGTTCGGACAGGTTCTTCCTCCTCTACGGACATGCTCAGCTGAAGACGGGCATGCAGACCCAGGACAGACACCTCTTCCTGTTCTCTGATGTTCTGGTGATCGCCAAAGCCAAGTGAGCGCAAGCATGTGTTTATTTCTCTCTATGCGTTTCGTTTATAGTTAAAATGTGTGTGTGTTGTCAGGTCAGCGAACCACTTCAAGCAAAAGCTCAGAGTGAGTGTGTGTGAGATGTGGATAGCAGGCTGCATGGACGAGGTGTGTGAAGGAAGCACCAGCCCGGAGAGGAGCTTCGTCATTGGCTGGCCCACCTGGAACTGTGTGGCTGTGTTTAGGTAACACACACTCTCTCTCTTGCGCGCACACACCTGATGGTTTGAGTTTATTATGAAAACAGACTGAATGACGTTCCAGGTTCTATAAAAGTTTCGTTGATTTTCTGCTTTTTGTCGAGTTTAAAAGTGTTTATTCTTCACCTGGGAATGTGCCGACGACGTCCCAAACCCGACTTTAAATGTCAAAGAAACAGAAAACAGACTTTTCAAAGTTTAAGTGCATCCGTGCTGGTTGTTTTAGGACCAGAACTCCTATCCAAAGACCTGATCAAATGATCTGGAATGACTTAATTTAAGGAACATCCAAAATTCTAAAACATTTGTACCGAACATTTTCTTCCAATCAGATAAAAGTGGAAGAGAAACAGTTTTTACATTTTTAAATGTCTCTCAAATATACGGTTTGAATGTCTGATGCACCCATAAATGATATAAGAATGGAAAACGTCTTTTTCTATTTGCGTTGTTCAAAAGTAAAACCAGAATATCCTGATTTGTGTTTTTTTAAACTAACAGAAGATTTTGATCTCTCAAGCTGTTGATCTGAAAGTCCCGCCCACTTCCTCACACCCAATCATAATGTTAGTTTTTAGCATCAAGTGTCTAACCACACCCAAATAAAAAAGTAACAATCTTATTTGATGATTTATGCAGTTCTTGCAGTGTTATTAGTGAAGGAAGTGTTTCTGTAATTTACATGGAGGAGGCGGGACTTAAAGATTGTACTGCAGCCAACCACTAGGGGGCGTTTTGGGTAGAAATTCCAGGTTCAACTTTAATGTCTGAATAAGGGTAATCAGTGCAACCCAACAAAGACATTTATAAACCAGTTCAACAACTTAAAGTCTACATTATTGCTCATCTATAAAGACAACCATCAGTCCAGTAATTGCCATGGAAGTAGATTTTAGTAAAGATGCACCAAGAGCTGATAAGCACCAACAGGATTTAGCCAAAATTTCTAGAAATTGTAACGGAATGAAATGACTGTTTTTTTCCTCCTCTGACACAAGACTAGTCTGCATGAGATATGGTCTCAAGGTCTCATGCATTCCTTCTAACCTGCTTATTTTCAGCTCAACAGAAGAATGAAGAATGAACTCTTTTCTTTTAATTAATCAAAGTACTCTATTTTAATAAAGCTAATCCATCAAAGTGGTAGTCAATAAATAAGATGTGACCGATCTGTGAAATCAAAATATTAATTACTTTATTATAATCCTATAGAATATAATAAGTAATTTGACTTTAAATGTTCCAACAGGACTCATTTCACGTAGCGTTAAAAGACGACACATTACTTTCACTGATTCAATCAGAATCTGACAGATCTGACCGAGGCGTGGTTCTGATGGTGTTTGGTAATTTTTCATTCGACAACAAACCATAACATCTGAAGTATAAAACTATGCCACGTCACCACCCCTCCTAGTGGACACTTATGTTGTGTTGTCTGAAGTCTGTTGCATATCTGTCTGAGGTGTTTTTTTGCAGAGCAAAGCTGCCCTCCCGGTGGAGGGTAGCTTTGAAGTGCCTTTTTTTTCCCTCCACCTGAACCAATCCTCATGTTACCCTCTCATCTCTATTAAGGTAGCACGACTCAGGGTTGCGAATGACCACAGTCATCAATTCTTGTCATGCGTCTTGCCCATGTATGTCTGATCTCTGAATTGTGCGTACTGAAACTCTAATTTCCCTCTGGGATTAAGAAAGTATCTTTGATTTGATTGGAAGTTTGATTTTATGCCCCCATCTCAGAAGGAACACTGGCAGAGAGTAGGGGCTCAGTTTGCTGATGATCCAAAACATGGCAAAAAATCTGCTCACCTTAAGGCATTTATTAAATGAAAGTTGGTGCAGAAAGCCACCAAAACAAACGTGCGTGAGATGGATTTCCTGGTTTCGTGCTAACTGATAAAGCAGTTCTTATTTGGGATTTCTGTGAAAGGGACAAGCTTCGACACAAGCTATCCTGAGAAATGCTAAAATAAAACGTTCTGCATCAACAGATTTGGTAATAGTTCTTGTTTGTTTTCAGCTCAGCTGAACAGAAGGAGAAGTGGCTCTCTCTACTCAAGAGGTAAAGTTCCCGCAGGAGTTGACTCCTTTCACTAAGTGAGCAGTGCGCTAAGTCAGCTGTTTTATCTCTGCAGTCGGATAAAAGAAGAGAAGGAGAAGGAGGATTCTAAAACCATCCCTCTGAGAGTGTACGGGAAGGGGATCAACACCTTCGCTGTTGTGAGTTTGTTACTGAGTCCAAGATGCAGGGCTATTCAAGTTCGGGCCTCGAGGGCCGGTGTCCAGCACGTTTTAGTGGCTTCTCTGCTCCAACACACTAGATTCAGTAGTTGACTCACCTGTGCAGCGGCTCATCAGGCTCTGCAGAAGCCTGTTAATCACCAGCTGATTGAAATCTGGTGCGTTGAAGCAGGGTTGAAATCTGGTGCGTTGAAGCAGGGTTAAAACTAAAACGTACTGGACACCGGCCCTCGAGGCCCGGAATTGAACAGCCTAGATTAGCGTCTCCAGCGGTCACAGATGTGTCACCCTTCTTTTAAACACAGGAAACCCACAATGGTCACCAGGTGAAACCGTTATAACCTTTTACTGAAAGCCAACCAATAACAACGGGAGTTGTTTTTGTAGTGATGTTCAACAGAATAATAGTAGAAATGTATTCACCTACCCTGGACCTTATATTTAGTTGTTTTTATCCAACCAGGTCGTTGTCTTGTGTCCAGAGGATGACCTGCTAGAGACTGTGGCTCATCGACATGGATGTTGTCAGATTTCAGTCTTACACTTTTATGATTTTGCTTCCAACAATAGAGTCCTCCAAGCTGTCTTCTACTTAGTCAACTTGGACTCAAAAAGACTTTGACCTTGAAGTTCACCTTTGATCTCTTTGGAAGCTGTTCTAGACTCTTTGGTTGCCATTCTTATTATCAAACTCTTCATTTTGTCATCAGTTTTCCTTTTGTGTCCACATCCAGGGAAGTTGTCTACAGTCCTGTGGACTTTACACATCTGAATCTGTCTAACTGTAGTCAGAGGAATGTAAGGCTTTGCTTAGAGGGTCTTCTAGCCTTTGGCTGATTGGAGATGGTCTTCAAGACATTAGCGTCTTCTAGGCTTTGGAGATGGTCTTCTAGTCTTAAGCTGATTGAAGATAGTCTTCTAGTTGTTAGCTGTTTGGAGATGGTCTTATAGTTGTTAGCTGTTTGGAGATGGTCTTCTAGACGCTAGCTGTTTGGAGATGGTCTTCTAGTCTTAAACTGATTGAAGATAGTCTTCTAGTCGTTAGCTGTTTGGAGATGGTCTTATAGTCGTTAGCTGATTGGAGATGGTCTTATAGTCGTTAGCTGTTTGGAGATGGTCTTCTAGACGCTAGGTGTATGGAGATGGTCTTCTAGGCCTAAACTGATTGAAGATAGTCTTTAGTCGTTAGCTGTTTGGAGGTGGTCTTCTAGACGTTAGCTGACTGGAGATGGTCTTCTAGTCGTAAGCTGATTGGACATGGTCTTCTAGCCGTTAGCTGATTGGAGATTGTCTTCTAGTCATTAGCTGTTTGGAGATGGTCTTGTAGCCGTTAGCTGATTGGAGGTGGTTTTCTAGTAGTTAGCTGTTTGGAGGTGGTCTTCTAGTCATTAGCTGATTGGATGTGGTCTTATAGTTGTTAGTTGATTGGAGATGGTCTTCTAGTAGTTAGCTGTTTGGAGGTGGTCTTCTAGTCGTTAGCTGATTGGTGGTGGTCTTCTAGCCGTTAGCTGTTTGGCGGTGGTCTTCTAGTCATTAGCTGATTGGCGGTGGTCTTCTAGCCGTTAGCTGTTTGGCGGTGGTCTTCTAGTCGTTAGCTGATTGGCGGTGGTCTTCTAGTCATTAGCTGATTGGCGGTGGTCTTCTAGCCGTTAGTTGTTTGGCGGTGGTCTTCTAGCCGTTAGCTGTTTGGCGGTGGTCTTCTAGTCGTTAGCTGATTGGCGGTGGTCTTCTAGTCGTTAGCTGTTTGGCGGTGGTCTTCTAGCCATTAGCTGTTTGGCGGTGGTCTTCTAGTCGTTAGCTGATTGGCGGTGGTCTTCTAGCCGTTAGCTGTTTGGCGGTGGTCTTCTAGTCGTTAGCTGATTGGCGGTGGTCTTCTAGTCGTTAGCTGTTTGGCGGTGGTCTTCTAGCCGTTAGCTGTTTGGCGGTGGTCTTCTAGTCGTTAGCTGATTGGCGGTGGTCTTCTAGTCGTTAGCTGATTGGCGGTGGTCTTCTAGTCCCTAACTTTAACATGTTGGTCAATAATATTTCTAATCTCCTGAGACAAGCATGTGTTTAGCTTTCTGCGGTCCGTGTCCAGTGCGGTACACACACCCTGATATCAAACAGCACTGTAAATACTTTATAGCCTTTAAACAGCCAGACTGACTGATCTTATTTCAAAAGCTGTCAGATTCTTAATTATGTCTTCATTATAACTTTAACAGCTTCAAATGATCTCAGTGACCATTGATTTTCTTTATCTACAAACTTCCAATAATTTTATCCTTGTCTGTATGTGGGATCCAGCTGATCACTCAATCCTCCTTTAATTAGACCAAGACGCTCCCAGTCAGCAACTCCGATTCAACCAATGAGGTGATTCGGTTGGCCCTGCAGCAGTTTGGCATCATAGTGAGTAAGAAACAGCACCTACAATTCATATTTGTGAGATAGACATCAGTTGGTGCAAAATCTGACTGCTTTCCATGGACTTATTTTCTTAGAAGCTTTTCTGCTGAGCAGACGCCTCACGCCCGCTGTGACATTTACACGTGTTGTGTTCTGACTCTTTTCCGTTCAGGGAAATGTCAAAGACTTCCAGCTGTGGGTCATCTCCAGGAGGGACAACACGCCCTATCCGCTCATCGGTAGGAAACTGCTGCTGCCTGATTCTATTTTCAGATATTTAAACATAAAATATTTGTATAATTCATTTCGTGGATCAAGTACACTGGTTCCATTCATTGGCAGGAAGCGGCATGACCTGGGGGAAGCTGTCATGATGTTATGTGTCCTCTCTCTCAGGTCATGAGTTTCCCTTCAGCATCCAGATGAATCATGTGAGAACCTCAACATTTCACGGAGGAGGTCGGGACGCTCTTGCTCTACCTTCGGACCGACAGGTGCAGGTGGAGCACCTACATCTGTACAAGCAGTGTCAGTTCATCCTCAAACCTCGGCCTGTTGAACCGCTGCTGACACACATACCTGCAGGTGAATTCAGTTCCGACTGGTGGCAGAAAAATAAATCACACCTTTTTTTATTTCCAAATCTGTGACACTGTTTTCTGATCAGATTTCTCTCAGAAGACATTGAAACAAAGGCGTTCCCTCATCTCCTGGGCCTTCTGGAGAGGCTCCTCCCCTCACCTGCATGAGTCGCAGCTGGGCGGAGCTCCTCAAGGCTGTTTGTTTGGTCACAAATTGAGCATCGTATGCTGGGAGAACACTCTGCCCAAACCGGTCATGGTCAGTTGGGATGTCCACTTCTTATACGCTCTAATTTTACCAGAACTTATGCTAAGTGAAATCACATCTGTAATAATGTGTCCCATGTTCATTTAGCCAATTAAATGGTTCAGTTTGACCAAAATTAGCATGACGAGGCTCTTTTAGCCATCATATAGGCCTACATTTCCAACATAAGTCAGCATTCTTTTATTAATTTTTAACATTTGGGAATTCATTTAGTAACAATTTTAGCTCAGACAAGGTGACAACAAGTTGATGTATTGGTGGAACTTCCACCAACGGAACCCCAAAACGTTCCTCTGGCCAACATGGAGACATAATTTATAAAGTCCCATCTCTAGTCCATAAAGTGTATAACTAAACAACTAAAACCACAATGAAAAGAAATGTTAAAGCTTCTGCAAATAGTTCATTAAAGTCACCGTGGTAACACCAGTAGCTGGTTATAGTCACCATGGTTACCACACACCCGTATCTGGGCTCTCCTTGAACGTTATCTCCATGAAAAAAACTCAAAAATAGACAATAAGCCTCAAACAAACAGCTGTTGTGAAAAAACCTCCAAGTTGAATAAAAAAATGTCCAGGGGTCTCATTTGTCAAACATTGTGTAGAATCCTTACTAAAACCGTACTTATGCTCAGCAAAAACAATGTACTTATGCCAAGTAGGTTTGTGATCTATCAAACATGGAGAACGCATAGCTGCACGCAATCTCCTCTTCATAAATCAGAAACTATCTAGAAAGGTTCTCAGCTGCTTTTTAGTCACATCCCGCCCTCACCACGCCCACTTCCTGCCATAAATAGTCAGTGCAAAGTGCCTCGTGGATCTCATGCATATACATAAGCCGTCTGTTGCAGCGCTCCGCCAATGACGATGGCGACCGTAGATCAAGGCAGATCAAGGCAGATCAAGGAAGTGCAATTTCATAGAAGCAGAAATTGAGGTACCTGTGGGTGAGGTGGAGAAATGAAAGGAAGTACTTTTGCAAAACAAATAAGAGAAAATCCACGGAGTGGCACAGCGTTGCTGAAGCCGTCAATGTTGTGAATTCTTCAGAGAGATCTGTGGTGGATATAAAAAAAATGGTCCAATCGGGATTCGATCCCCAGACTCTCAGGTGAGAGTCACACTCCAAACGGAGATCTACCCTGTACAAGTAGCCAGGGCGCATGATCAGTCGGGTCACAGTGACAGGACACACACACTGTCACAGATGCATGACATTCTGTCTCAACCTGTCCCCCTGCTGATATTCTGCATTCCGTATTCTGCGCTTCAGGCTGTGTGTGTGTGTGTGTGTGTGTGTGTGTGTGTGTGTGTGTGCGTGCGTGCGTGTGGGGGGGGGGTCTTGTTCTGTGTGAAAACGAAGCAGTACAAGTGATAATGCTGCAGGATTTCATAATTGTATCCTTCTCAGCAGCAGCACTGCAGGTGCTCTCCATGTCCAACGTGTGTAAGCCAGGACCTTAGTCAACTTAAAGCTGCGCACATTTTTCCGCTAAGTTTTCTTTCATAAATCCCAAAGTTTGCGTGGAAAGTTGCTTACGCAGTTTTCCGACCCCGTTTTGTGCGTAAGCAAGCTTGATAAACGAGGCCCCCGACCAGTAGCAGAAGGCTTTGGTCATCACGCGTGTCCATTTTAATGTTTTTACAGTTTTATGTTTGATGGGTCACAAAATAAAAATGCTTTCCACTTTTGAAGAGGAAAATCAGAGCTGAGTTACAAATGGAGCTTAAAGGAGACGAAGCGTGTACTCTCTGCACAAAACAAAAGTCCTAGACTACAAAGTGACACGCTGGATGAAGGAAGACAAAGTGAAAAGTTTTGGGAAGCATCATCGCTCTCAACTCTATGGGAAAACCTAAACTTTGTACAAAAACATCAAAATTCCAGTTGAAACTCATCAAATTTGTCCTTTTATGACTCGTTTAAACATTAAATGATGCTGCTGTAGTGCAGTTGGCCTGAGCTAGAGAGCGCCCAAGGAGGTTTGGCGCGTTTTGCCCAAATCTTGTTGATCAAACGGAAATAAGTTAGCAGTTTTTTTTGGCGTATTTTGTCATCTCCATATGATGTACTGCTACCAAAACTTATGGCACACTATTTACGACTGAGACGCGTATTTTGAAGTATAGTTTCTGTAGGTTTTTCTCACGGTGGCTGAGGAAAAGTGAATCGAAATGTGCGAGGAGAGCAGAATATGCGTTAGCCGAACTGTTCCACAGGGCCGCCGGCTCTAGCGCGTTCCTGTAGGAGGCAACAGAGAACCCTCAGGAGCTTCATTGCAGTTTGTAATTTCAGGACATGCTGGTGTTCCTGTACCATGAGGGATCCTGGACTCGGGGGATTTTCCGTCGGCCAGCGGGGGCTCGGGCTGTCAGGGAGCTCCGAGAATCTCTGGATGCCGGAGAGGTTCAGCTTCCTTTCACGCGAGACCACGTCTTCGTCGTAGCTGGAGTCTTTAAGGTACCCCTTTTCTAAACGTTCTCCTCTGCATCCCTTGGTACTTTATTGACCCACATCTGCAAGCAGAGATTATTGAGCAGCAGGACAAGCTGTTCATAGGCTTGTTAATGTAATCTGGATTATCGTTGTATATCATCTGGAGGGGATTAGAGGTGAATCACCTGAGACCACTTTGTTTTCATTACCTTCATTAAGTCTGCTGTAATTCATCGGTCACAACATGAGAAAAACGACGGCAAATAAAAGAAACGGCGACAAATTGAGTTGTCCTCCTGCAGGATTTCCTGCGCAGCCTCCCAGGAAGCTTGTTGGGATGCGAGCTGTTCGAGGAGTGGCTGGACGTGCTGGAGGACGACGACGAAGAGGAGGAGCAGGTGCACGACGTAAAAAGGTAGCTCATCATCAAAAAACCCACTCTACATTTTGGGATGTTTATTTTCACGGCGTGGCGTCTTCCTGCAGGATGATCCGTCGGCTGTCCAAAGAGAGCTCCCTGCTGCTGCGTTACCTGCTGGCGCTGCTGCACAGCATCCAGAGCCACTCTCAGGAAAACCAGATGACCAGTTTTAACCTATCAGTGTGCATCGCTCCCAGTTTGCTCTGGCCTCCCGGGGCACCCTGCAACCCTGAATTGGAAGGAGAGGCGACTAAAAAGGTAAACGGAGAGGAACAGTGCAGTGTTCCCAAAGTTTGATTACAGTTAAGAAATCATTCAAGCAGGAGAGAAGATCTCAAAACGCAGCACAGCAACCCGGCTCTCCGGATGCAACCCGGTATTCCTGATTTACCGCACGTCGTTTTCCTTGTTGGAATGCTGACTTTTCGTTAGAAGAGTTTGACTTTTAGAAATATGGTTGGAGAACCGGGCGAAGATTTCAGAAAGCAAGCTTCTTAATGTCCAACAGCTGCTTAAAAATGACGCAGTCAAGCCACTTGGTAAATAAAAACGTCACTCACTTATCGTGTTTCACATTACTGCCATTTTTTTATAGCTTTTTTCACTTTTTGAGCATTTGTTATGATGTGTAACCATGGCAACAAGCTGGTTTACATTCAGGAGCAGCTGATTAACATGGGAAAGGCTGAAATAATACCTCAACTGAAGCCACAAAACCCAAATGAGCTAAAACGCAAGAAGCGTGGGTGCAGAGCGGGAGCAAAACGGAGACAGAGAAAGAGGAAATTCAAACCATCTCTTCCATCGATCATAATGGGCAATGTGAGATCATGGACGTAATTTTGGGGGGGACAGGGGGGACATATGCCCCCCCCCCCCCACACACACACACACTTTTTCCAAAGTCAAGTTTTGACCCCTGCACTTTTTACCATCCAAAAACAATATTACGCTATATTAAATTGACTCTGGTTGAGCTCTAGGACCAAGCGGAAAACAACCGTTTGTGTTGAAGCCTGTTTAACATTAGAGCATACTGTAAAGATACACACCCCCACCCCGTGTCCCCCCCACTTCTAAAGTGAAAATTACATCCATGTGTGAGATCACTGGCCAACAAGATGGAGGAACTCCAAGCCCTTTCAAGGACTCAGCAGGAGTTTCGGCAGTTTCGGAACCGCTGGAGGAGATAATGCAAAGAAGGATTCTCCAGAGAATCAAGAAAATGATGGACAACCCTGAGCGTTCTCTTCACAAGACTGTCCGACAATGGAAGAGTGTCTTCAGTCAGAGGCTTCTTCAGTTTGGCTGCAACACTGACCGCTACTGGAGATCCTTCCTGCCAACAGCCATTGTAATATACAACAACTCTTTGATGACTTGATTATTATTATTATTATTATTCTGAGCTACTACAGCAATCAATTTCCCTCTGGGATTAATAAAGTATCTTTGAATTGAATTCCGCTGCTCTTGTGTTGCTGCAGGTTTGTGAGTTGGTGAAGTTCATGATCGTACACTGTCCTCAGATTCTCGGGGAGGACCCTACATCCCTGTTCGGAGGGCCCCCGCGGAGACTCAGTGGTGAGCAGACAGGATCAGGTACAGCAGCAACAGGAATGAGACAAAAGTGTCCCAAATGTATTTTACATTCTTCAGCTGGTCCAGTTTTCTTGATTTATCCACAACGGTTTGGAGAACCAAGCTTTGAAGAGTTGTATTGGTCCACATGTCCTGTCTCTTCTCTCCTACATCAGAGTCCTGGGTCTACCCTCTGACCGACTCGTCCTACGACAGTTTGGAGAACGAGTTGGATGACTGCAGCGTCGGGTCGCCGGGCTCCTACAGCCGGAGCCATACCCAGCCCAAACCGCTGCAAAGCAGCCTGGACTCTATCCTCACCTTCAGCGACTACGAGCAGGACACCGACCCAGAGGCGGTGCAACCCAAAACAGGTGTTGGGCTGCACCGACGAGACGGATGCAGGCGACAGAACACATCAGGGGAGGACGTCTCCTTCCCCCTGGACTCTATGTCCTTGGAAGGTGGACGTGCCCAACGGCGCCGGTCAGAACCGGCTATAGCGTACACCGCCAGGTTCTGTCCGTACACCTCAAGCAGCGCAGACGAGCTTGCTGCTGAGGAGGATGATGCTGAAGGCGAGAGGAAGAGCGGGGACATACTCGCTCACACACATACAAGAGGCCGGAGCAGGTCAGGAGTTCTGGAGGCCAGCTTCTCGAGCCTGTCCTCCACCTCCCCAGCACCCACCCGCTCTTCTCTCGACTCCCTGGACTCTCTCGGCACCGACCCGACCGAGGCAGATCCACTCCGCATCCCCCCTCCGTCCCCCTTCAGCTCCGGCTTTGCTCAGACCTCCGTTGAACACGCAAACAAGGTTTACCCTAAAGACTGTACCCCTAAAGAACCCGTCCACTGGGGGGCGCTGAAAGGCTGCATTGGGCTTCACCCGAACTCCTGGCTGAGGAAAGACCGGAGGCTGTCCCTGACCCAACAGGAAGGACCAGACGTGGAGCGGGAAGACGTAACGGGGGTGAGTCGGTTAAATAGAAATAACAATGTTTAGGAATGATAAACAATGAAAAAAGCAACATTTATAAAACCTTAATTGAAATGAACCAGTTAGTAAATTGTGTAACACTGCCCCCTTGTGGCTACTCTAAAGATCTGTTCAGATTCATTTTGCTTCAGGGTTTTCCAGTAGAGCGGAGTAGCAGTTCCTGAGCTGTCACTATGAAGTGTTTCTCCAAACAGGGCGAGAGCGTCACAGCTGAGAAACCAGAGAGAGGACCAGCCAAACGGATCCCCATCAGCCAAGCTAAACCCCCCCGCAGAGGCTCCAACGATGCAGGAGACAGGGGAACCAGCCGACATCCTGAGCAGGACTCTTCTAAACCCCTCCGACTTCATCCCTCAGAGCCCCCGCCCACCGTTCAGACCAGCGACGTGACCTCTGAAAGTGATGTCATCAAAAGGCGTCCGGCACTTCGTAAAAGTTCTGCGCAGAAGCAGACATCGCCATCTTTGTTCTACAAGCACAGCGGGCCGTCCCTGTCCCTGTTCAGGCGGAACAAGACTCACTTGGTGGAGGAGCTCAAGGACCAGCTCTGCCAGCGCCGAGGTTCTGAACCAGGGCGGCAGGTCGTAGACCGAGCCTCCACCTCCACCCTGGCAAGGCTGCCCAGTGACCCGTGTCTGAAGGTGACCGATTCAAAAGGAGGCACAACAGAGGCCTGTATGTGCCTCTCCTCCTGTTCCACCAAAGTAGTGAAGGACTACTTCTTATCTCATCCTCGTAGCCACCCCCAGAGCAGCCAGCAGGTGGCGAAAGCCGTGGCAGAGGGTCGCAGGGAATGGCTGAAGAGATGCAATGATCCCAAAGTGGAGCCAGATGTAGAGCAGCTGCTGTTTGCCGAGGAGTCTTACGTCTGATGGGAAGGACCTGCTTCGTGTTTCAAACCATCAGCGAGTTCATTTCAGTCGCTTTTATAAGTCACGCCAGTCCAACTCCTCTAAAGAGTCATTCTTGGACTGTAGAAGAAGGTTTTGGTCATGTTAAAGTGTGTATCTATGTAAACGTTGATGTTGCTTCCTCAACAACTCCAGTCTGCTCTGCCCCTTCATGTATACAGCCTCACAGATTGACCATAATGTTAATCAACGGGATTGTGGTTTCCTGGCACTGAACCAAAAAGTGTGTTCCCGATCCACAGCTCGGGCTCGACGCTCCATGATGCTAGCATAGACTAACTGTAGCATGTTGGTTTAGCCAATCACAGCGCTTTACGTTCGTAGAGACGTTGGGCGAGCTTAGCAGCAGAGAAAAAACTACAAAGATGGCGTTGGCGTAAACTTTGGACGAATTAGGCCTGGGCTTCTGTGAGACATGAGCCAAAAGAGGTACTTAAGTTCTTTAATTAATTGTTTCTGTAGGGATGAAGACGTAACATTGTTCGCTGCACTGATTGGTCCTAGCGCTGTCCAACAACAGCTTGAAAGACAACCATAGAGTTCACCCCACAACCAAGCTCTGTCTATGGGTTGTGAACCGAGTAGATGTTACAGTAAAGAGAACGGCTTGTCAGGCTACCATACAATAGACATTGTCCAGAGTAGACCTGTCCTCTGCAGTCTACTCTGTCCCAGATGAGGAGAACAGTGGCTTCTTTGCTGGCTTTCTAGACATCAAACTACCCTCTTCAGGGGTCCCCAATCCTGGCCCTGGAGGGCCGGTATCCAGCAGGTTGTGGTTTTTCTGCTCCAACAGACTTGATTCAGTGGTTGAAACGCCTGTGCAGCAGCTCAGCAGGCTCTGCAGAAGCCTTTTAATTAGCTGCTGTTGGGAATCAGGTGTGTTGAAACAGAGTTCAAACTAAAACATGCAGGATACCGGCCCTCCAGGACCAGGATTGGGGTTCCGTGCTCTTAGTCTTAATTCATCTGATCACGCTTCCTAATATTCTGGAGCAAACTGCCATTGTAAAACCAAGGCTGTGATTAACATTTGTGTCATTCTCAAAACTCTTTATTCAGATTCTCCCAACGGTCTGTTCCGGAAACTCAAAAAACAGCTGAAACGTCTTTAAGGTTTTGACTTTTGCTGTTTAATTTGGTTGCAGACGTAGCAACAAGCAGGGCATGGGTGTGTTAAAAAAATTAGTTTTGCAGAGTGCTTTTTGCATTTAAAGTGTGTAACTTTTGCTGAAACGCCTTTAAGAAGAATTTATACACCTGTGCTGTGATAATGGCTCACGAGTCCACCGGAGCCGTCAGCAGCGCGAGTCGGCCGTGTCTCAGGAGCAGCATGTCGTGGCCCTCACGCGCCAGTCTCTATTTTCTACGTGCTACGCTTCTGAAACGGGTCATGTTCGACATTTTTAGGGAAGGAAAGACAGGAAATCGGACGCAGAAACGGAGCGAAGTTTCCCGAGATTTTCAGAATAAAGAAACGTACTGCCTTCCGGTTGCTTTACTTAAAAAAAAAGTTATCACCTATAGCGGTCTCCTTTGTTTTTCCATAATGGACGACGAAAGGTTGATTACTGAAGTGGAGAAGTACCCAATCCTGTTTGATCCCAGTCACAGTTTTTATAAAGACAACGTCAAGGATAACTAATGGAGTGACGTATCTGCGGTTTTGGGGCAAGATGGCGAGTTTATGCTAATTATTAATGTGACTTCTTTTCTGTAAGGACCTCTGTCAAGTTATGCTGACGCGTGATTTTGCTAATGTCGCGTGACAGCGGCCGTGTTCGAGTTGAGCTGCGCCTCGCCTGGAAAACAGACGAGAGCAGACGGAAGCAGCAGGGGGAGTGGCTGAAAGCCGGCGTTTAAGTTGGACGCAATTTCCTGCATGTGTAGCTCGCGGGTGACGATGGCTGAAGATATCGCGTTAGAGTTCACGCTTGTTTAATTTTCTATTTTAATTCTGGTGCCTGTTAGCAGCTGAAACACATCCTCACGTGCTTGTGGCTATCATATATTGTATATGAAGATATGACTGTAATAATAAGTAAAAGTTATCAGCTGTAGCTTCAGTGTGCTCATAGCAAACGTGACAAAAGAACACAAAACACATTTCTCTTTATGGCCTATTTAGTTGTCATCATCAGCGTAACAAGATTTACAGAATACATGTGACCAACTAACACTTCGTGTTCTACCACCGGATGTTTGGATCAAAATATGAACCAATCAGATCTTAGATCAGGTGAGAGCCAGGCGTTTCCCGTCATCCTCTAGGTTTTGCAGCCGGTGGAGAGCAACTGCAGCGCCTTGCTCCAAAATCTGCGGCCGCCTTGATCTCACGAGGTTATCGTTGCCTACGTATGCATGACGTCAGAGCAAGTCGGACACAAATCTAACCAGCATGCACTGCTCACCGATCACCGCTGATCTAATCTGCGCAGAACTGGCTCATCTCGAACACAGCCAGCTGCTCCCCAGCTGCTTCGCGTCTCGTGGGAAGGGCCAAGCAGCAGCATACGCGAGCAAGACGTGCTGCTGACGGCTCCGGTGGAAAAGGGGTAATGCGGAACCATTTCAGAAATATTTCAGGAACACTTGAGATAAAAAAAAAAAACGGCCAATTTTTAAAGTACCTGGTGTTGCCATCTTTTATGGACGAGTCAATTTCCTCGTGTTGTGTTGTCGAACAAGGAACTTCTCCAGATTTGGGTTTTGTAATGAAGTTTTCATGCAGTGTAATCTCATCAAGCGGCTTCTTTGCTGCCCTTTTTGAAAAACGGTCTAATCTTCTGTTGCTTCCTATTATGCTTTAAAATGTGAATGAAAATAAAGGAGCTCAAACATTTTGTAGCCGTGTTCAAATTTAACATGAAAGTTAGAAAGTGACTTTATTAAGGCTCTACATCTTCTAGCTCTGTACAATCACATGATAAAACAGTTACAGGGAGGGAATACCAGGTGAAGATCCGACTGTAGGAATGATCTTTAAGGCGTTGAACTTGTATTTCCACGTGGAATCTGACAAGCCGGGACGAGATTTGCTTCAGACATCGGATTAAATCAAGCAACTAGATTAGAAGAGTTTCATCTAGACAGATTATAGCTCATAAATACTTTTATTTTATACTAGATGGACCAGTCCAGTAACATCAAAGGTTGTGACTTGAGCGTCCTGCCCGTCTCCCGGTTAGGATGAGCCATCTTTGCTTTGCCGGATGTCGGTTACGCTCTCTGGAACTCTGGCCACCATTCCCTCCAGAGACTTGGACAAGCAGATCTGGCAACCCAGACGAGATCTGGAGCAAATCCACGGGAACACTTTTTAGATTTCCAGCTATCTAAACTCTCCCAACACAAAGAATAATAGAATGTTCTTACGTCTCGGTCAGGCCATAGGCTAAGTCCAGCATGTCCATCTCCTCATCTGTGACCGGCCCCAGCTTCTTGTACACGTCCTCGTCGAAGATCAGGTGGCACGTGGAACACGCCAGCGTTCCCTCGCATGCTCCTGCAGCACGCACACACACACACACACACACGTCAGCCCGCTCTAAAGTCCTAACTTGTGTCTCAGAAGAAACCCCCTCCACAGACGTACCAAAGCCATCAAAGTCGAGGTCTTCATTAATGACTATGTCTAGCAGAGAGTCTCCAGGCGAGCCCTTCACTGTGATCTTCTCCCCGTCCCGGTTGACGAAGTGGACCATCACTTTGTTGTCTGACCTGAAACACAAACGCACTTCATTTCAGTTTCAATTTAGTGCCGATACAGCCACACAACCATGACTGGTTATAGCTTACTGACATCTGGAGTGACTAAAATTGCAGTTCCGCCCTCGTCCACTAGGGGCTGGTACCAGAAGAGAGCAAATCTTCATTCCATTTTAGGTTTAGTAGCTCTAGTTTGCATTCATGACAACTCTGAGGAGGGTGAATTGTTTTGCAACTTTTATGCTTAAGTGTAATTAAATGCTTAAAATTCGGAATCATTAATGAGCATCAGAGCCACGTGACTTCAGAGCTAACTCAGACGAAAGGCCTCGGCCTCACGTTAATAGATGTTCGGCCATTTCCACTCTCTGAGCTTGAGTTTTGTCCGAGTCTTTCTGTTCATGTTTGGATGTTAATCATGGAATTATTTGGACAAAGAGGGCAAGCCCTAGTTACTGACTGCACTAACAGACCATCCAAGGAGTTTCTGCTCGTTTTTATCAGTAAGTAAAATTATATTTCTGTAATTTATTTCACTGGGTGAATGGGGGGAAATGCGGTGTCATTTAACTACGCTGCTTCAGAATGGGAAGAATGGTGATTTAAGTGACTTTGAACGTGGCATGCTGGGCTGAGGATTTAAGAAACTGCTGATCTTCTGGCATTGTCACACACAACCATCTCTAGGTCCAAAAATGGCCGTTGTCAGATGCCATTTTTTACTACAGCTAAAAAACTACAGCGTCGTGCGGTACAGTCTGGATTTCCGTCTTCTTTCTGATTGGTTATTTTTGAGCTGCCCAGTCCCACCCCTCAAGTGCATCTCTGCCTGTGAGTTACCAGACTCTTTCTCTGTGCAGAATTAGACTGAGGACGAGTCTGGCAGGCCCGGCTAGCTCTTTTTGGCACAACACCTGGTAAATTGCACCCCACCAAAAAATAATTCACCAGCCTCCACTGTCAGTTTCTGAACGATGAAGGTGCAAACCAACAGCCTGGTAATTTCACTTGAGGCTTACATCATCATTTTTTAATCATTTCCAGTAATACCGTACACCATGGTAAAATGTGGAGGAAGCTAGATGTTATTACAATTTGGATATAGCCCAAGCCTAACCTCAGACTGGCTTCTTGAACATGAAAATGAGTTCACCGTACTCAAATGGCCGCCACAGTCAGCAGATCTCAATCCAATAGAGCACCTTTGGAATGTGGTGGAACAGTCAACATATAGACTGGAATGGGAGATAGCATCATGGATGTGCAGCCGACATATCAGCAGAAACTGCATGATGCTGTCATGTCAATCTGGACCAAAATCCGAGGAATGTTTCTTGTACCTTGTTGAATCTACGCCACAAAGGATTAGGGCAGTTCTGAAAGCAAAAGGGGGTCCAACGTGGTACTAGGAAGGTGTACCTAATAAACTGGCCAGTGATTATGTCTAGGATATAACTTTTTTTTGTTGATTTTTCGGGGATAAATATGTACCCGAAACCAAAATGTCTTTCTAAATTACTAAAATAAAGTAAAATTTTAAAGTCACTGAAATAGTCAAAATAATCCGGTACACAGAAACCAACAGAAAGCTACCATCGGTCCATCCCCACAAACAAACGCTTCCTTGTTTCATTTCCCAAAGCTGGATGAGAAACCTTCAGTTGGTAAAGAGATGAATACCGAGGTAGTGGTGATGTGGAGCTAGTTGAGACACGTGCAACCGGCTTTGATCGACGGACCGGGTAAGTTGTCCAATTACTTTAACTGAATTAAAAAGATAAGCAGCATAATCTAAATTAAGCTACGACTTGGAACGTTCAGAACATTCTGTAACAAACCCTGAGATCCATCTTTTCAACTAAGCATTAACAGGACTATCACATTAATAAACCGTTACAGTCCGGGCCTGAATTTTAACTAGAAACAGATATTCTAGATTTGAGAGCCGGTTTCTGAACAGCTGAAACATTCAGACCATTTTTAACATGAAAGCTATGACTCACACATTAAAGATCTATTCCTGCTAGCGTGAATTGGCAATAGTGACATTCTGGAAAAATGTGACAGGTTTTCCATCTAGGGTTCCAACGATTATAAATCTTGGTGGTACGATTAGTCTGAGAAATAATCACGATTATTTTACATGAATTGATTTCACATCTGTACTAACAAATAAATCACACACACACACATTCTATAAATTATTGATATTACATTCTACAAAGGTTTTGAACCCCTGAATTTATCTATTGTTCCTTTTCAGAGATTTGCTTAGAAAAAAAATCACTCTACTACTGATTAGCAATGTGGATGTTTTATCTCCACAAATAACACACGCCTGGAGGAGTTCTACTGTGTGGTGGAGTTGCTAATGCTAACAGTTAGCTTCTACAAGTCGAGACGTTCTCTGCTGTTTCCTGGACGCTAAACAACAGCCTTCCCCGTCGTGAGTCAACATGACTGAGTCCATGAATGTTAGTGACAGTGTGACGTAGATCCGTCAGGCTTTTCTAATCCTAGAGTTTCATCGTCTATTTTCTATCAGAAGTTAATTCAATTCAATAAAACTTTATTAATCCCAGAGGGAAATTAGAGTTTCAGTACACACAATTCTGAGATCAGACATACATACATACATGACAAGAATTGGTGACTGTGGCCATTTGCAACCCGAGTCGCGCTACCGTAACAGATCAAGAGGGTTTATATGAGGATAGAGTCGGGGAGGGGGAAAAAAAGGCACTTCAGAGTTACCCTCCACAGAGAGGGCAGCTTTGCTATGCAAAAAACACATCAGACGGAGATGCACACACTTCAGACATTACACAACATAAGTGGCCACTAGGTGGGGAGGTAGGGTTGAGACTCTCCTCACTTCAGTGCGTGCAGCCGCATGTGGCAGCGCTCATCACCTCCGTTTGGACAGGGGAGGGAGATAATGGGTTAGAGAGCACAGTGTAACCGCTCAGGCCAAACAGCAGGAATCCTGACACCAGAACCATGAATATCCAGACATCTTTAGAATCCTCTACAGACAGTTGAGAGAGGCAGATCAGGTTCCACTTTTTCCAGGAGTCCATGATATACACAGCTGGCTCTGTCCCAGAGGGGCATCCGGGAGCTCCTTCTCCCGTTCTCACCGTAGAAAAATGTTGTCAATCACGTTGAGAGACCAACTGACCAGGTCCATTTTTAATAATTTCCAGTTCCCAGAAAAAATGCAGAAGCGCCGTGCACACAAAGACAGACAAAGAGCCTTGGGATAAGATAGGGAGGAGGAGAGGAGAAAAAAAGCATCTGTACTCTCCAAGAGCCGGAAGAGAAAGGTGTAGGAGACTATTTTCATGTTCAGCCTGCATGAAAAACTCAGAGTAACTGATTATCGGACATAATCATTAAAAATGGTTTTTCAGTGAACCACACCTTTAAATATATTTGTCCAACAGCCTTTTTTGAGTTTCTGTAAAAAGACAAAAATGTTTAACTGACAGCTGGTCAGGGTAAGCACTGAAGGATGGAGACGCCGTAATGAATTAAGATGCTAAGTTCCTACTACTGTAGTTGTAATTATGAATATTACTCATTACTTAAATGTAATTTCTATGTAGATCAGATTCAAAAATGCAGACATCTTTGCTTGTTGATTAAATATTCAAATGGCTTGCCGTACAAGGTTGTAGACAGATACAGGGGGAAATGTACAATACAATATGAACAGTCATTCACTGGATTGTTCTAATATTACTGTTTCATCCGTTCAGTCACTAATGTAATCTGACTCAGTTGGCGCTAATCTGTGTGATAATCTCAGAGATGACAAGTTGGGAGTGTCGCAACTTTTGTCCCGCCAGCTCTGCAGATGGACGAGACATCATTCTGAATCTCTTAGAAGCTTTAATTGTCTAAAATATGCCCTCACAGGAGAGTAGAAGCACTAGGTGGAAACGGAGCAGTCCCGGTGGTTGTAGACGCTGGGTCTGCTGCGTGCGTTCGTTCAGTTTCACTTTTGCGTTTGTCCGATAACAGGGTCCGAAATAAAATTTTTACTCACCGGCAAAGTTGGCTGATAGATAATGAGAATCTACCGGCCAAGCATATCTTTTACCGGACAAATTTCTAAATGATTTAGATCTACCTAAAGCATGTTATTCTATATTATGTTGATTCCAAACAGAGTGACAAAATAATTAAAACATCAATTAATAAAAACAACTCTTGTCGTTTTTACTATTTATTTATTTTTAGAGATGTTTTTATGAACTCTTTCATTGGAATCTAGTCAGACTCCTTGTTTTCTCTGTCCATGAAGTCTGGCCTCCTGCTTCTGACACCGTCTTTGTGCCAAAGCATTGCAGCCTCATTTGGGTCCTAGTCCTTGATCTCTGGAGAACACAGCTGCACCATGAGAATATCTGAAAGTGTGTCAGGGCTAGGGTTGTCACGGTAACTGGTGTAGCAGTAAACCCCGGTAAAAAAGTTGACAATAAATAATAACCGTCTTGTTTTTTTTTAAATGAGTATTATCTCTGTGGATTACCGTGGCTGCGGTGTAGACGCGGTGACCCTTACCAGCCACCGTATCATCTGCTGAAGTTGCCGGCAGCACATGCGCACTTTGTTGTTTACAACCAAAACTTTCTAGAAGCTAAAGCTAAAATAATGGCCGAAGGAGGAGACGGCACTCGGGACATTTTTTATCCCTCAAAGACAAAGTGGGAAGTACGGGCATTTTTTGGATATTTGAAGAATGCCGAGGGACAGTTGATAGAAGACGGCTATCCTGTTTGCAGCACGTGCAGAAAAAGTGTCTGTGAAAGGCAGCAACGCTACGTGGCCATCATAATGTAGCCACTGTTTTACGACTCTGCCGTCTCCAGTTTGCCACTTTTCACAAAATCTTCTGGTTGCCACTGGTCCTGGTGGTTTTTCTTCCAGTTTGACGAGTTTTCTTTTGGAAGGCTGGCTGACTCCAGTTAAAAACCGCCACATTTCACTGCTAGTTTTAACACGAAGCTAACTGCTAACTTGATAAACTGATTGAATGGGATAGGTGGAAATGACGTTGGATGCAGCGCTCACGTTTCGTGTACGTTTGTATACGTTGCATGCAGGCGGGAGGAGTATCAGAAATCCATGGAAGATGACCGATAAACATAACTAATTTGGTGCAAACATTTACTCGCCAGGTGGAGCAATTTGCTCGCATTTGGCGAGTGGCGAGTGTTAATTTCTGACCCTGTCCGATAATGTTTTTTTTTTTTTTTTGGGTGTTGAAGACGTCTTTATGGTGGGTTAACAACAGCGTTTCACACCGCGGTTAATAGTCAAACCGGTTTATCCCTCCATGTTGCCATTTCAAACACCAGTCTTTCCCTGCTGCCACACACCTGATTTAAACGAATGAGAGATTAACAGGCATCTGTGGCACTGAGGAGCTGATGCCAATATATAGATCAGGTGTGCTGAAGCAGAGACATGCAGAAACAACTAACTGGAGAGCTAGGGTTCAGCACTGACCCCGTTATGACGGGTTTTTAACCTGCAAGTCTGACTTTAACCCCATCTGGTGATACGGTTGACACCGCAATAGTCAGTCAGCTGTAGTGCTGTCAAAAAAATCGATACCTGGATATAAATCAATGCTAAAAGTGGTATCTAAATTAGATATTCCATCCCTTTGGTATCTATATTATGGACTATTATACACAGCCTTCTTCAAGTACACCGACACGCACGACAGCCAGATGCCGTAAAGCAGCCTCCGCCTCCCAGACAAACAGAAGAAGAAGACGCCGCATGGCTGCATTGCAATTTCCCACACGAGTTGTCTCCAATCCAAGTTTTGTCTGCCAAATAAATAAACAAAAACATAAACAGCGAATTTGGGAGGCACTTCACAGCCCAACTTAATTAGCATACCAAGTCCGACACGTAGTTGTATATTCACGCTTACGTGCTTAAAGGAAACTCCAGTTTATTGCAACCCGGACTTCATTTCTAGCATGCAGTACGTTTGTTTACTCACGCTGACAACGTTGGTGCTACTTGGATTCCCCGGGGTACTTAGATCCATCGGCGAATCGCCATCAGTGTATATCCATATAACGGGTGCGGACGGGCACCCATGGTGCAGCCTCGAAATAAGACATTATCTGCACCAAAACATCTCAATGTCGAAAGGTTTTGTTAGGAATCATTAACGTGATTCCCCTGTTCGTTTGGAGCGAGTCTGGGATTTCTAGGCGTAAACAGACTAGCCGCGGCTAATCTAACCGGCGCTTGTAATGACGTCACTGCCGTGCGCCAATCTGTTTTTATTAAGATTACCGGTAGATGTACCTTTGTCCTACTGTGGACAAATTCGTTTTCTCCCTTTATTGACCAACAGAGTTGTTCAAAAGTACAGAACAAAACATATGGCATTACATCTTATGACAAAAATGCACCTTAAACAGAGTTTAAGCAGCAAAACATCACTCTGCAAATAGTGTATATATAGTGAGACAATTCATGATTTAAAGTGTTAACTTTCGCCAGTTTTTGTATGCACGTTTTAAAAAAATGCTGATACTTGAAAGGTTTAAGCACTTTACACACTTAATTCTTAACATTTAATTTTTGCAATATAAATTGAGGAATGTTATTTTTTGAATAAACTTGTCCAATAAATTGGTGTTTTTCAAGAGCAAGTCACCCCAAATCAACATTTTTTTTGCTGATAAACTATATAAATGAGTGTCTGATTGCTCTGCAGACAAATGTAGTCAATAATTCGGCACTTAAGTGCATCTTGGGTAACATTTAAATATTCGGCCTAAAACTGTCAATGATGCACCGTCGTCAGGTAAAAATTCAGCACTGCATTTGAATTTAAATCTGCCATCACTATTGGCTGAGAGGTACACTATGATATTAGCTGGTACATTATGATGTCACAATGTCGTGAGTGTGTGTATTTGTTAGTGGCTCCACCCTCTCGGTCTGCTAGGCAACAGCATTTGTTGCATTTTTCAAACAGGAAGTGGGAGTTGAGTAAGAATCTGGTAGGGGGTGACTTGCTCTTTCAATAGTATCGAAATCGAGTATCGAGTTTTTTCCCCAGTATGGAATCGAGTTTGAAATTTTAGTATCGTGACAACCCTAGTCAGCTGTAGGAGAGAGTGCATCTCCAGCAGGTCGTTGGAGCAGCCAAATGTTGCCACAATGGTGAAGACCAAACCAGCAGATTTAATCCAACATGGGTAGCTGACCCTTAATCTAGCAGACGGCTCTACAAGATCGACTATGGTGAACAGGACATGCATTTAAAGGGGCTGGATCATATGTATAAATTACTCCATCTTCCTTCTCCCAACATCAGGCCCCGCTCCGCCCCCAGAAGATGGTCTCTGGTCTGAAACCCGTCTCCCCTGGCCAGATCAGGATATGTGGCATAGGTGACAAGTGACTTGGTAGTCTAGTAATAAGTGAGCTGGGCTGGCATGCCTTTAGCTGCACTTGCCAGTATGATGTTCTCAATCCTTTATTGGTGAACTGTTAAATATAAGGACTTTGCTTCCTGTGTTTATTTAGCCAGTGTGCGTCCATCCATGTGAGGTGAGCAGAGTTAATCAACTAAATACTGCTGGGAAATGACCAAATTCAAAGATCCTAGAGACAAAATGTTGACAGCTGACACCACCGAGATTCGAACCCACGTCTGCACTGAGATAGCAGCCACCCATCTTCTCACTAGTGCCATTATTAATATTTATCATATACTGTGCCTACATTTGTTCTCAAAGGTTTAAAATAGCATGACATGCCACCTTTGACACTTACGTCTCCCACAAACTAGTCACGGTTTATTTACTCAGTCGTCAATGACAAACTTGTGCAACTCCCTATCATTTCTAATAAGTTTAAACACAATACTGAGGCTTCAACTGAACTCAATTATCAAAATGCTAAAAGACACCACGGCTGTTAGGTGATCCTATTTACGTCCTCAGAAAACCTGTAAAATCCCCTGATAGACACGTGGAGGTCTCAGGACTAGTGGCTAATCTGTTAAGCTTAACTAAAATCAGTTAGTTGTTGCTCTCTGATGCACCCAGTGACCTTAGGGGGCAAACAAAGCAGAAACAGACCCCTCAGTGTGTTTGTTACAGGGGGGTCAATGCAGGTCACATTAGTGCCTGAAGGCTGTGATGATTCAGTGATCTTATGCAATTAGTTTGTCCCTGAGAGGCTGAGCTCTGGCCAAAGCCTTCACCTGCACAGAGAGGTGGATCACTGCAGCCTTGAGTGCACGTGCAGGATTTCCTCAGAGCTGACAGGCTAAGCAAACATATTTGAACTACTTCCAATAACAGGGTCAGATCCTGTAACGGATACGCTAATAAAGCATTGATTTAGCTTGTTTTTATAAAGCAGAGCGTGGTCTTTAATTACAACTGGAGAACTAGCCGGGCGTTTGCCGACTCTGACCCAAGCTAACCTGTTAGTTAATGCTAATACTGGGAATGGAGCTATTTCCGTGACAGTAATGCATACCTGAGGGGTTGTAATCCGGTGGAGAAACTCCTTTCTGCCGCCTGCCAGCCTCCCCAACACGACACCGCCGTCCTCCTTCGAGAATATTCTCGTAAACTAACCTGAGCGAGTCGTCTCACCGCTGTGACTAAAGCCATTTTAAGTCCTGGTGGCAAAAAGAAATCGAGCTGGCCAAGCTGGAGAAAGTTGGGACAGCTCACTTGTCCGGGCACGGTGAAGGAGCGCGACTAGCACGGCTAGCTGGTTTTAGCGGAGGGAAGTCACTTTGTCGCGGCCGTCTTCATTGCGCGACGGGTAAACCAAAGGCAGACGCTCGCGCTCTCCCCACTCCAAATCAATCAGCTGGAGGAACAGCGGGCCGTCGGTGGCTACTAGCTCCAACAAGAAATAACTGCCCCTGAGTTATGTAGTCAACCTGCAGCGGCGAGAAGTTTCCGTTGCTTGACGACAGGAAGAACACAGTTGTGATTTCATGGAGTGACTTCAAAATAAAGAATGTACATCAAATGCATTGTGCTTTTTAAAATAAGACATGTTTCTTTATAATTTATTTTCAAGTTAGATTGTAATTTTTATAATCATCACAATTTGAAACATATATTTTAACCTAATACAAGACACAACATTTACTTTGCTTTTATTTTGAAAGCAGAATTCATTCACTTCCTTAAATGTGCTAGCTAAATGTTGCTAACCTTGTGGCTGCTAACTGGAAACGCCCCTATTTTCTTCACGTGCGTGTGTGAATTACCCAATCAGAGTGTGAGGTAGTGATTACGTCATTACGCTCGTAGTCAAACAGTGTTAGTCGGGAATTGGGAAGCTTTTAGTTCTTTTTGTGTTGTATTTAGCCACTAACACGTTTATAGAGTATGTCTGAATGTGTTGCTTAAGGAATGGAAGTCCGAGCTGGACCCTATCAGACGCCACTAAAAAGAGGCAGAGAAGAACAGACGTCAGAAATCAGCCTTGAACTTTTGAACTGTTTGTAATCAGCTTGTTGTGAGTTCATATCAGGAACGGGTTACATGCGTGGCCTTTATCCTTGACTACTCCACAACAACGTCTCAAACTCTCAATCATGCAGGGAGTATTTACTAATGTGCAGCAGATGAAGCTAAACATATGCACACTTCATTCAATGAAGGTTTACATCGTTTGATACTTAAAGGATGAAAGTATAATTAATGTTTATATGCATTAACCTTTTAATGGCCTTCTGAGTTGTTAGAATTCACTCCTCTACCCTGTTCACAAATATTTATTGAGCTTCCCTCTATTAAACTGAGTGCCATTCACCTTTACCATTTTTTCCACAACCTGGAAAAGCGGATGTGTACAGTATGAAAGTTTGGAAATGAAACCCTGCCTTTTTGAGGAATTTAGGTCAAATGTCAGCGTTCCACAGCCAACACTTTATTAACTGCAGTAACTGTACACAAGCATTGTGTTCCAACCGCTATCAAACACTCTCAGGCAAAGGTCACATGATATCAGAAAATAATCTTATCAAAATGGGATTTATGGCCACAGTCAGGACTTATTAATGGGCAAACTTTCCACTGAGAGCTGCTCAGAGTTCATCACTGCGGCCAGAGGTAAGCAAATGGAGACACCAACACATTCAAATATTATCAACAAGCTTGTTAATGAGTGATGAGTTTGTGCATAAGAAGAGTGAAATCCTGTTGAAACAGTTGCTTTTGTTGACGTTACAGGATGTTTAAGTCATTGCTGCTGTTCCTGGCGCTGTCAGGTAAGGAGATCTTACATTCCAGCTGACGTTTGATTGATTGACTGATTGACTCAGCGTGTTTGATTGATTGATTCAGCGTAGTGGTGAGTGCTTGACTCAAGCTTTAGATCTAGTAGATGATCGAATTTCCAGATGATGCGATTCTTTACTTTTACGATCTTCTATAGCACATACCAGGTTTACATTTGTTCGTTATTTCAGGTTTAGATTCAACAAATGAACAAATCACACATCTATATAAAAAAAACAATTGGGTGAAATGGGATTTGTAATTATATGTCCAAATTGATTTTGCATTGTTGGGTTGTTTCCTAGGTAACAAACTAGTTGTGGCAAACATGATCAAAGCCACTCATCTCTTTTATGACTTTGCGGAAAACCAACTTTGGCCATCACAGATTAAAGAAAAGGTGTCTGTGTTTGAATTTGACACAGTAGTTAATTATTGACACCAACAGTCAAACACTTCTGGATTGTTTACTTGGTAAGAGCTCTTCTGATCGACTCTCATCGAAGATGAAAAAAAAATTGATTCTAAATCAGAAAACAACAAACAAGAAAAAAGTAGGTAAACACAAATGGAAAAGGGTTAGGTGCTTTTGAAGCTCTCCTACCTTAAAACACAGGTTGTGCGACTGTACCTGTTAAACAATCATTCATCTAAAATAGACTACAATCCCATCACAGGCCTCCAGGCTCTGCCTGTCCCAAGACAGGCCTCTTCAACCTACCAGCTCCCAGATGGCTCAGTACGGGACATTGGACACGTTCGTGAATCTGTTTCTGATGGCTTCCGGCAAGGTACGGAGCCCTCCAGAAGATTCCTTGTTGACCTGAACACTGGTCTGGTGAAGGAGCACATCAGCGAGATGGACAGGAAAGTGGGTGAGTTGAGAAAACTCCCAAAAAACTATTTTGTTCAGTTTGATGAATCCAAAAATGTTGTAGATGCAAACTCTTTCAACAAAGTACCCAAATATTTAATTGTACAAGCTTTATTACTTAGAATGGTTGTCTATCCAAAAGTCAATACCTCTTGATCAGACTCTGATATTTAAACTACTCCATATGATAATGTCGCTCGTAAACCTTTAGAGATATCGAACCTCATTAGAAGATCCTTCACACTTTGATTGATCTGGTGGTTTATTTAATTGTACTTTTAAAGTGACCTTAGGGGACAAACATCAAAGCAGTTACGTTTGCCCAGAACTTGGAACCACCTAGTGATTTTTGTCTTGAAAGGCGCTAAATAAAAAAGAAATAAATAAAATTCTTCTTCAACTATTGTATGACCTGCCATGAGATAGTACATGCTTATTTTTTAAATGTATTGGCTTACAGTTCTTAAAGCTTGCAGCCTTGTGTTTTTATTGGACCCAATAATGTATCAGCTGGATAAAACCTTGTAACCAAGTTCTTCATGTTTTTTAGTTTCTGATGATGTTCCAGCCCAGAGGAAGGGTGAAGGATGGGTTCGCATAGAGAAACCTCCAAATCATCATCTTCCAGAAGGTTTTAGACAGGGAACTGAACCCAAAATGTCCATCCCAGTAGGATTCAGACAGGGAACTGAACCAAAGGCATCCATCCCAGTAGGATTCAGACAGGGAACTGAACCCAAAATGTCCATCCCAGTAGGATTCAGACAGGGAACTGAACCAAAGGCATCCATCCCGGTAGGATTCAGACAGGGAACTGAACCAAAGGCATCCATCCCAGCTGGTTTCAGACAAGGAACGGAACCAAAGCCATCCATCCCAGTTGGTTTCAGACAGGGAACTGAACCAAAGGCATCCATCCGAGTAGGATTCAGACAGGGAACTGAAACAAAAATTCCCCTTTCAGTTGATTTCCGACAGGGAACTGAACCTAAAATGTCAATTCCAGTTAATTTCAGACAGGGAACAGAATCAACATTTTCTGTCCCACTTGGTTTCAGACAGGGAACTGAACCAAAAATGTCCATCCCAGAGAGTTTCAGACAGGGAACAGAACCAAAGTTGTCCATCCCGGTTGGTTTCAGACAAGGAACTGAACCAAAAATGTCCATCCCAGAGGGTTTCAGACAGGGAACTGAACCAAAAATGTCCATCCCAGTAGGATTCAGACAGGGAACTGAACCAAAGGCATCCATCCCAGCTGGTTTCAGACAGGGAACGGAACCAAAGCCATCCATCCCAGTTGGTTTCAGACAGGGAACTGAACCAAAGGCATCCATCCGAGTAGGATTCAGACAGGGAACTGAAACAAAAATTCCCCTTTCAGTTGATTTCCGACAGGGAACTGAACCTAAAATGTCAATTCCAGTTAATTTCAGACAGGGAACAGAATCAACATTTTCTGTCCCACTTGGTTTCAGACAGGGAACTGAACCAAAAATGTCCATCCCAGAGAGTTTCAGACAGGGAACAGAACCAAAGTTGTCCATCCCGGTTGGTTTCAGACAAGGAACTGAACCAAAAATGTCCATCCCAGAAGGTTTCAGACAGGGAACTGAACCATCTAATGCCAAAGTCCAAACACAGCCAGTGGCCTGTAAAGGGGAGATCATCAATACAAAATGCTATGAGTTCAATCCCATGCTGCTGGCCTTCAAAGATGCCCAGGTTAGACCTTCTATTTTATGAAGCATATATTTACCATATATACAGTTTGCTTTAATTGACTGACTTATTGAAACTGAATTTACATTTCTGTGGTTACTCAGGATTTGTGTAGAAACCTTGCCCCAAATGCTGAGCTTGCATCAGTAACAAGTGGCGACCTGCATTCCCATCTGGTTTCTCTGGTGACCAAAGGTGGCCAGAATAACCCTGTGTTGACCTGGTTGGGAGCCACAATCAGGGCAAGTGTTGTTCTTTTTATTTGTAAATTCCCTTTAACATTTTTTTCTAAATATGAACAATGACAGTAGCAAAGGAAAGGTCCGCCCTTTCTTCTGGTTCCAAATGTCCAAATGATCAAATCTGAGGAAATTCAAGGGCTTTTAGACTGAAGCACACAGGCCTTTCCTGTACTGTCTGTAGCCCAACAAGGAGGCCAAGGAGAATGCCATCAGATACGTTATCAAAGAGACAGATTATATTATCCTTACCTTGGTAGAACATTGATCTTTGAACTATTGTTTCAAACTGTTGCATACTTTCCGTTTTGTCACAAGCAAATGCCAGAAAACACCAGAACATACGTGTGTGTGTGTGTGTGTGAAAACATCAGTTGTAATTATGTTTAACAAATAACAGGTTTAGCAGACTTGTTTTGTTAAATCTCACTAAAATGTCAGATTTACCTCTTTAGAGAAAGTCATAATTAATGTTGTACACCACAGAACCAGCAGGCCTCGTGGGTTGACGGGTCAGAGTGGAGTTACACTGACTGGATGCCGGGCCATCCCAACGTTCGTGCCGACAAACCGGTCTGCGTTGAGATGTTTAAGATCGGTACGTGATGCACTCACTATGTCTTCACCATATGTGTAAAAAGGATGAAGAAACAGCATAATAACTACAAACTAGAAAATTCCAGAAGACAATTCCAACATACTGTACATCAGCTTTCTTCTGTAAAGGCCAATAGTAAGTTGGTTACCTGTACTTAATTTTGTAACAATCTAACAAAATTTCATCATGTGGAACCAAGAAATGTTCAAACTACTACCAGTGGCTCATTAGGATCACCAAGGTATTTATATACCTTCTGAAAGCAAACCTTTAATGCCTGAAATATTAAACTATAATTTAAAAAATATATTATTTAAAACTACTAATGTTGAGAAACACGTAATAATCAGTTTTATTTTTTATATATATATATTACAACAAAACAGTAATAAACTGATTAAATTGGCCCTTGTCACCTTTTGCTCACCCACCAGAGGGCAGTAGACATGAATATGGCAGGTTTTTAATGAACAGACAAATCCTGAAAGCCTGGCAAGCTCCATTGACAGCCCTCGGTCAACCATCGTGGCGTGCTACTGGACAATGAACGTGACGTACTCACCGCAACGGACGTCGGTAAACAAGGCAGTCCGCTGTTGGAGAAGGCAAAAATACATCCTTTTTTCTAAAAAAAAAAAAAAAAAGAACTTAAAAACATCTTTCTGCTCCTGATTCTAATAAAGCCCAAGTCCAAATAGTCCAAAATTGATGTAAAATCCATTTCAAACGAGCTGTCGCTATCTTGTTCCACTCTGTCCCGCCCATCAGATGAACAGAGGGCCCTGATTGGCCAACAAAGCAGATAAAGCGCTGTGATTGGTTCACAAAGCAGATAGAGTACTATGATTGGCCCACCATTATGGACCAATTACAGCTCTCTATGTGCTTGAAACCCCTCAAGAGAGCTGTGATTGGCCAGACAGAATGCTGCTGGGGCTGCAGAGGTCCCAATGGAGCGGTGCTAGACAGAACTTTGAATAGCAAGAATTTGGTCTAGTTCACTAGGCTAAAATCTTGATACTCCATATGGGTGCTTTAAGCTCATATGTGGGTTGATACAAACTTGCAGTAATAGTCTACAAGGGGTTAAGGGAGCCAGAAAAAAACGCAAAGTAATCCTGTGAAAAATTGGAGCACTCAGCTGAATATTCTAGTAAATAAATTTCATATCAAAATACCGGTTCAGTCACGTGAAGTCTAACGTTCTATGACCCGTTTAAACTTTAAATTTTGTTTCTGCTGTAAAAAGTTTGAAGGGCTCCAAAAAAGGGCGGGGCTTCAATGTATTCTTTTTAATGAGTTTTCTCCAAATCTGAGTAGAGTAGAAAATCAGGAATGGGGAAACGAACTAAAGAATCAGCGTGCAAACGCCATCAGAGTTCTTACAGGTACTCTCAGCTGTTCACAAGATGTGGGTTTTAAGAAATTTGAAAATGCAGATCGCTTAAATAAAAAATGCTGGAAGCTAACCAAAACTGGTCGTTACGTTTTGATTGAAATCCCAGTTGAAAAACGTTGCAAGATGTAGTAATTCTTCATGTTTGTTGAGAACATTCTGGAACATCTTGAAAATTTTTCCTTGAAGGTGCCTTGAAGTTGATTAGCACACACACTCTTGCTAACCTTCACCTCCATTTTAAAAACCATCTTGAACACCACACGAGTTATAGATGACAAAACAACCATGTCTGAGTCCTACCTGAACCCGTCCCTACTCACTTTTCCAGATGAGAGCTGGTGGACTGCTGCCGACTGCGAGCTAAAGCGAGCGTCCATCTGCTCGTATCCCGTCGCTGCGTGAAAACCAGAGACACCGGACATGAACTGCACCCCCAGGAAAACATCTTTATGATCATTTTTGCTTAATCCAAATAAACCACAGCATCGTACCTGTGTTGTCTTCATTCTTTCAGTCTTTACTTAACAATCCACTCATTTAAATTTTAGAACAAGACTTTAATGGTAATTTTCCTCGTGTGGATACAAAGCAGGTTTGTACAGATTAGAGGCAAGTTAAAACAACGTTACAATTTAAGTACCTGGAAAGTGCAAAACAGGGACGACAAAATAAAAATCATGCTGTACACTATATTTGCTGTATTCATAAATAATCAGATATACACACATCCGTTTTGGTGGACGATGCAGCTAAGACGCGCATACACACACACTTTTGGGTTTGTGTTTTAAGTCCGATTTTCTTGCTTCCTGTGGAGGTTTGAGGGCATGGAATGCAGCTTTTGGTGAAATTAGTAAAAATCGAGCTTTAGCGTTGGGGTAAAGGCACTCCGTTTGTCGTAGTTGTTGGAGGAACTCAAACAGTGGTCTTTTATTTTAAGGTCAAACATGGGTAAATAAAAAATAAAATAAAATAAACATCTGAAGCACCTTTCACAGAAATCTTCTCAAGACAATCGTCTCGCTGTGACGTTTAAATAAAAAAAAATAAATACAGAATCGTGTAGTATGAAACATAAAAAACAAACACAACTGCTTAATTCTGCACAAAAACAAACAAAAATTAAATAATCAGTCACAATGTGCACAAACAAGATTTAAATATATATTTAAGGGTGGATTTATGCCCCAAGCTGAGATTCAGGAAGACTGGAAATAGAAATCTGAGACAAAGTATTGCTACTAACACTGACATCTCGTTAAGCCCTTGAGGATTTCCTCTCTCCTTCGCGAGTTTGTTTAAATATGCTGAAGTCTACAAGAGAAGATAATTGATTTCAAACAAGCTCCTTATAAATAAAACGTGGATTCAAGTAACTTAAAACCATCTGGTGAGGTTTTCTCTCCAGACGGAAGGTTAGTGTCCTTTCTGTGTGAACGAAACGAAGTTAAACACCAAGAGCTGCAAATGTGAGCGGATTTATCAGAATAAATAAACAAAAAAAAAAAAAAAAAAAACACTAACTTGTGTTTATTCCTATAAACAAACAGAAAAGTCAGAGTTTGTTCTGATGAATGGAGTTAAACTGCATAAATCGGGGAGACTTCAGGCAGTCGATCGGTCAAGAATCACGATCATAAAAAAGGGTCACGTGAACATTGTAATCAAAGAAAAGCAGGTGGATGTGAAGAATGTTGCAGGAATGATAAAGGCTGGGATTTGGCCACCACAGCGCCAGCACCGTCGGACCAAAGCAGGAACTGATCTACAACATCCAAACCCGTGGGACAATGAAATTATGAGAATTTGGTGATGGGGAGGGAGGGTCAGGTGTTGGTTTGGGTGTTGTACTCCATCTCTGCTGAGATCTGAGTCAGCTTCTTGCTGGAGGAGCCCCACAGCTTCCGGGTGATCTGGGAAGAGCCGAGGAAGATGAGGGAGAAGGGGGAAGGAAGAGTCAGCAGAAACAAGGAGGAAGGATATGATCCATGAGTGATTTCAACAAAAAAAGATGGAAAAACCTTGATGATTTCTACATTTATACACCAGTTTATACCCAACACTACAGCCTACTAGCACTAACTCTTATTATTATGGTCTGTTATGGCTTACTGGAGCATTAGTTAGTTTGTTTCACAGCTTCTTTTTTTTTATAAAGAGCACAAAACTAAAACAAACACTCTTGAATGAGGTAAGAACAGTTTAGGTTCTGCTCAGTGTGTGTGTGTGTGTGTGTGTGTGTGTGTTAGGGTTTCTGTGGGCTGGAGGCAGGACTAAACAGCAGCTGGTCCCGCTGGTGGAGCAGGCGCGTTGGCGAGCGAGCTCGGAGCGGGGCGAGCAGCGGGGAGGACATGAGCGGCGACCCCTCCAGGCTCTGAGCGATGTAATTCCGTAGGGAGTTCTTTACCTCCGCCGGCTTGCCCACGCCCACGATGATCAGCTTGCCGTCCTCCAGGCCCACCAGCACGTGGCTCTGCTCCTTGGTGACGGAGACGCAGCGAACGGGCACCCGCATGGCCATGGGCTCGGCGCTCAGGGACAGGCTGCACAGGAGGGAGCAGGAAAAGAGTCACACCTGAAACTCCGAAGACGTTTAATGAAAATATTAGTAAGTTTAGTTGTTACTGTTGAACGACGTGGTAAATCCCTGCATTTGAGTTGGTTTAATTAAGGATAGGGATGGGTACCTTTGACATTTGAGTCGATTCGGTACTAATTCCCGGTACCTAGGAATCGATACCGGTACTTAACGGTACCAATTTTAGATACTTTTGAGTGTTTAATATTTTTAATTCTCTTTTATAATTAAATATATATTTTTCTCAATATACGTATAACCATATTTGATAAATATCACGATAAATAACATACAACTGTTTGTATTTTAACATCGTCCTTGTAGTTTTATAAGCTGATAATTAAACTGAAGCAAACATCTTTACTGTGAACTAAATTTACTGTGTATCTTCATTCCTTTTGCCGTCTTTTTTCATTTGATTTTTCCTACTGGGAAGTATTTCCGAGGAGAAAGCGAACGCACCATTAGCTGATAACAATGGTGGCAATGGAAGCTAGTTTATCAAGCTAACGTTATCTTAAACAGTTTATTTAGCTGCTGGAGCAGATTAAAACGATGATGCCTCACACTTAGATCGTTGTCGCTGGTTTCATCTTCACCCAATCACCCGTCGCATTTAGTAAAGTGAAGCCAAACTTTAGAGTGCGTTCATGTTCTAGTCGGAAATTCGGACTTCCTAGGAGAAAGCGAACGCACCATTAGCGAAACGGAAGCTAACAAATCAAGCTAACCTTGCCTTAAACATTTTATTTACCTACCGGAGCAGATTAAGATGAGGATGTCTCACTTAGATCGTTGTCGCTGGTTTCATCATCACCCAGTTACCCATCACATTTAGTGAAGTGGACCCAAGCTTTAGCGTGCGTTCTTTCTACCATGCTGCTCTGTTTACAACTGGCTCGCAGCGACCGACGACGTAATGCACTTGCGCATGCGCAGCTGTCAAGGCAAGTTCTCGTTATGAAGGACGGGTACCGAAACGAGGCACCGTTTCAAATGACGTGAATCGGTGCTCAGTCGGTACTATGGAATTCGGTCGGTACCTTAAAAAGTACAGAATTCGGTACCCATCGCTAGGATCAAATATTTTCCACTTTGTGTTCAAAGTTCCTATAAAAAAACTTTATAAATAAACTTACTTTAGGCTGCTCAGGGCTGACAATGACCCAAGTCATTCAGAATTGACTAAATAAATCCTTTTAAAGGTCTAGTTAACTGTCAAAAATATGCTGAAAATAGACTAAATAAGCCATGCACACATGCAGAAATTATGCAAAACAGGGAAAAGTTTCCTAAAACTTAAACAAATAAAACAAAAATTGCCTTAATGAATATTTAATGTGACATCACTGTTTAAAAACTGCCAGAAATGTGGCAAAAACAGACAAAATTCTGACAAATTGTCAAGAATTAGCTTGAAAAGTAATAATCAGCCTGATAAATGTTCTAGTCAGACAGATAAACGTGTAGATCTGCCTGATGAATCTTTGGAATTGGGTTGAACGAAAAGACAAACATCAGTTTCAAAAATCTACCTGATAAATAAAAAATCTGCCCAATAAATCAGCAAACGTGCAGCTAATGGTGGGTGACCAATCACCAACCGGCCTGCTAAAATGAAGTGATTAATCACAGAAGCGCCCGCTGTTTCACAGACAGACGTTTGCTCACCTGTAGAGGTCTCGGATGGACAGGTATCCTTGCTCGCTCCCGACCACCACGTACTCCCCAGAAACGCACATGTCGGTCAGCTGCTCCTTCAGAGCTTCGCTGCACAGGTGCTTCCCGTTCACAGAGTAAAGGTGGAGCATGTTTTTATCCTGAAGCACAAACACAACCTCTCAGTCTTCCTGATAGCTAACCATCTTTCCAGATGTTGGTGCAGATGTTTACCTTCAGGGTGGCTTTGCCCTCCAGGCACGTGTGGACCAGCAGGTGACCCTCCCAGGAAACAGCCAGGTGGAGGACGGAGAGCGGGAGGGAGCTGTCGCAGGGCGGTCGCAGGCATCGCATGTACTGACCCCGACGCACCGTGTGGATGATCACGGTTCCGTCCTGCAGCACCGAGAACACGAGGCTGAGTTCTACTAGAGTCCAACAAGGACTAATGAGGACTACCTTAAAATATTTAAAGGCTGGCCTATTCATGATGAAAAGTTAAGTTAGGATGGGAGGCAGATCTTTTAGTTATCAGGCTCCTCTCCTGTGGAACCAGCTCCCAGCTTTAGTCTGTGAGGCAGACACCATGTCTACTTTTAAGACCAGGCTTAAAACATTTTTAATTGATAGGGCCTATGGTTAAAATCTGATGTTAGCCTAAATCTGGACAAGTGGGGGAGTAGAGGGAGGTGGAGTGTACAGTCGGTAAAGACGGCTCTCCCTTGCCCTGCCTCCAACATGCCTCCATCTAAAAGGCTAGGTTATCCAGAGTTATCTCTGTAGTTATGCTGCTATAGGCTTAGACTGCTGGAGGATACGCTGACCACTTTTCACACTCTACTGCTTTATTCTACAATCTGCTCTTTAACTGTATTATTTTCTGCAATTTCAGCTGTTAACTTTATTTTCTCTCTAAGTGTTTTTCTCCCCAGAAGAAGCTACAATGATGTTCTGCTGAGCTGTGGTGGCCTCATGGAGGGGGCCATCGTCTAGCATACTGCTGCTAACCACTAATACATTCTCTCTCTCCTGATAATAACTTTTTGCTTTCCTTGACGTTGGATGTGCTACTACTAGTTTACCCGTTTAATTATAGATTCACTAGGATAAATAAAATAAAATTTATCTCTCACCAAATAGAATATTTACTAAGAAATCACAATATAACAATAGACACATTACTTTGTCTTTGTGTGTGTGTGTGTGTGTGTGTGTGTGTGTGTGTGTGTGTGTGTGTGTGTGTGTGTGTGTGTGTGTGTGTGTGTGTGTGTGTCTGCTCCGTCTTCTTGATCCCCAGTGAGTCGTGGAGGATGGCTGCTTATACTGAGCCAGGATTCTCTGGAGGTTTCTTCCTGTTAAAAGGGAGTCTTCCTCTCCACTGTCGCTGCATGCTTGCTTAGTATGAGGATTGCTGTAAAGTCACTGACACTAATCAGTGACTCGATGCAATTTGCTGGGTTCCTTATATAGGAAACATTTTTTCTGATTGGCTTAATGAACTGACCTGAATTGGAATGATTATTATGTGAAGTGCCTTGAGATGACTCTTGTCGTGATTTGGCGCTATATAAATAAAATTGAATTGAATTGAATTGAATTAAAGATGTTGGTTTAAAGTTCACGATTTTCTACGTCACTGATTGGATCGTGAACAGAACACAGGAAATGCTGCCATAAAAGCAGAGAAGAGCTGCTATGGAAGCCTGAATAGTCAAACAGGAAGTCAGTGCAGGTTTAAATAAAAACAGCACTTCTTTATCAAGCAGGAGTTACACAAACTATCCTTAAGATTTATCTCTTACTCGAGATCCAGAGACGGCCATATCGAGCTCGGTGCTGATGGCGACGCTGACCACCTCGTCTGTGTGTCCGTACAACACCTGGACAGGTTTGGGGGAGAGACCCACAGGAGCTCCACCCTTCAGAATCACAGGAAACAAAGGAACTAAACCCACTGCTGCACCAGAACACGTGAAGTTTAGCCGATACAAGAACGGTCGGCTGTTCGGACCTGCTGCAGAACCTGCCACACCATGCAGGTTGTGTCTCTGGAGCCGGAGATCAGGTGGATCCCACAGTGGTCCGTTGCTAAGCAGGTCACGATGTCTGAAGAGACAAACGCAGAAAAAAAAAAACAAGAGTAAAACTTTGAGTCTATTCTTCACATCTTCCTTTTTGTAAAAAACTATTTTTCTTTACCCATGTGTCTGATGTGCTGTCCCACAGTCCTGCCCTTGACTAGCGACGTGACACGAAGACTGTTGTCCCAGTGTCCGCCGCTGAACAGCAACTTCCCGTCGTGGGAGACGACAAACAGTCCTGCTGTTACGTCCACACCGGGGGCGAAGGGCTCTGACAGGAAGCGCTGGGTTCTACAAGAAGAAAGGACGACAAGCCTAAAACATCCAGAGATCACATTTTCAACAGACCAATGTTACCAGCTTGTGTCAGCAGGTGGCAGAGCTGAGCAGTGAACCAGATAGATCGATGTATAGTCGGTGAAGCTTCAATATGGCAAAGGACGTCCATAAAACAGACAAACAGCCTAGAGCAGACCTATAATAGACAACCTGGCAGGAAGACTGTTCTCACTTAGTGTTGGACACCGTGGGGTCCTTAATAAAGGTGAAGTAGTTGGAGATGTTCTTGTTGTAAGGCAGCCACCCATGAGTCCCCATCAGGCAGTTTTGGCTCACGGTTACCTGGAAACAGCACAAATTAGATCACTGCATCATTTATTTCATCTTTCATAGGGTCTCTAGTAGAAAGCAGGGTATCTGCAGGTTTAAGGGAGCCAAATTTAAGACTTTTTAAGACCTTTTTTAAGGCCACTTTGACCAAATTTAAGCTATTTTTAAAATTAAAATTAAGCTATAATTCCCAGCTATTGCCTGGAACCGGTGCTAACCACGTCAAGAACGTGGGATTAGCCATCCAATTACCATTAAACTTGCACTTCCCCATGGTGCAAGCACCCACTAACTTAACCAGCTTCTGTGCTCATCTAAAAATAGACCCCTTTCACAACCAACTGAATGTGTACGGTTCCGCTTACGCCAACATTATACACAAAAAAAAGCTGAACACTAACTAGAAATTCACGAAAATTTTATAGAAATAAAATAATTTTGTTTACTGGGTCTTTGGTCATTTTAAGACCTTTGGAAACGGGATTTAATGATTATTTGTCATTTTTAAGGATTTTTAAGGCCTTAAATTTGGAAAAGCAAATTTAAGACTTTTTAAGACTTTTTAAGGACCCGCGGCTACCCTGAGAAAGGTGGTGCCAAATCTCACCATGGTGTCGGGACTCCCCTGGGTGATAAAGGACCGAGACTGATTCTTTGGCACGACGGCTTTGACCAGCGGCACGTTGTCACTGATCCCCTGGAGAAGCACGGAGTGTGTTCATGAGATAACTCAATTAGGCTGGTAAAGCAGATCAATTACAATTAAAGATAATTAACCTCAACAAAGAAGGACTTGAGGTCGCTGAGCTGTTCAAACATGTTGAGAGGACATGAGTCCATCTTAGACTTCCTCTTCTCCACTTCCTCCTGGGACAGACGCACTGGATGGGGCTCCTGAACACAAACACATGGTCAATGGGAGTCAACAGGCCACATTCACTTATAAAACATTCTGTTATCAAATATCATTTCACCACCTTGAGTAACTGGCAGGGGGTCTGACCAAAGTTACTGATCATCCCTTCCACAGCTTTACGCTCTTTCTCATCAGTGATGGCGTCTAGGTCCACCGCTCCTGTAAACGCAGATGCCACAATGGCTGAAACTCTGGTTCTGACTGATCTGCATAAAGCCTTTTACCATCAACCAATAGGAAATGAAGCTACTGAGTGGTTACATTGAAACCTGACAGAAAACAGATCATTATTATTGATTAAAGTAAATTCAAACCTGCGGAAATCTGCGGAGTTCCCCAGGGTAGGGTTTTTGGACCCCTTTCATTTTTAAGTTATATTACGGATTTAGTTTATAGACAAAACATGTAAATTACTACACAATGCTGATGATATGGTGATTATGTTACACAATAATGTTGAAGTTACTTCTGAGATGCTAAAAAGTACAATGGGATCACACAAAAACTGGCTGGTTTGCCTATCTTTAAAACTAGAAAAAACATATTTGGGTTTGGTGTTCTTTGGGTCACGTCACAGGAGGTTTAAATTTCCTCGTGAGGTAGACGTTAGCAGTATGGCTATAGGCTTTGACTGTAGTCTGTTGATTGGACCCACTGAAAATGAGTAATTTTGCACCAAATCAATGGCATTTATGTGTTTTTAATGTTCCCTTTAGACATATTCATAGTAAATATATCAAATCACTTTAAATTTAATAACTAAGATATGGGGAAGGAAATGCCCCGCTTTACTTTATGTCATTTCTTTTTAGTCTTCAGTCTGCATCACAATTTTTGATTCCCCACTCCCACAGCTTCATCAAACACCCCGCTAAAATACACCTAAACCCCTCAATCATAAAAAGTGTGTTGGACTTTTGGAAGCAGTACATCTACGGGTTTTGAAAACAAAAAGCAAAAACTCCTAAAGCTTCCACATACATGACGATTTGGTGAAACAAGAAGAACACCATCTTTGGAGCTCTCTAGCTGAGGTAGACTTTACCGTAGAAACATCATTCATGGTTTTAACCGTTTATAAGGTAGAATTTTTATTTTTAGAAAGGGTTTTACTCAGTCGAAGTTTTGTGATCGTTAAAGGTTTTATCAAGAAATGTTCAACTCAAAACAAAAAAAGCAGTCTTGTTGGAACATTTTCCCCTTACTGTTCACAGTTCTCATAGAGTTCATCCATCCAAATGAAGGTATATTTGTTCTCATTATTTTAAGACTTGATTTCTTTTGAAATCGCTCACAAACAGCTACCATCAAACATGACACAACCAAGGCAGCTGTTGATTGGTTACCCTCGTAAGTGCAATAGTAGAAGACGTTGAGCGCCTCCACAGCGGCGGGCCCTCTCTGCTTGTAACCAAAGATTAGGTCGATCCATTCATGGAGGTGCGCTGACACGTACTCGGACTCCTGTTGGAGTCGGAAACGCATCAAAGACGGTACAATATTAAAGAATTCTTGAAGAATAACAGGTCAGTATGAACACAAAAAGAACATTTAATGTATTTTATAGACTTTATGTCTAGTGAGAATAATCTCCTAACAGCATTGGAGCTAAAGCCAGGCCTCACCAGAGCTTTACGGTGTTTGTAGATGAAGTCCTCAGGGGATTTGGCCCATTTGGGTAGAACCACATCGTTTACACTCTCCTTAGAGATCTGCAGGCGGCCCAGATCGAAGGCTGGAGGCATCAGGAAGAAGAGGGAAGATACGTTGAGAAAAGAGGAGTAAAGGATACTGTTGTGTCCTTGGGCGACACTTAACCCACAATGCCTGCTGGTGGTGGTCGGAGGGACGGGTGGCGCCTGTGCTCGGCAGCCTCGCCTCTGTCAGTGCGCCCCAGGGCAGCTGTGGCTACATCGTAGCTCATCACCATCAGTGTGTGAATGTGTGTGTGAATGGATGAATGATACACTGTAGTGTAAAGCGCTTTGAAGTCCTTACTCTGAGGCCCTGTCCACACGTAGCCGGGGATCTGCCAAAACGTAGATATTTTTCTACGTTTTGGCCTGTCATCCACACGAAAACAGTTTTTTCACACGAAAACAGATCTTTTTAAAAACTCCGAACAAAGTGAAGATCTGCGTTTTCTCCGTTTTGGGTGTCTGCGTGTGGACAGACAAAACCGGAGTTTTAAGGTCCGCAACGTCACTTTCCGCGACAAAAAAATGCTGACATCACGTGTGCGACCTGTGTTTACACTAGCTGACAGCATGGATGCCCTCAGAGCTGCGCTCGCTTTATCAATTGTCCAAGCGCTTTTTGCTTGTTTGTTTTTGCAAGCGGAATTACTGCTCCTTGCGGAAGACCACAGACGAAGGACGAGGTTAAGAACGGGGGAAGTACTGCCGCCTACAGGTCTGGCATGTCCTTAACAACGTATTTATCCGGGTACGTGTGGACAGAGTTTTTTTTTAAAACAAGGTGGTGTGGATGCAAGTTTTTGGAGGGGCGGATATTCGTTTTAAAAAAAAAACGGCTATGTGTGGACTAGGCCTGAGAGGCGCTATACAAGTGCGGGTCATTTATCATTTAAAGGAACATAAGAATGAACATGGCTTCCACTGTGAATGTGATCTAATAGCGGTTAATTCTAATGGCAGATTAAACTGACAACAGATTAATCTAAATGCTGATTAATCAATCTATCAGTTGAACAACAGATTAATCAATTAACTCCATTCATGAGTATTCCATTAAAAGACACTGGATTCTAGGGCTGCAACAAACGATTATTTGGATAATCGATTAATCGGATGGGGTCTCGACACGATTAATCGATTAATCGGATTACATGGGGAAATTTTTAAAAACTGCTAGGGAAACGTTATTTCTCTCCTTCCTTCACTTTATTTAACACAACATTATTAGAAAACAGTTCAATAGCAGAAAAACAACATGCCATCACCTAAATTGTCTTATAAGGTGTATAGACAGAGACCCTAAGCTACATCTATCTGTGACCTAAAATGCTTGGTCCAAGTTAAACAGCTTAAGGGCAATTCTCATCTGTTTTGTTTGATCTCATCTGTTGACATTTATTTTAAATGTAATTAAACATAGGCTGTGAATTTATCAAAATTGATCACTATTTCCAAAAATGACTGAAAAATACCAAATAAAACGTAAAGTAAATGAATGCCATCCTCCTTGCGATGATGCCCTGGGCAACTGCCATAAAGTCACATCAAGAAATGCTGCTGATCATTCCAATGATCCCAAATAGACTCACATTAGGCCACATGAAAGCAACTGAACCCAAAAATATATTAACCAGTATATAACTGCACTCTCACACAACACGCCTGCAGCAACAGTTAGGACTCCTCCCTCCCTTTTAAAAGCGTTTTTGCTTCTGAGGACATTGTGGTTGTAAAACCACATGCTAGTAGTCTGGCCCCGGTGTGATCAACCAGTTTCTGCGGGAATGTGACGGCGGAACCAGGGCCAGATTAACACTTTGTTGTACCCTGGGCAACAATATTCAAGGGCTCCATCATCACGACCCAAGGATCACCATAATGTGGTCACATACAGAATATTTTACTGTAATATGCAGTAAATATACTCAATACTTGAATGCCTGACAACACGTAACCCGCCCAGAGTAACCTTTGACCCACCTCGTGTGCTGACCAATGAGGAGAGGGTCTTAACTTGAGGCCCTCTCTTCATTGGTCAGTCTGCATGAGACTGACTCTCAACTGACGTTCAGTCGTAGGCAGCGAAGCGTCTCTGTGCAGTGCAAAAGCCCGGGTGGACAGTTTGTTTAATGTAGGGTGACCATATTTCCATTTCCAAACAAGAGGACAGGGGATCTGTGCCTATGACGTCACACTATGGCAACGCCACACAAACCATGTTGGGACCCATTTTTTGTAAGAACTAAATTAATATCAGATTCTGCCAATTAAAGGGCTCTAAAACAATTCATATGTAAATATTTTGCATATTTAATGCAAAATCTAATTTTTCTGCTTTAGTGTTGCAACAAGGTTTTATTAATAATAAATTACTATACCTTTTGTTTTACTACAGCATCGGTAAGCTTCCTGTGCACAGATTATTAAGGATGCTTGTTTCAACTGTGAGATTAGACGATAGGATCAATGAAAAAATAAGTTGTCACAAACTCCATGGAAACTTTCAGAGAATCCACAAATAGTGGCTTTCAAATGGTTTTGTTACTTTTTGCAAGTTTATAAAATAAGCAGATGAGACAGCATGTCTGATAATTTAGTTTTTCATCTGATAATATTAGAGCATGTCAGTAATGTCTGAGGGGCTTTTATAAACACCATATAACTAACACTACTGGAGAGGGCATGAATTACACAGAGGCTTCTGGGGAGCCCAGTTATTGGGGGGGGGGGGGCATTTTGCCTTGGCCCCCAAAATGTCTTGAAACGGCCCTGGGTGTGTGACTGAGTTTTGAAGGTGATCTGAATTGTATCAGATGTATAAATATGACATGTGTATAACTTATTGTTTTTTACTGGTAAAAACGTGTAGTGGTGATAAATCTACCTACATTTTACTTTTCAACACTTTGTTTTGTTTTCTTGTTTTTATTGAACTATTTTCCTGTCCTGTCTGTCTCTCATCTTCCTGCATCTCCTCTTAATTCTCCAGAAAATCTGTTGCCTGGATTCTTACCTTTTCACCTCATCAGTTACTTTTGAGCAGGTCAAAGGGATCTCCTGACCGAAAAGCGCAGAGCGCGTTTTCGATGCTGCGTGAGGTGACATCACCACAGCACAGGTGATGAGCTCCGCAGTAGCGCGCTTCAGGCACAAATAAGACAGAAAATAGAGAACATGTGCGGACATGAACGATCGTGTGCTAATTATAGTTTTTTGGTTGCGCCACTTTGAGAATGGACCGTGCGCTGGAAGCAGCTGCCTGGATCGCTGTGCAACAATGCGGAACCGGTTCGCAGCAGCTCAAGTCTGCCGGCTCTCCCTCGCGCTGATCTGCCTGTACCGGCTCTCCCTCACGCTGATCTGCGGCTCTCCCTCGCGCTGATCTGCGGCTCTCCCTCGCGCTGATCTGCCGGCTCTCCCTCGCGCTGATCTGCGGCTCTCCCTCGCGCTGATCTGCGGCTCTCCCTCGCGCTGATCTGCGGCTCTCCCTCGCGCTGATCTGACTTGCTCTGGTCTGCGCGCAACGGCGGGCGGGAAGGGGGGGCGCTTTTGGAAGAGTTGTGCGACACAACGAATCGATGACGCAATTCGTTGCCAACGCTTTTAGTAATCGATTTTCATCGAATTTATCGATTCGTTGTTGCAGCCCTACTGGATTCATGTGAAAATATTTCCGGTTTCAGCTATAGCTAGTGACCATCAGCTGACCTGACAAAACTCACCGTTTAGGTTCTCTAAAAACTCTGGGAAGTAGAAGAACTCTGGGATGAGCTCCTTGACGTCGTTGGGGTTGTCCATGAGGGTCTGCCACGTCGCTGGGATTGAATGGAACTGACGGTCAGCGCAGTCAAACCTGAACCAAGTTAGCATGCTAGCGTTAAAGTGCCGACCTACAGGAACTTCAGAAGAAGGAACAAAATGAAGGCAAGACAGACGTCGTACCGCCCGCTCTGCAGCTGGATGTGCAGGGAGGTGAAGGGCTCCACTCGGATCAAGTAGTGCATGACGCCAGCCGCGTTTGAGTAGTGTGTGCCGTAGTGGAATCTGTCGATGGTGCCTGTTGGGTCCTCGAAGCTTTCGTACCTGGTAAACATGAATAATTCACAACTCAAGTACTTCTAAATCTTCAAGACGATGACTCTATGTTGGACCGATGATTACTTTTCTCTAACTGCTTTAGCGTTGCGTTCGTTTTGCACGGCCACTGGCTTCGACAGGTCCCGGAACACCTGAGGATCAGAGAGGTCCAGCTCCTCTGACGTGTAGTCCGACAGAATCCAGGGAAACTGGAAAAACGCAGAAATGTAATGATCTCAAATACTGATGTTCAGTAGAAAATCTGTGGCCTGGAGCGGTCTTCAGGAGAGGAATGAACGTACCACTGGGTACTGGGAGAGGTCGTTGTACGTCCTGCCTGCAATCGTGTTGAGTTGCATCAAGTAGTCAAAGTTGGAAATCTCTCGATTCACCCATTTCTGTAAAAATAAAAGACACAGATCCCCTCTTTATAAAGGAACACGCTCCGAACAGCTTAGTTACATCAATGTAGGCGCTGCATGGTGGCAGCGAGACGGTTGCAGGTTAGAATCCCAGCGACAGCTTTTCAGCACACAGTTGGCATGTTCTCCCCATACATGTGTGGGCTTTCACTCACAGACCAAAAATATGCAAGTTGGGTTGAATGGAGACCCTAAATTGTCCCCATGTGTGAGTGGTTGTCTGGTTGGTGTCCCTGTGATGGACTGGAGACCTACTAAGCCTACTGTCCACTGGAGATGGTCACATGGAGCAGCAATACATCGATTACATGGTCACGCATCCAAAATGTAAAATCAACAGAATAATTATTTAAAGGGACTTTACGGACTTTTTAATTTTTATGCTCGCGATTGCCCCCTCAGGCCAAAAGCGTAACGGCAACTTCAATAGTAGGCTCGTGCACGAGGCGCGCATGCTGTACGTGCACACTCCTTAACGAAAATAACAGCTGAGACAGTCCCGTGTGTGTGTGTGTGTGTGTGTGTGTGTCTGTGTGTGTGTCTGTGTCCCGGAGGACAGAGGACAGGAGAACGCGCAGCTAATTAATTAAATAATTTGGTTCTGTACCTTTCTCTTCAGCACAGCCGACAAAGGTTTATGATGGGTCAGTCCTCCTGCATGCTCAGATCATTCCCTTCCCTTGCTGGAAAAATTGTTCCAAAATGAAAGTTGAACCCACATCTTTTTTATCTGTGAATTCAATGCCGTTCGGCGAGTCTCAAATAAAAATTTGGGCATCTTACTGTTAAAAAATATACCATTAATGTAAAAAAGAAACTCTAAATGAACTATGTTCACATCCAGAATCGAACCCGGGTCTTCTGCATGAGAGTCAGACATCTTACAAGGTGAGCTACACTCTAGTAACATTCACAGTATCTGTAACTTTTATATCCTTGATGACAGCTGAAACGTCAAACCAAAGAACGGTTCGGAGTGAAAATGGCTATTTTGTTGCTAATTAGCAGGAAATATCTAGAAGAAAGTTCTACAGAAAGTAGCTAAGGGTCCTCAGAAATGTAGCTAGCTTTGTCACTAGGCGTTAGGAACAGCGACAAAGTGGCACTGCCTCTCTCTCTGCTGCTAAAGCTACGGATAGCAAATGCTACGGGCTATGCCTGAGCGTGAACGCGCATGAAGCAGCCTGCTCGACCCGAGCATCTCTCTTTTTCTGTGATTTTACAGAAAAACAGGCAATCACAGTAAAAATGCCAGGGCTCATTCTACAGGACCAGGGCATTGCAGGAGAATGTATGAAGAAGACATTTATTATTTCTTTACATGTTTTGGCTGTCAAACTTCCATAATGCTCCTTTAATAAATCCACCGCTGACACTGTTCTCCAGCTGCTCCCGTTCCTCACCAAACATGTTAAACGGAGAAGCTAGTGGCGTCACGGCGAGCAAGAAATCCTCTCTCCCCTGGGAAACGTTTGAGTTTAATCATTTGTAATTTTCTTTCGTATCGACCAGGGGATCCTAAATTAAATAAACTCTTAAGGGTTTGGTGACTGAATTTGACATGTTGGCTTACATCAACCACAGCCCACCAAAAACATCGCCTAGGCAAGGTTGTCATCAGAGCTGTGACGTAGAAAAACTACAAAGATGGCGTCGGCTCATTTGAGAGGGCTTTGGCATCAACTTTGAGCAGATTGAGGAACTAAATTCCTTTATTTCCTTTCCTTCTTCTTCATCAGTGTACGGCAGACCGCCCTGTTGACTGATTTCCGTAGTATGTTACGTTGTTTGTAGCTCCGATTGGTCCTAGCGGTGTCCAACTGCATGCAGAGGCAGTCTGAAAGACAGCAGTAGATCCCGCCCTCTGACCGAGCTCCGTCTCAGGGTTGTGGCGTTTACTGCTCTGGAGCATACCGGTGCGTGTAAACACGAGGAGGCACCTGCAGTTATCTTCAACTGTTGCTGCTCATCAGCCCCAAAAGGGTTAAAGGTCACAGCAAACAGCGATGAGGGTGAAGTCCTGGTACCCGTCTTTACCTGCGTGAGCCCTGACGCCTTCAGGAGTTCCTGTGGAGAACGCGTTCCGTAGAGGTTGAGAGATCGCAGCAGAAGCATCCGGCTGTAGACTTTGTTTCTCGCCTGTAAAACAAACAAAAAAACATTCTGCATCAGAAACTCCGTTCCGCTTGACTCAGGGATAAAGGAGACATCTTTCTTCTATCACCTCTTTTTTAAAGTTGAGGAAATAGTTCGTCTGGTCAATGAGGAAGATCTCCAGAGCCGAGCGGCGCAGGTTGTACCTCCTGAGGTGGACCTCTCGTATCTGAGACAGCGGCCACTTGAAGTCATGGCCGACTCCTTTAAAGAGAAAACCGTTATTATAAAACCCGGTTTACCGCGGCGTTTCTCCTCCGCCGTCTCCTCACCCTCCTCCTTCTCCTGGCTGCCGTCGTAGAAGTAGATGTGCTGAGTGGTGAGCTCCAGGCGGCCGGGGACCACGTCCACCACCGTCACCAGTTCGCAGTCCTCCCACAGGACCAGCTTCTCCTTCTGACCCGCCTCCTCTGCTTCAGCCCTGCACAGCGACAGAAAAGGAACTGACACGGATCCGTCCTTCATCACCTTTACCTTCCTGCGGCCCTTTCAAACTGACAGGTTGTTGGCGGCGGCGGCCGGATCGTCCTCTGGCAGATCCAAGATGTCGTCCTCCAGGTCGCTGACTTTGACCTGTTTGACGGCCTCCAGCAGCAGAGACTCTGGGTTCGTGCGCTGCTGATGGACACCTGAAGACATCCCAAGAGCAGTCATAACAGAAGACAGATCAAAGGCCATCCAAGGGTTAAAGGTCATTTCAAAACGATTTGAGGTCAGTCGTTCAACAGAACACAAAGGTTAGAACGCTCAGGGAGATGACCAAAATCCCAAGAGCTCCATCGGACTACCGACGTCCATTAGTAGGTCAAAGGTCACGACAGAATAACTAGAGAAAGACTGAAAAAGTAGGACTCTGTAGAGATCAGTAGGAGAAACCCTCTAAGGCACATATGTCAGACTCAAGGCCTGCGGGCCAGATGCGGCCCGCGGAGCATTTTTATGTGGCCCGCGAGATAAATATCAAAAATATATTAAAACTGGCCCGCTGGCCGATTTTACCGCAAAGACTTCAACTCCCATGATGCTTTGCGGCGTCAGCGCGGAGGCGACACGCCCCCTCCTTTGTGTTTTTTCCATTGCCTGCTGCCGCTGTCTGCAGCTCCGCTGTCTCGGACAAACTAAACACTCTCACTCAGCGCCGAGTTCACTCAGCTATTTTCTGACGTTGAAGCCCAGAAACGGAGATTCTAGCCGCTCAGTAACGTGTTCACGACTGAAAGAGAAAGTTTTCCAACTAACTTCCAGACAGAGCTGATATAACTCCAGCGAACAGTGACACGCTCAAACAGCTGTCGTTGTGTTTCCTCCCCGACACACAACAACGTGGTCAAGCTGCTCAGACATGTTCAGCAGCACAAACCTATGTGAGCACCTGTTGTCATCTAACGTTGCCATTATTATGATGAAGATGAACAAAACAACAGGAGTCTCCTCCTCAGCTCAGATCAACCCCATGATGCAGGTATCTGGCTGGAACAGGTGAGCATCACAGTAAACCAGTGGAGCAAACTGAGCTTTAAATATGTTGGTTTTATGCTCGTTTTCTGCTCCAAAACATGAAAGTTAACAGGTGAGATGTTGCTTTTTGATTTAAGATAAAATGATATTTTTATGTTGTTGTTGGACCGTGAGAAAAGATTTAAAAGATTTAAAGATTTAAAAGAATTAAAAAATGCTGATTATACCACAAGTAATGAATACCACTGATGCCTTTTATTTAAAACCGACTTGCTCGTGTGTAATTTGGTTATTCCACATTCAGTGTTAATGCAGAAATATGTTTGTTTCCAAATTTAAAGTTTCTAAATTGCATACATGTTGATAAAGAAAACGTGCAAATTTGCCGTCACTTTTTCAAAAAATATTAAGTTTGGCCCTCGACTCCGTCCCAGAGTTTCATTTCGGCCCCGTGTGAGTTTGAGTTTGACACCCCTGCTCTAAAACAACCTGCTTTTGAACGAATGACACCGAAGTTTACCCACAACGCACACGACGTAACAGCGGTAGGGTCAAACACGAGTCCATCGGTGGGCGCTTGGCCCAAACGGGGACATAAAACAGGACACGCGTCCCAAACAGCAGATCTGACAAAGATCTCAACCCGACGTTTGCGTCGGTCGGATCCAGATCGAGTCCTGACCGACAGCGGCGTCTCCGTACCCAGGTTGTCCCTCAGAGCGCTGGCCTCCCGGTGAGCATCGAAGTTGTAACTGCGGACGAGTTTCAGCCTCATCCTGGAGTAGTTCTCGGCACTCGACACCCTCCAGTGCATCTCCTCCTGCTGCCTGTAGCCGGCAGACACACCCGCGTTACCGCTGAAACCAGCTGACGTGTTTTTAACGAGGGGGTTACGACGACACGCACCTGTGCGCCCAGGGCCCCCTCTCACACACCAGACCCCGCCGTGCTGCCTTCCACTGCCTGAGGGTGGCGCTGTTCTGGCTGTGCTGCTGCTTTAGCATGTTGTTGTAGCGCAGGTTCTCCTGGCGGCTGCGGCGAGAGAACGGCTCCACAAACTGTTCCTGGAAGATTCAAAACATTAAAAACGAACAGACGAGGAAACGTTCCCGACCGGCGAACCGGAAGGTTTAAAACCTGGAAGCGGAGCTTGCTCTCGCCCCTCTCTCTCTCCCTCTTGTGTAGGCTGAGCATGAAGGCCTCGTAGCACTCCTTCCAGTACAGAGCCATGGTCTCGTGACCCTGGCTGAACATCTCGATTTCATACTGCTTCATGTACGGAATAATCTGGAAGAGATCAAACGCCATTAGGAAGCGTCCATTTTCCCCTCTGAGGTCGCCTGACAAAGACGCTCGTTAATGTCTCACGTATTTGTCCAGGTAGACGCGCCACTCGGGTGTGTTGCAGTACAGCTTGAAGTCCTCGAAGAAGGACGGGCTTCCGCTGGTGTCGGGGAGCTGGGGCAGGTGCAGCTCCATGTAGAGGAGGCGGCTGACCTTGGACAGCAGCGTCCGCAGCACCGGAACCAGGAAAGAGTAGATCTCATCCGTCCGCTCCTGGATGGAGCGCCGCAGGATTCCCTCCAGCTTCCCCAGCAGGTAGCACGCCTCGTCCTGGCTGGACACCTCCTTGGTCTGCAGGATGCCGTTGAGCTTGGCGGTTGCCATGGCGCACACCTGGGACAGAAAGGACTGGTTACAGTGACCGTTGTGGGTTTTTAATGGTGCCCGTCTCCGTGTCTGAAAGTGGACAAAAGCAGAGGGTGACGGGTAGAGGGGCTCACCTCTGGGTCTTCTTGAGACATGAAGCCCAGGAGAAGTCTCAGTCCAACCTGGGACAGCTGGAGCCACTGGGATCCAGCCGAGTACCACACCATGAGGCAGTCCATCAGGGTCACGGTCTCCTCCAGAACCTTCTCCGTCCACAGCGCCGGGTTGACCAAGCCCTCGGCCTGCAGGAAGTCCTGCACCATGTGCAGCAGCCGGACGGCGTTCTCCGTGTGCTGGGGCAGCTTCGCGGCGGACGCTTCGCGGTTGTCGCTCACGGCCCACTCCAGCAGACGCTCCAACAGGCTGGAGGACAAACAAACCATCAGCAGGCGTTTCTATGGAAACGCTGAAGGGGTGGCCGACTGACTCGCTGACCCGAGCTTGATCTGATCCACAGGAAGCAGCAGCTCGTTGGCGGTTCCCAGTTTGGTGAGAGCCGAGAAGACCTGACCACGCTCCAGCCACGCAGAGTCGTCCGAGCCCTCCACGCCTCGCCACATCACACACAGGACGATCTCCAGGAGCATGCTGCACAGTTCCTCCTCTGCCCTCTAGGGGGAGACAAACACCAACACTTAGACACCTGAGTGAAGAGACATGTCCTCTGCAGACGTCCTGTCATGACCTCCAGACTCACCTCTGCGTTGTTAAACGACTCCCCCAGTGAGATGTTGTCACTGAACAGGAAGCTGTCCTCAGTCAGACAGGAAGTTGTGTCTCGGTCAGCAGCTTGTCCTGGAAACGGCTTTGATGTTTCCAGGGGAGAGGGCGTGCTGGGCATGCTCCCGGGTGTCTGGGTGCCGTTCTCCCCGCCCTCGTACGTCTGCAGGTGGGACAGGTCTAACGTCAGCCCCCCCGACTTACCCGCCACCCAAGGTTTGAGCGGGAGCGGCGGCTCATTGGAGGTCGAGGAGGACGGCGTGTCCAGCAGGGAGATGGCGTCGCTGTTTTCTAGGCTGTCTAGGGAGCGGGCGTCCCCGATGCTGACGCGGTCGTCCTCCAGACGGCCGGCGCTACCCGCGCGTCCCCTCTTCTCCAGCGGGAGCTCCAGACGGTTGGAGCCGCTGATCCGGTTGAGGTCGAGGCTGCAGGTGCTGACCGAGTCGGCGCCGCGGAGTGGCTGGGAGCCTTCGCCCCGGAGGTAGAGCCGCATCAGGGTGTCCTGCCAGCACTGCTGCTTGGAGATCTGCAGCGCCGCGTCTGGCTGGGACTGGATCAGCTGGAACACCTGGAGAACAGGTGGAACAGACATCAGAACCACGATGCCGGAGCTGCAGGCCGTCACCAGGGCGATGGTCCCTCACCCTTTTGCAGACGATGAGGCGAACGCTGGGTCCAGCCCGGTGAGTGAGCTGCACCAGAGCCATCAGGTCCTTGTAGCTCACCACAGGATCTGCAGAGTGGAGACACAAACCGTGGAAAAGATTTAATGAAGACGTCTAAAGAAAAACCTTAAAGAGGCTGAAGTTTCCCGCGGGGAGCACCGACCCGTATGGAGGACCTGATTGAGGAGGCAGCGGATCAAAGTGGGGGTGATGTGGAGCTCAGAGAAGACCAGAGACAGACCGGTGTACCCCGCCTCACGCAGGCGCAGACGCTGCTTGTTCTTCTCGTAAACGCGGTCGCAGCGAAGCATCCGCTCAAACAGCTGCCGAAAAACGGAACAGAAACAGGAAAATCTATTTTTTCTGACCAGCCTTTCCGTGATTTCTAGAACGTTTCAGAGACTCACCTTGAAGACGAGCTCTCGGAGTCGGTCGGAATGTTTATTATTGAGGAGCAGCGTGTAGCAAGAGTCGGCGGCGGCCGGCTCAAACAGGAGCAGGAAGAGCTGATCTTTAGCCGGGCTGCTCTGGAGGAGGCTGAGCAACATTTCTAACAGGCAGCAAAGCTACAAAACACACACATATGACTGAATTTATTCACTTCACCACATTTTTTTTTAGGGTCGATACTGATCATAAAAAAATCTCACCCGATTAAAAAAAAGAAGAAAAAAAAAACGCTCCAAATTTTTTATATTTAGTTGTAAATTTTTCCTCCCCGTAAAGAACAAAACACCCATGACTGCTTTACACAAACACAAATGTGATAGTGGGCTGCAGGGCGCTGGTTCAGCATCTGGTGAGATCTGCACAGACGGCCCAGATCTTGTTTGATCACCAAGACTAACAGGCTAACGGCTAGTCACAGGATGAGAAAAGGCCAAGGGTGATTTCTGCCCCCCCCCCCCCCCCCCCCAACACACACACACACTTACAATAATGTCAGATTTGCCTTTGATGGTTTTTAGAACTTTACGTTTTTTATGTTAACGTAGCTTAAAACAGTTTAAGTTCTACTCGTATTTTGTGTGATCCTCTGGACGTTTCCTCCTGTTAAAATGGAGTTTTCCCCTCCACTGTCGCTGCATGCTTGCTTAGTATGAGGATTGCTGTAAAGACTCTGACACTAGTCAGTGACTTGACGCAACCTGCTGGGTTCCTTATATAGGAAACGTTTTACTGATTGGCTTAATGAACTGACCTGTACTGGAATGTTTACTGTATGAAGAGCCGTGAGACGACACTTGTCATGATTTGGTGCTAAATGAATAAAATGAATTGAGTTGGTCAATAGAAACATGAAATATCACAATGCGCTAATGTGCTAATTTCTACAAGAATAGCCGCTGCTAGCTAGTGGTAGCACTTCCTGTGCAGCATGGCTTCCTGCAGAAATATTATGTTTACTCCTGAAAAAACGCTAAAATAAGAAACTGACATAAATGTTTACATAAAAAAACATTTGCATCAACTACTGGATATTTTGGGTTAGATCGGGGGTCGGCAACCCGCGGCTCTGGAGCCGCATGCGGCTCTTCCATCCATCTGATGCGGCTCTCTGTGCTTGTAAAATAATGAATGGATATTTAAATAAAATACTTTATGTTTTACTGCATAAATTTTACATCTGTAAGCTAATTCTAAATGTAAAGACTGTCTGCGTAAACCTGAACAGTTCCAACCCGGTCTTACTGTGAGACCGGGTTGACTGGTCACACTTGTGCGTAATCATGCGCTGTCTGAGCTGACGAGGATGTGAGATTCTGGGATTCTCCTCAGACGCCACATTGGAGACAGGAACAAGCACTATTCAGCCAAAGTTTCATCATCAGGGAACATTTTCTAATTGACAAGTCTCTCTGAGTGACAGGGTTTGGAAAACTCTCGCTTCAGTCGGAGGAATCTTCCCGCATGCGCTCTGGTTCTGCGACGCGCTCCAAGCCCCTCTCCACATCTTCAGATCGCTGTGCACCGTACGTACGCGCTGACAGCGAGCTGCGCTGAGCAGTGTCCAGCTCAGATGTTCAGATGGGAATCTTTTCTTGGGTGATTTAGCTACATCTGCGATGTGCATAACGAATAAAATGTCAGTTCGTCTGCTTGCGTCTGGGCAATTCTTTCTATTCTTTCTCCGTCAAAATAAACCGTCAAATACAGGAACTATCCTGTCAACACAACACAAGCCCGGCTTTTAACTGTTCTGTTTTCTTGTGAAAATAGATCAAATTAAACTTGATTAACACCAGAGCCAGGAGTACTGCACCGTTATCTCCGTCACTGTAAATGAGGGAAAAACAAAATGATCGGATCCTTTTCTGACCTTCCCCACCTACAAAGTTTAATTACAACAATCAAACATGACAGAGCCTGGATTTGTATTCTGAACAGTCTAAACATGTTTTAAAAAGAAACGTATGACAAAAGTGGCACCTGCTCAGTAAAACCACCAACAGGGTGAAAAATATCTAAATATTGTAGGCAGAGACGGGCTACAACTTCTGGATCCATTTTATATAAATCATTTTATTGATTATCGTCTTATGAAAGATAACTTTGACGTGCACGAGCGACCGGTACTGGCTGCTGTCACCTGTTGTGATTGGTTAAAGCAGCTCTCAGATGTCTGAGGGTAGGCCCCGCCCACAACGCCGCGGCTGCTGTGGCTCCCAGTGTTTTCTTTACTGTGGGAAACGGGTAATAATGGCTCTTTGATGGGAACAGGTTGCCGACCCCTGGGTTAGAGCTCTGGAATTAGACTAGCTGTTAGCTTATCAATCTGGGCAGAAACCACCCCACCCTCTGAAGTCAAACAGGTGAGACATAAATTCTTTATAACTTTTCTTCACTAGATCATCATCATCGTTGTTCTGGAACTTCAGCAGCTTAACTCGCCTGCTCTTCATCCCCGATGGCAGCAATGTATCCCAGAATGCTTTGCATTTCCTCCTGCGACATGCCCTTGCTGATGTAGTACTTGATGAGGCCGCCCAGAGACGCTCGGATGGTGCGAACATCGTCGTCATTCATGTCGTTCTCTTTATTTTTACTGAAGCACAAAGAAACTTTGAATTTTTTGTTTGAAGATTTAAAAAATATGACTATTGTCACATTTGTTTACCCGTAGTAGAGCCGCGTCGTGTCCAACAAAAACTGAACGCCGTATTTCTTCCTGAACTGCTTCCTGTTGTCTTTGATGATGGTGGACATGTACTGGATGTGACCTGTTGGTGAGAAATCAGGGTGCATGAGTAAAACTCTCTCTCTCTCACACACACACACACACACACACACACACACACACACACACACACACACACACACACACACACACACACACACACACACACACACACACACACACACACACGCACACGCACACACACACACAGACGGACCTATGCGCAGTGGGAAGTCTCCTTTGTTCCAGATGTTGAAGTTGAACAGCAGCTGCGTGTGCAGCTGCTGCAGCAGACTATGGTTCTTCTCACAGGTCACCTGCTCCACCAGCAGCTGCACGGCAACCAGAACGCTGACGTCCACCTGACCCGCCGGGAGCTGCAAACACACACACACACGCACCCGGTGTGAGGGCAGAGTACAGCGTGATGGCACAGATTGGATAATGAGACGCTTTCAGACAGAGGAGCTCACATCATCAACATAAACAGATAAACGCAGAAGCAGGCTGGGGTTTGTTTTGGCTCTGCACCAACTACAGGGTGTGGTGGGTCCCCTACAGCAACTTTCACCACATCTGAGAGATTCAGATTAGATCTGGGCCTCTGGAGGCTTTTATTCTACCCCAGGATTACTAAGATCTGCCTCCTTCTCCGAGTGAAGCACATACATACATACAGATGAACTCTGAGGAGACATGAAGATTTAGATGTAATCCAGCCTGAAGCTCCTCAGTAATTCTGAATCAAACGAGCAACAAAAATGCAGCGATTCAGATTTTAGAGGCCGATACAGATTTCTGATATTTGCACAATCAAAATGCTGACAAGAGATTAAGCTCAAAGGAGCTAAAGTGAACAGAATAGGATCTGATTAATGTGAAAAATAAGAATCTGGACGTAAAAACTTCCACACACAAGATCTGTAATCGCTAAGCCTGTATTACTGTTACAGAAAAGCCTGAGATGCTTGATTTTGGAGATTGAAATGAGCCGATCTATACTTACAGCAACACTAAAACATTTTCCACTTCTCCTTCCTACTAGTTGAAAACTAGTCATAAACAACCCTGCTGCAGCCCGCTGTAGCTAGCTCTAACAACGAGCTAATGCTAACACGAGCTAACTGATTGTAAAATAAGCCACAATGGACAAAAACATTATTACCCAATTCCGAAAGCAACAAAGCCAGGTCACCATCAATCCTCCTTTAGTTCCCCTAAACGAGTGTAGGCTGCGCTGATGTTCGCCTCCAAATTCATTCTTCTCTTACTTTGATTTCCAGTTTTCAGCAAATTTCTCAGTCTTCTGTTGTTTTATTAATTGACGGATGGCAAACTGAAAAAGTTGACTGCTAGCCTTTATATTAGCTACCAGCATCAGTAACCTGCTAACAGCTGCAACTAGGAACTCGTGTTCCTACCTGAACCACAAAACTGTTGAGTGCAGTTTCTGCTCAGCAGAGGGCGACAGAGTGCTCTCTGATCTAAAGATGCTTGTGTTTCGGGCTCAAGAACCACTGAAACTCTTAAAATCCACCCAATAACGGATTTGTTAAGCAGGACAGAGTCAGATATCACCCTGAAACCTTCAGAACGTGCACATTTCGGATGGGACCTTTTGCAGCAGGGCTCCCAGCGTTCCCACGCCGTGCGAGTGGAGCAGATTCTCCTGGTTGATCTGGTGTCTCTGCAGAAAATGTTTAAGCACCAACAGGAACGTGGCCACCAGATTCTTCTCCAGACGCGCCTCTGAAAAAGGAGAAGACTCGTGAGTTCTCCACCCGCTGCAGCGGCACGAAGAGAAATGAACGAGCAGGCGCGTCTCACACCTGAGGCTCTGTTGGTGGGCAGAATGACCCAGTCTCCGTCTGCTGGCGTGGTCACGTCGGGGGTGATGAAGTCCGACACAGCTGCAGGGTCACTGGTCTGCAGGCCAGGGGTCACCAGAGCCAGCTGCTCCAGTACGGGGAAGAGGACCGGCAGGCCGCCCACACAGTTGATCATATCCTGTTAGAGATAGGCAGATTCAAGATGGAGGAGATCTGGTTACAAAGGTTGGTTCTACCGCTCACCTTGATGTCCCAGTTAACGACTTTCTTCCCCGTTAGACGTCCGTGAAGCGCGTTCGGAGACAGATCCAGGCAGATGGGGTTTCTGCAGGCCTGTTGACACAAAGGAGTTAAAGTCACTGCATGACCCCTTCAATAATAACACTAAGTTCAATAAAATATTAAAGTTTAATATTATTCTGCTCTGCTGAGAACTACCCAACAATTAATCTCCTGTAGGGGTCCTGCCACTGTTGTTGTTATTAAAGAAGTAATAAAGAAACTTTAACATAATAAATTTGTTTCCATAAAACAAATTTAGAGAAACTGGGATTTTACTTTCTTTTGATCCATCTTGGAAACACCGAGGATTGACCAAAATATAAAGCTTTACTAGTTTTTGTGTGAAAATAAAGTCGTCGTCTTCCTCCGCTTATCTGGGTCCGGGTCGCGGGGGCAGCATCCCAACTAGGGAGCTCCAGACCGTCCTCTCCCCGGCCACCTCCACCAGCTCCTCCGGCAGGACCCCAAGGCGTTCCCGGACCAGATTGGAGATGTAACCTCTCCAACGTGTCCTGGGTCGACCCGGGGGCCTCCTGCCGGCAGGACATGCCCGAAACACCTCCCCAGGGAGGCGTCCAGGAGGCATCCTGACCAGATGCCCAAACCACCTCAACTGGCTCCTTTCGATCCGGAGGAGCAGCGGTTCTACTCCGAGTCCCTCCCGAATGTCCGAGCTCCTCACCCTATCTCTAAGGCTGAGCCCGGCCACCCTACGGAGGAAACTCATTTGGGCTGCTTGTATCCGCGATCTCGTTCTTTCGGTCATTACCCAAAGCTCATGACCATAGGTGAGGATTGGGACGTAGATCGACCGGTAAATCGAGAGCCTGGCTTTCTGGCTCAGCTCCCTCTTCACCACGACAGATCGGCTCAGCGTCCGCATCACTGCAGACGCCGAACCAATCCGCCCGTCGATCTCCCGATCCCTCCTACCCTCACTCGTGAACAAGACCCCGAGATACTTAAACTCCTCCACTTGAGGTAGGACCTCTCCCCCGACCCGGAGTTGGCAAGCCACCCTTTTCCCCGAGTTGTTTTATTTATTTATTTTAACATATTTTTAATTTAATATTTTATTCTTAATGAAAATAAAGTCATTAAGAATTAAATATTAAATTAAAAATATGTAAAAAAAATTAATTGTGTTTTTTTTTAAAGATTATTTAAAAAAATTTCAGTTCTGATCAAAATGATGAAAAATCAAGTTTGAATTGGATTTTTCACCCGCACGAGTGCAGGAAGTAGAAGGTTAAGGTGGAATGGTCCGGTCACCTTGGGTGAGTAATGGAGCAGCAGCTTGGTAGAAACATCCACCAGTTCTGATTCCTGGACCTTAAAAGGAGAGATGCAGTTTGGACCTGAGCGGGTTCAGGAGGAAAACAGAGAAGATTAAAGACGGGGAGGAGAACCCGGCGTGTCCGCTTCTGCTGGAACTCTGACCCCACCGGCGCTGCAGATGGCTTTGATGTGGTTGGCCTGCAGCGGCTCGTGGAACACCAACACGCTCCCGAGCTGTCCCTGGAGGGAGGTGGGGCTCCCCCACTCGCTGTCCTGGGTCCCAGCTGAGATCAGCTTCGTCACAGACTCGGGCTTTCCCCCCAGGAGCCCTCCCCAGAGGATGCCGCCTAGCGAGGAGCGGGAGGTGGGCGTGACGGTGGGGGAGAAGGGGGGGTCTGGAATCTGGGAGGGAGGAGGAGTGGTGGTGCGTTGTCCGGCGGAGCCAATGCAGCAGGAGGTGAACGTCTGCAGACGGAGAACAGGAAGTAAATGAGAACAGCTGTTCTGTGTGGCGCGGGAAACGAGCCGCCCAGTCTCACCTCAGTCATGGCGGGGTACTTCAGGGGGGCGGATAACTTCTGCTGTCCGTCCACGTAAATGTAGACGAGACTTTGTCCAAACGGCCTTTTTCCTGGGACGTGCACCACGGCGATGCTGTGCTGCAGAGCAGAACCCGAGTCGTCAGACCCAACGCCAACTCGCCTACTCCCCGTTAACTGTGAACTCACCCAGAGGGAGTCGCAGAAGCAGTAGTCAGGCAGCAACACCGTCACGTACTCCTTCTTGGTGCACACGGCCACCACCAGGGCCCCCGCCGAGCTGAAGAACGCCTCGAAGCCCGTCCCCCCTGGGGTGAAAAAGCTGCACGCAAAAAAAAATTCAAAAGAACCACCAATTTTCTTTTGGGCATCTTTAAGGCAAAGTCCAATACGACAGAAGAGCTAACCGCTAGTTGTGCCACTGCGGTCTGAAAACAGCTCCAAACGTCAAATCAGCCACGGCGGTGCGCGCTAGCATCGCTTCGTAAACCCACAGGGTCACTTTACACGGAACCGTCACAAAATGTCTGCTGGACCTGATTTCCAGAAATGCTACATTTTGCTGTTTTTGTTTGTAAATAATTGCACGGTGCGAAGACTGAGCGCCATGTAACGGTTTATAAAACAACATTTTTTGAGCCGTCACGCGGGCATCCAACTAGCTGTTAGCTCATCCGTCCCATATGATGTGAACTCCATTTCTCTGCTCTGAGGTTGTTCAGGAAACAATCTAAAATGAGTAAGAAGTGAATTATTTAAACATTTTACACAGAAACACACTTATAAATAAATGGCGAAAACATCTGTTTGAACGTGACAAGAAGCCAAACACAGGTTTCAGGTCTGTGACGGTTGGATTATGTAAACATCTCAGTCCTGACAGAAGGGTAGCAGCTCTGCAGGTGAGGAAGGAAAGGTGAGGTCATGACAACAATATTCAAATATCCGGCGAGTCACAAACAGACACGACTGTACAGCCCCAACAGGTCATGAACTGTGTGATTTTATATCTAGCTTCGTCTCATCTGAAGCACTAAAACACTCCTGACATGTATCCGGTTCAGTGTTTGTGACGCAGCCTCTCTGACCTGTAGAGCTGCTTTCGCTTGTCCTTGCCGAGCGGTCCCAGCTGCTCCTGGTCTAGAGACAGCCAAGCGTGGAAGCTGAAGGCGGACCCCGGCCAGCGCTGGACCGTCGGAACCACGATGCCGGCCATGCTGGGCGACAGGTCAAAGTACTGCATGGCGCTTTCCAGTCCCTGCTTGCGAACCATGGTCAGGAGGGCCCTCAGAGCCGGACCTACATACGGGTGAGCTTCGTTGGACTCCGTGGGCCTGAGCAGACGTAGGAATCCTAGCAGTTCTCTGGCACTAAGAGACTGTGAGCCCAGTGAGCCCACCAGCCCTAACAGGCTCTCGGCACAGGCCCGGTGGAGCCGCTCGTGGCGTTCCAGGGCAACTAAAGCCCGCATGACCATGGCGGCGTTGACGCAGGTGGCCCGGGTCTGGCGGTTGAGGCAGCAGAGGCGGCGGAGCCAATCGGCCGTAAACAGCTGCAGTTCCGGTGAGTCCAGTTCTGGGAGCCACTGGACCAGCAGCAGCAACGGCTCCACGTTACTGATGCCAAGGAGGCCCACAGAGGCGTGCTCCCCCTCCACAGCCTAGATGGATGCACACGGACAAATACGAACAATAAAGCTTTCATTCAAATGATCTTTCTCTACAAAAGACCGTTAAGTCAGAGTCATTATTTTTGTTCTCCCACGACTCCCCCACGCTTCACTCGAGATTCTGTTTTCAGAATTTTGTCGACCATTTTTATGTGTCAATTAAAATGACACCGCGCCACGTTTGGTTTTAGCCACACACGTGAGAACAGGGGGGTAGAGATGTCCCGTTCCGATATTGGTATCGGATATCGGCCCAAAATAACTGTGTCGGATTATATCGGACTGCATCACAAATCTCCGCCTGTTCTGCTTTAAATTCCACTGCAGCAATTCTATCCAGCAGCGCCCAGCTCCAGCGTGCAAAGTCCACGTGATCAGAACAGTGTTTGCTAGCAAGGAGCGATGTCGGCCATGTGGCGGTGTTTTTTGTTAAGTCCAAAAAAGACAGTTTGGCTCGGTGCAACACTTGTCATGCACACGCTTCCAAAGGTTGAACAGAACCGGGGAAGTTTTATACGTCCACCCTCAATGTGCATTTGAAGCAGGATCACAAAACACTAAATGAGGATTTCACAGTGTGTGAAATTGAAACTTTAGACCAGGGGTACGCAATTCTGGGCCTGGCGGTCCAGTATCCAGCAAGTTTTGGTGGTTTCTCTGATTCAACACACTTGATTCACCTCTGCAGCAGCTCATCAGGCTCTGCAGAAGCCTGTTAATCACCTGCTGATTAAAATCAGGTGTGCTAAAACAGTTACAACTAAAACGTGCAGGAAACTGGACCTCCAGGCCCAGAAGTGAATACCCCTGCTTTAGACACAACTTGTAGCAGTTGGTCAGTGAACAATATTGTGTTTTTTTCCTTATGTCTCTTTCCTCAGCTGTTCACATTTATGCAACCAAAGGTTATTAAAAAGTCCCTTGATCAAGTCTTTTCAACATTGCACACTACGAAATAGGTAAAAGTATGTATGATTTGTGTTGATATCGTATCGGATTGATATCGGTATCGGTCAATACTGAAGGCTGCAATATCGATATCGTATCAGAAGTGGAAAAAGTTGTGTCGGGGTGGACATCCCTATGGGGGAGGCACTTTTATCGGACGCTCAAGGGGGTGACTGCTTCACCCGCTGGACCAGTGAGATGTCGATCAAAAGGTTGAAGCTAACACGACAATGCTAATGAAGATTATGGTGAGAATAAGATGCATCTGAAGGAAATTTTGAAGGTTTACAGTCGTGTATTATGTAGGATTGTAGACGTAGGACTTGTGGATTATTTTTAGGAAGAATTTAATTGGACACTTGTGGATGTAAACACTATTTTTGTTCCATAGCTCTGTTCCATCAGTGATACGAGACTTTGAACAATATTGGACATTATTTTGCATTTCCGAGCAGTTTGACAAAAGTGTTTACGGTTGTGGTTGTATTCTTGATGCATCTCTCCAGTAATGCATACCATGTATATAGAAGTATAGAAGTATACACGTAGAAACAGTGTTGCAAAGTAGCAGAGTTGACCTGGACTTATTCTTTGTCATAAAAACATCACTCTTAAAAAATGATTGGCAAAGAACTCGGACTATGGACCCTTTCAATGTTATGGCTTACGTCCGAGTAATAGCGCACATTACCGGGGGGGGGGGGATTTTTATTTAACTACTATTTTGCTCCATTTATTGACAATAATAACAATGGTTGTCGACATGGGAGGGAAGTATTCTTGCCCTACGTCCAGAAGCCAGGTGGCAAGGGCTTGGGCATCACAAGTGAAGGGGTCTATTGCTGATGCTTGATCAATTAGTTAAATTGCCTAACCTTGATTCAGGGTTGGCATTCTTGTAAAGACCCGTCCAACCCAGTCAACGTAGGTCAGGCCCTTCTTCAATCGCTTAGATTGGAAGTGAATGTCTGTAAATGTAGACGGTCTAGCCTTTAGATTTATTCCCAGCTAGGATAGACTAGATCTAAACTTGAAATTTGTTGAAAATGAAGATGAATTCTGAGTATCCTTCAAATTTGGACAGCCTTGTTGCTTTTCTGTGACACAATTGATCTTCAAATGCGTACTTAAAAGGATGCAGCCCTTGGATTCGGACAAAGCCTGAATCAAATGTAACCCAAAGGCAACATGTGAACAGAGAATGAAACCAGAACAAACACAACACCCTGTGGAACACCATAACTCAACTCTGGTAAGTGTAGAGGACATATGAAAAAACTAAAATCAGCCAAATGATTATGATTAAAACCAAAAAGTACACAAATGAGTTAAAGGCAGAAAGCTAAAACAGCTTTGAAATAAACAAGGCAGCTAAAACAAAAAAATTGACGACTCACCATGTTCATTAGCTCCTTAAGAAGGTGTCGAGATGGCTGACTGAGTGAAATTAGAACTTCATACAGATGATTGTAACCAATTCGCTCCGTAAAAACCTCCTGAAACAGCAACAAGGACAATTAGAGAACAGACTAGCTATGTGCCACAATGTTGGGCTCCTTTTGCCAATTTATTTAAAAATGATAACGGGTAGAATAAGAAACTGTTTTGCAGATGAGACTTGATTATTTGTTGAACATGACAATGACCTTTGCAGCTGGTGATTTATGCATCACAGTTGTCAGGGCTTTGATGGTCGCTACAGCCAGGGAGTCCAGTCGCCCTTGGAAGACCTGAAAGAAACAAAAAAATTCACTCCACTCTTGCTTGCTTTTCATCTTCATTCTTATAGCAGTTGAACATTTTAAATGACAACAAGCATGCAAAGAATTAAAAGCATTGATGATTCATTTCTTTAGGGTTTAAAATCAAAATTCAACACGTAAAACAGAAAAACAGATAAATTGAAGCATTTGAGTTTGATTCAATTAGTTTGAGAGAGAGTTAAATAAAGCCTGTTTGTATCTGCAGTACAAGCTGGAATCAAAACTCATACTGCAAGTGTTTATCCTGATGGTGAAGTGCTGTCTTCCTGCTCCAGAGATGTGACTGGAGCAGGAAGCTCGCCGATATCCAAACACACTGCCTAACAAGAAAAAAAAAAACACACCTTCCCAAAACGCAGCAGAAGCATCCACACGCTTAGCATGCAACCCATAACAACAAGCAAAACCACGACACAGACGCATCTCCAGCCAGCCCAGTCCTGCTCAGGTTAGGTTCCAGTGAACCACTGGTCTGAAACTGAATCAGAGTTTTGGAGCAGCTGGAGAGGAGCTGTGGCAAAAAAACAAAACACTCAACTCATCATGGCACAGTCCAGATCACATCAGACAGTTGCAGGAGTGCACGCAAGGCCATGATGATCGTGATCCAGGTGAACCCAAAAGTGTATCACAGAAAACCAGGACAATGTGCAAAGGGAAGGGGAAGTGAAGAGAACGCGGGAGGTGTGAGGAAACTGAAAACAGCAAAAATGTTTGAGAAATAAAAAAGCAAAGAAGTCGTTCTACAGCAAGACGTCCAAACTACATAGTTTTGATTTACTTGCTCTGGTTAAAATGATTCAAACCGGTGCTTTAACCTACCGAATTTTACATGAAACACCATTATGTGACAATGGAAACCCCCAAAAGCTTCAAACCTACATCAGGTTAAAGCGGAGTGAGAACAAAGGCTCATTTCTCCCCCTGTACTAACACGACTCGGATCAGTAGAGATTAAAGCTGACGAAATGCTGCTTTGTAAGTAGGAAAAGCAGAAAATGTACGACTTTATGTTTCAGATCAGTAAATAAATTTCAATATCTGCCAAAGGCCACCTGATGAAATATAAAATGTAGTTTTTAGATGTTTAAACGAACAACACCCTAACCCAACCTGGACCTGTGTGTAAAATAAAGTAAATAAAGATTTAACTAGTAACAAGTCTCTCATGCCACCGAGGAGGCGTATGGCCCTAACCTTACTGAATTATGATAATTTAAACACATTGGAGGTTTTTCCAGCACGGATAGCCCATTTCAGGTCGAAGGTCCGATATCCTCCATCAGCAACAGGTCCAGACCGTCACACCACCACCACCATGCCTTACTACTGGTATGGTGTTTAGGTGTTTGTAACTTTTACTTCATCAGTCAACAGAAAAGTTCCCAAAGGTCTTGAAATGTTTATTTGGAGTTACTTGTTTAGATTAGTAGCTTCTTTAATCAAATCCACATTCATGGGTTTCCTGCTGGGTTCTTAAATAACCTATCAGTGTAAGTTTCCTGCTGAAGTAAAGCAGTATGAGGGTCTTGCTGTAGAGTGACTTCATGATTCAGGTGCGGCAAAGGATGGGGGTGGGGCTTGGCAGGGCAGGTGGGAGGGTGGGTGACGTTCTTGGTGGTACCTGAGCGTCTCCCTCTGTCTGTAACCTGTTGTTGGTTATATCTTTCTGGTCCTTGTCTGCCGCGGTGCACCTAGCATTAACCAGCTGACACACAACAGGCAACAAGTCAGCTTAAAGAGTGACGGTGGTCAAAAGGAGGGGGACATGGAGAGAGAGAGGATGGTGCATCGGGGGAGGAAAGATGTTGTGAGTGGAGCAGAAGGTGTGAAGTAAAAAAAAAAAAAGCCATGACCCTCCGAGGGGTGTCGCTGTTCCAGCCTTACTGTGAGGAAGAAAACATGCAAGGTGGGAAAAATGCTAACGGTTATACTGCGGTGATGTTTAGATCAGGTGTGTTTACCCGACAGATAAATCCTGAGAAGCTTTATTTATGATCATTTGCTGACTAATATTAGGATTCATTTGCTTGTTTTTATTAAAACACCATAAAGGTACAAGGAAAACCTATTAAAACATAACTTTATAAAAATGCACCGATTGCAATTTTCTAGGCCAATTCCAAATTCTGATTTGTTTTCCCACTCAAATCTTTTCTAATTTTGATTTCTTAAAAACATCATTACCAACTTACTTTGTCCTAAGTTATGCTTGATGAAACATTTTCGTTTTTAAGAAACATTTATTACACTAAACATCTAAATTTTCTCTAAACAATAAACATGGGTTTAAAAATTCTCTATTTGTCTAAAAAAATCTTCAAATAAAATCTTTCAGGTTCCTGAACAGAAGTATTTATTAACTCTACCACTCTTCTATTAAAGGTCAACTTTACTCGTACATTAGCAGTGGCCTCTAGTAGGAATGAATGCCTTATAAGTCGTACTCTGGGGTAAAAAGCTTTGGTGTGCCTGTTTGAGGAGCTGAACATCTTATTTCCTGATAATTGGACATCTCATTTCTGATTGGCTAACAGCAACACGACTCTACCACTGACTCTGTTTGCTTTGCAACGTTGACGTTTTATCTCCACAAATAACTCAAGCCTCGAAGAGTTCTGCCATGTGGTGGAGTTGCTAATGCTAACGGTTAGCTTTTACTAGTGTTGTCACGTTGTCATTGTGATCTGTATGTAAGCGGATGTCTAATGCTATTGGCTAATGCTGAGTGGTGCTCAGTTCGAATTGCATGGGAGGGACAGGGGGCCTAGCGATGGGTACTGAATTCGGTACTTTTTAAGGTACCGACCGAATTCCATAGTACCGACTGAGCACCGATTCACGTCATTTGAAACGGTGCCTCGTTTCGGTACCCGTCCTTCATAACGAGAACCTGCCTAGACAGCTGCGCATGCGCAAGAGCGTTATGTCGTCGGTCCCTGTGAGCCAGTTGTAAACAGAGCAGCATGGTAGAAAGAACGCACGCTAACGCTTGGGTCCACTTCACTAAATGTGATGGGTAACTGGGTGATGATGAAACCAGCGACAACGATCTAAGTGAGACATCCTCATCTTAATCTGCTCCGGTAGGTAAATAAAATGTTTAAGATAACGTTAGCTTGATATGTTAGCTTCCGTTTTGCTAATGGTGCGCTCGCTTTCTCCTCGGAACTCCGAATTTCTGACTAGAAGAACATGAACGCGCTCTAAAGTTTGGCTTCACTTTACTAAATGCGACGGGTGATTGGGTGAAGATGAAACCAGCGACAACGATCTAAGTGTGAGGCATCATCGTTTTAATCTGCTCCAGCAGCTAAATAAACTGTTTAAGATAACGTTAGCTCGATATGTTAGCTTCCATTGCCACCATTGTTATCAGCTAATGGTGCATTCACTTTCTCCTCGGAAATTCTAACTTCCCAGTAGGAAAAAATCAAAGAAAAAGGACGGCAAAAGGAATGAAGATACACAGTAAATTTAGTTCACAGTAAAGATGTTTGCTTCAGTTTAATTATCAGCTTATAAAACTACAAGGACGATGTTAAAATACAAACAGTTGAATGTTATTTATCGTGATATTTATCAAATATGTTCACATATTGAGAAAAAAATATATTTAATTATAAAAGTGAATTAAAATATTAAACACTCAAAAGTATCGAAAATTGGTACCGTTAAGTACCGGTATCGATTCGTAGGTACCGGGAATTAGTACAGAATCGATTCAAATGTCAAAGGTACCGTCTTTCCTTCAGCCATTTCTCTCCTGAATCTGTAGATTCTTTTACCATCCTTTTATTATACTTTTTTTATACTTATTCAGTATGCTTATGGATATGAGTGTGTGTGTGTGTGTGTGTGTGTATGCATATATGTATATATGTGTGTGTGTGTGTAAATGAACATGTGTGTGGGTATACATGTTCTTATGTGTTTTTTTTTATGTATTTTTATTTCATTCATTATTATTTTTATTCTCATTTATTGTAGTTGTTGTATGTTTTAGAGAGCGAACATCTACCAAAGCTAAATTCCTTGTAAATGTAATTTTACTTGGCCAATAAATCTGAAATCTGAATCTGGGTACCCATCTCCAGCAGAGACAGGAAGCCCATTCGCCTTTAATTTAGTTTTAGGGCATTTTACTAATATTACCAAAAGCTAACATCAAGTTTTACTAGTAGAAATTAACCGATTAGCTACGGTATGTATACAAACCCACAAAGAGTTCAAATTAAAAATAAAATCAAAGGAGGTGTCACGGCTGCCAGCCTTGAGTGAAGAGCAGGAGCCAGGATCACCCAGCCCTGGTGATCAGCCTGACACCGCCCCTCCTTCTCCTCTCTCCCAGGCTGCTGAGGAGCACAGCTGAGCTGAATCCTGCTAACACCCGTATAAAAAGGCTGTGCCTTCAGCAGTCTGGGACGCAGCAGTGCAGGGGCTCTGCTGTCCTCCAGGTTTCGTTTGGTTTAACCCCTTTTCGTTCGTTCCTTCGGATGAGTTTTTACTTAAAAGTTTAAACTCTTGTATGATCTGAGGGATCTTTTGGGTGCAGTTTGTTTAAGTCTTACCAGGTGTTTTAGTCAGTAGATTGTTTTAGACTTTTATCAACTTCGTTGTGCTTTTAGAACACCTTTAAGCTTTTAACCAAGTTTTAACCAGGTGTTTTTATAGTTGATAATTTGTCATTGTGATGTTAACCTTTTAGAGAGATTTTGCTAGTTTTTAGAACCTTTTTCAACAATAAAACCATTTTAATATCCACTGTCCAGTTCTTATGTTATCTGAAATCTCTCCACTGGTTGCCCGTGCAGTTCAGGATAAATTTCAAAATTATGCTTCTGACTTACAAATCCTTGAACCATCAAACTCCTCCATATCTGTGTGAACTTGTCCATTACTACAACCCGCCGCGTGCTCTCAGGTCTGAAGATAAGCTCCTCCTAGCTGTTCCCAATGCACGTTTAAAAAGCCGTGGAGAAAGGGCTTTCTCTGTCTGTGCACCGAAGCTGTGGAACGCATTACCACTGCTAGTGAGGCAAGCACCAACAGCTAGCATTTTTAAATCACGCCTGAAAACTCACTACTTCAACCTAGCTTATACAACATAATTATGACCATCACTTACATCTGCATTGTTTGAAAATAGACTTTACAATATTAACTTCCGTACTATTGAGGTTCTTTTTTAAAATGTTTTTCTAATTTTTTTTATTCTCCCTGTGTCTTATTGATTTTTAGCTGTTAGTTTTGGGAATTTTGTTGTATTTCCTTTTTATCTTTTATCTGTGTTCGACATGATTGTATAACGCCGGTTTAATTAACCAACATTTTTAGTGTACAGCGCCTTGTTTGGTTGTAATGCCTTGTTGAATGCCCTTTATAAATAAAATTGGATTGGATTGGATCCCCATCCTTCACATTTTACCAACACATGTCGGGGACGTAACAGGAGGGGGAAAAAAAAGTCTTTGTGTCATCGATCACAGGAAATCAGCTGCTTCCAGTCATCTGCTCATTAATCAGTGCATTCCCAGAGCTTTAAATGATTTTCTGTAATTGCACCATAAAACCTAAACTACAAGATTGTGTTGATTCCCGTTTTCATGTTCATTAGACTAACAACAAGATCAAAGGTTCTCACCTTGCTGTTCTGCAGCAGGCGGATCAAATGCTCAAAACAGTTACTGTTGAGGAAGATGGCTTGTAGAACCGGCCTGTCGGAGCACAGGAACATGTCCCTGATTGTGTCTGCGGGAGAAAACCAACAGCTTAAACAGACTTAGTCCATCTAAATCAATAATTCTTCCTTTTCTAGTCTCTACCAAGCATGTGGACTTGCAGCGCCACAAACCGACACTCCCAGTGTCGGCCCGGTGTGGAGACTCGGCCCTTGGCTTGTTGCTGCTGCCGAGCTGAGATTACCACCGCGGGATCCGAGTTCAGCAGCTTGAAGTAGTTTTCTAAAACGGAGGCGATTTCCACCTGGCGCTGGTCGGAGCTGGAGGCCAGCAGGCACTGCACCACCTCTCTGAGGCAGCCCAGAGTCAGCAGGGCCATAGGGCTGACGGTCTCGCTGTCCCAGTCCTCGGTCTCGTCTGACGAGTTGCTGCCCATGTAGCTGTCAGCCAGCACTCGCATCAACACCTCCATGGTGGCTGGAGAGATGGCAAGCAGAGCGTTCCTCTGGACAGAAACAGGACTAGATTTAGAGTCTTGCTCATTAATATTCATGATATGCAAACATCTCTCTCCTCTTACTGGCTAGCAGCAACACGACTGTTCTGCTGCCTTCGCTTGCCCTTTATTGGGTAAAAAATGCAACGCTGATGTTTTATCTCCACAAATAATGCATGCCTGAATGTGTCTCGCCCTGTTGTGGAGTTGCTAATATTTTTCATACTCTGGTCTCTAGGTCTCTAGTAGGAAGACATGCAAGTGGTTCTCTGGAGGAAAAAAAGCTCTGGTGCACCTGTTTGAGGACACAGGAATCAGCTGGAGAACGTAGCTTCAGACGGCAGGATTAGATTCTTATTTCCTGATATTTGGACATCTCGCTTCTGATTGGATAACAGCAACACGACTCTACCACTGACTCTTTGCTCTGCAATGTGATGTTTTATCTCCACACATAACACAAACCTGAAGGAGTTCTGCTGTGTGGCGGTGTTGCTAATGCTAACAGTTAGCTTCTATTAGTTGAAACGTGCTCTGCTCTCTCCTGGACGCTAAACCGACAGCCTTACTGTGATGAACTCAGATATTCCGTCATCAGAATGCCAACAAAACATTAAGTGTTGATTGTTGACATTTAGGAGAGGCGGGGCCCACCTGATCGTCAAATACACGTTTTTGCATCAAACACTTTAATGCATAAGGTTTAAAAAATGTACGTCACTAACTGTTAAAGTATAAAAACAGCCTTCTTTTATTGCAGTGAAGTTCAGAGCATGTTTAGTACACAGTAGAGTCTTAAATAATGAAGGGTTGGAACTGATCCATGACCAGTAGAGACCAGAGTAGTTATTGAGGTTGTTAAAAGAGCCTCTGACCTCCAGGTCAAACCCCAGTCTCACCTGATCCCCGGCTACGATGGCCCCAAACAGGTGCAGCAGGCAGCATTTCAGACTCTCCTTCAGGTGCTCGCTCTCCTGGAAGCACTCTGGAACAAAAGCATCTCCATCTTAGAGGTGGCTGTACAAGTCCTCGCTTGTTCTTTCATTTTAAAGAAAACATGAATGAAAGCATAAGAAAAAAAATCTTTATTTAACAAATTTTCAGATGAGGAAGGTCAGTAACCCTCCAGCTTAGATATTACACACACACACACACACCAACAGCACAAAAACACTCTGGCATTGACCTCCGAGTCACGATTGGCCAAGTTATCCATTAACTCATCTGTCAACAGGTCCAAGTAGGGAGACATTTTTGGCTCCATTCTTCTCGTCTAACGACTAAACACGAAACAATTCCTTCTTTAAGGATGGTTTTAAAACACTATCTGATTAAATGAACTTAAAACAGACACATGTCATCATTTATCTTTGGTGAGCTACCACCACACAGAAAGGACTGTTTGTTCAAGATGGCCGCCAGCATGGCTGAAGTGTCCTGACGGGCTACATTCACTATCTGCTCATCTCAAGGCCTGGCAGACAGATGAAGCACAAAGAGGGGATTCAGAGAGGGAAGAGGAGGAAGCAGCAGAGCGGAGTGAGGCTCTTGGAGGAAAAACGTGGCCGAGGGGAAGAGGACAGAGGCACTTATGTGGAGGAAACGTTAGAAAGAGAAGATTTGCTTCTGCACGCCACAACAATAAAACCACTTACTGGTGGAGTAAATAAATGATCAACAAATAGAGCTTCAACCCTTCCTGTTAGGGTTTCTGTTCTGTTTACCTCAGCTACCGAGGTTTCACAGGTAAAGATGCTGTTTTTCAATAGTTAAGCAACCGGATATCTGTAGGCATTTTATTTTGAAAGTTTCCAAATGTTATACACTGCTCCTGTGTTTGACTTCCTGTCTGGTGCAATCTGAGCTTGACATATTCTGGAAGTGTAGCGTATAAATAAATAGGCTTGAAGTGTAAATTTAACAAAACAACGCGTCCAAAACGTAACATTTCGCGGCTGGTGGAAATGTACCCATCCATCATAATGGCGGCTAATTGTTGCATACCGCGTTTCGTAGACATTTCATGATGCTTACGCGTCAAGTGAAAAGACAGAGTAAGCCTTCTTAATGGTGTTGATTTGACAGCTAAAACACATTATTGTTAACAGGACAGTTTTCATGAAGCAAAACCTTTAAATGACAGTTAAGAAAAACATCCGTAAGGTTAATCTGATGGTGTGGTTTGGCTGAAAATAGGAACAAGAGGTAAAATGACTCACGATAGAAGAAGGGAACAAACTCAACAGTGAGTGGAGCTGCCTTGAACTTCTGTCTGCTCCTCTCTACCGAACCCAGCTGCTCCCTGAGGAGGAAAGCAAAAACTTAACTAAACAAGAAACAATCATCTCTAATGATATGCTGATGACACCTTGTTCTATTTGTCTATCAAGCAAGAGGATGAAGAGCAAATTAGGGTCTTTTTGTCCAATTTCAGAAATATTTTAGATATTTCTAAAACTTTCTTCAAAAATGTGGCTTCTCATGCACAGGAACGACCCAAAATGCTGTGATAACTATCCCAAGAAGACTAAGATACCATGACGTCTGGATTTTCAAAAACTTGCTTTTTAGTCTAAAACAGAGTTTCATGAATTTTTCACCCTTCAACTTCTTACGCTTTTGTCAAAAATCAAAGACTTTGAAGGTAATTTATTTTCACACAGTGGTGACAATTTACACGTCTGTGAACGAAAATGTTGCCCTTCCTTCTTCAAAGAAATTCCTTAAGGCTCAATTATGTGCAAAAGAGAGAACATAAATGACTAAACAAAGCTGGTTTAGTAACATTTAAGTGTATAATCTGATTATGGTGTCTCGTTCCTGTTGCGAGGTAAAGTCGTGCCGCTACCCGCTGGTTCGATGCCTCCAGTTGCGGTACGGATCATAGAGGCTCTCACAGAACGCCAGCGCGTGACGAACAAAGTCTTCTGCCTGACTCTGGTCCATCATCTCCTTCTCCTTGGTACGACTCTTCAGCTGTAGCAAAACATCTCATTTAGATTATTTAAAAACTTTAATCTATGCAAAAAAAGAGGGTGGAGTCCAACCTGCTGGATGTAAAGTGTTGTCATGGTGATGATGTGATTGATGTAGGAGCAGGTGCCGATCTCCTCGACATTGGACAGGTTTCTGATACAAACAGTGGCACAAACACACATGTTAAGTTAGCGGTTCCTTACTAAAGTGATTCAACATGAGTCAAAAGGGAACTTCCTGTTTTTGTTAATTATCCCAACCTGCAGATGATGATGAGGAACTTCAGAAGCAGCAGAGCCAGATTTTGCTGCTCGGGCTCCAAACCGTCTGAGGCTTTTTGGACACATTGCAGCAGCTGGTGACGCAAAACCTGGAGGATGTTGTCAGGCAGGAGCGTCAACACCGGCGGAACCTCCTCTGGTCTGGAAAATGCGCGAGAATATGTAACAGTCGTGACTGTGTAGTCTCTTTAAGGTAGTACAAGTCGTTTGTTAGTGATGTCACAAGTATGCGCCGCTACCTACCTGCCCTAGAGAACGTGGGAGAAGCGTGTTGCAGATGGACGTATGGACTGAAACGGACTATATGTTCTTCTCTCTAACTCAAGTGACATTACGGGTTGCGTGAGCTCTGCTTTTTTTTCCATGTATGACTAGATAGCAGCCATTCAACTGGACCTTGGAAGGTAGTTGAAGATGGCTTTTAAAGGACAAACGCTGTGGAATTCCCAGTACGAGTGTGGTTGGGAGCGTTTCACTGTCCTGCAAAGTGTTGTCCGCTGTGCCTTCTCAACTACCGAGTACAACCCAAACGTTACAAATAGGCGAGCCTTTATTAGCAACCGGCTGACTATCGTCTGCAGGATGAAAACGCGATGCACCCAGAAATAAACCTTTTGTCTAAATGAGCAGAAAAAAACCTGCTCTTATTGTGAAAGAATTTGAAAGAATGTACTTCTGACATTCTCAGAACCATGAAGACAGAAACTGGAACTCATAAAACCAAAAATATTTGTTTTATGGATGCACATTTTTCAAATTTTGTTTGACCCTCCCACTGACCCCGCGAGGAAAGTTGACCATAGAGCAGGATTGATGGTTTATCCCTTGGGTCTATGTGGCAGGGGTGAGGTGGTGCTCACTCCTCACCCCTGCCACGTGGACCCAAGGGATAAACCATCAACCCTGCTCAATGGTCAACTGTCCTCGTGGGGTCACACCCATTAGGACAGCGGGAGGGTTAAGTGGTTATCGAAGCCATTAAACGGTTAATACTCGGTTAACCGTAAACTCCCCCTCCACCCCCACCCGCGCACACAGACAAAACAAATCTTTGCTCCCGCTTTATAAACAATACAAACGCTTTCCCGCCTACTCTTTTAACACAATTCTGACGCAGGACCAAAGTCCCACGCTTGTTACAACATTCATAAACTTAAAACAACGTTAGTGGGATGAGAGCTGAAATGTCCTTCAGGACCTGTCGAGTAACGGGTCGTCCGGCATCACAGCGCATTCTGGAGGCCACACTTCTAAGAAACACTTTAGTTTGCTTACAGTGAACTAAATAATTACACCAAACTTTATTTTACCAAACAAACTAGAGGAGGCAGACACCAAGCTGTCACAAAGCAGGAGTCACGGCAGACTGACCTGTTGCTGGTCTCGTTTTATTTAGCTGTGCAGATTTATTTCCATATTTTTTCAGGCTCTCATGTTAGCCTCATTTTTTTTAACTCATTCACTGCCGATCAGTGCGTTTACATGCAGCCGGCAACCCTTTTAAAACCCGAATATTCACAATAACCCGGTTCCGCACGGCCATGTAAACACCGCCAAAAACCCGGATATGCTCATAACCGGGTTTTTAAAAACCCGGTTACTACACCTGGGGTAACCCTTTTCTAACCCGAATGTTTGGTCGTGTAAACTCATACCGGGTTATCCCCATCAAAGCGTGTGTTCTGCGCATGCTCTGTTCACAAGGAATCTTGGTCTTTTGAGTAGCGAGACGTCTTGTATGCGCCAGAACACCGGAAGTAAACAACAAGTTGGGAGCAACATGGCGAGTCGTGGCACAGCACCACAGTTTTGGAGTGACGAGGAAACTAAAGCGCAAACAAACGCGGTCGCTATCTCTTCCGAACTGGGAAACATGTTGTTGCTTTCACGGATACCGGAACAAGAAGAACCGGAAATGACGCATTTTGCGTCTGGACGTAGTCCATACGTCGTGACGCTACCCCAACGTCCGCATTTAAATCGGGTTATGCAAGTTAGAGGTAACTCTTTCTATTTATGCTTGTAAACGGGTTATTCTGATCAACTCAGAAACCCGAATACCGACCTTAACCCGATCATAACCCGGATATTGGCTGCATGTAAACGTACTCATGGACGACTAAAGTCGTCGTTTGAAAATGTAAAACACTGAAAAACGCTGGCAGTGAATGAGTTAACTACTAAATATAAAATGCCCCCACGCTTTGCACTTTCCTAACAGCTTCATTTTTGAGTGAATTTATTTGATAATGTGACAAACTCTTCTTCTGTGGTTTTGATAGTGGCGCTCTCTCGCCCTCTGGTGGCAAAAAATATTTTTGTTTCAACTCCAGATTGTGGCTTAAACTAGAATCCATATCAGCCATGTTTACTGGCTCATAAAACATGATCCAGTTGTTTGTAAACAACAACAATTGAATGATTTCAACAGATATTTGTCGGCAGGTTAAAAATCACCGACCTCCTTTTCATTCCTGAGTTTTGTTACCTGGAAAGGGGCTTTTCAAAGTCCACGTCTAGGCATTGCTCGTACGTGCCGATGAAAATCTCCAGCCATTTCTTGAAGTAGTCTGGATCCCTCTGAGAAACAAAGGCCAGCAGAGAAAAGAGATGAATGAGTGACGATGGAAACAAAGAGAGGACAACTATGTTGGTGGCCTTTGTTGACAAGATGTATCAAGCTGAACTTTAATGGCTGGAAGCCAACATGGCAGGAAAAAAGCTTTTGAATTATCGGGTCATCAGGTCACATTCTTAAAACGGCAGACGCTTCAGGTCTGTGATGCACAGAAACAATGGTAACAATGACTCCAGACGGCGTGTAACTTTTACACGTCACAAGGTTGAGAACTGTCATTGAGAAAGTGGAAACACGTGTTTAAAGGAGACGCTTCCTAGAATGTGGAAACCTAAGAATCCACCTGTTAGGAGAGGAAAACCGGCCCGACCGCATTCTGACGCCGACTTTCTGGCGACTGGTATAGCGGCATTTTCTAAATTCCTTGAGGAAAAGATAAGGATCGCAACATCAGCTGCAGTAACTGGAACTAACTCAGAAGTTCAAGAACACTAAAAAAAAAAGGATCTAAAAAGAGAAGAACTGGGATTTAATATGTTTGATAGCCAGACTCCAGGTCTTTAGTTTCCACAACAACGACCACCACCAACAGATCTGAGCTGTTGACACAGACAACCACCAAGTACACCTGATGGGTGTGTGTGGCTGTAATATTACCACATAGATATATTAGTTGTAGATCTAGTTCAAACATCCTCGTGTGTAATTGGTCTGCTGGTTCCTCAGGAGGAAATAATTCATCTCAGACTGCTTATTCCTGGTCCAACTCCAGCAGTGATAGGGAGGGACACCCAGGACAGGCCTCCAGTCCATCACAGGGACACACAGAAACAAACAACAAGTCACTCACTCACTCACTCACTCACTCACTCACTCACTCACATGAATGTCTTTGGCCTGGTTTAGGAGAAAATCGGGGAACCCGGAGAAATCCCACGCAAGCATAAGGGAGATGATGCTACCTCAGTGCAAAAAAGGGTGCAGCTGGGATTAAAACCTGCAACCTTCTTGTTTCAAGGCACCAATGCCACCACACATCCGTGCGTTTCCAGTTTGATCCCCAGGCTTTGTAGCCAACTTCTGATGGAGATCAGACAGCCTTCATCTCTCCAGGCTTTTCTTGCTCTGATGGCTCTACCGTCCTGTTTTTAATTATTTCTTCCAGTGACGTCTGCACTTGTACTTTCTTATCTTTGCTCATGGCTACACTCACAGTGTGCTGGGCTTAGGCTAGCTTTAAGTGAGTCATCAGTTCTTCATAGGAGAGTGATTATCAGCTTACAAACCTCCACCTGATCCCATAGGAGGGGTCATCAGCAGGGTGTGAGTGAGCATCTAAGGTCATTTAGAGGTGGGAAGGTTTGTAATCATTGTTTTATCATATAAAAATGAACGTGAACCTTTGGAGATATGGCCATTTCCCCGCTAATGTCCTCCTGTAAGGTGGTAAAATAAATACCAAAGACTTCCTAAATGCCAGAGGAACACTGGGCCAGAAACTGCTCTGAAGGTATTTGCAAATTAGAGTTTAAAAAAAAAGTTCTCAGAGCAGCACAGCCATCTGGCAGCAGAGGGGGAGAGGAGCAGAAAGGCTGTCAGGCTCTGTCTGCGTGTCAGAGAGGACATCAGCCAAAACCAAGCAGAAAGTCTGAGTCTGCTCCACGAACGGGGGAAGTCATCAGGACAACGCAGCAAAGTGTGTGTAAAGCCAACGGAGGATAAGCAGCTCCTCTGGGACACGTGTGTGATCGTCGCCGTAGCTGCACAAATCAGTGCCAACTACAGGAGATGAACATTTCTAATTAGCAACAGTTTCTAACATCTACTGTGTGGATATGAACACCTCTGTGGGATAACCCATAAAGCTGTGTGGTTCTGTGTGTGTGTGTGTGTGTGTGTGTGTGTGTGTGTGTGTGTGTGTGTGTGTGTGTGTGTGCCTGCGTGTGTGTGCGTGTGTGTGTGTGTGTGTGTGTGTGTGCCTGCGTGTGTGTGTGTGTGTGCGTGTGTGTGTGTGTGTGTGTGTGCCTGCGTGTGTGTGCGTGTGTGCGTGTGTGCGTGTGTGTGTGTGTGTGTGTGTGTGTGTGTGTGTGTGTGTGTGTGTGTGTGTGTGTGTAAGAATGTCCTGCTTTAGGCAGCAGCTTGAGAGCACAGATGCCCATTGAGGGTTTGGACCGTGGCAGACAGGGACACACCCTGCTCTATGTGGCTCTGTTTACCCTCTCACACACACACACGCACGCACGCACGCACACACGCACGCACACACACACACACACACACACAGGACTCTTACAAGTGATAATCTTAAACTCAACCACCTTGTTTCACCCACACCGATCTTGTTCCCGTGTAGTTCAGAGTCGATCTCACGCCGCAGCAGCGTATCATTACCCTGAATCACGCCAGGGCTCTCTGCAGAGCTGGTACACCACATTCTTAAAGATCCGCTTAAGTTGAGCTCTGTAACCGGGCACCGCTGAGACCGACTAATCAATAAATTCCATTCTTAAAACGGCGATTCCCATCGACCCGCAGATCGGTGAGATGTGCTGAGTAAAAGCGCTGATCTATAATCAGGATCGCCCACATTATTCATCTCATGGATTTTAAATTAAACTACGTACGTACGCTGAAAAACTATGGTCCACTTTGAGTTTTTATGCTGCTTTATGATTTGTCTATGATGTGTCCAAATTTAGCGGCAGCATCCTTCCAAGGCTGCATTCAAGGCTGATTACATCACAGCAAAGTGACAAGGCTTTCCAACTTGTCCTCAAAATGCAGCCCACAAACACGTCCCCATTGGGTCTGGTGTATCCTTACTGTCCTACCCTAACCCAGCTCACATGGTGGCTTCTGTAGTTCTTCATGTATTGCCACTAAATTTTGGCCTGGCAAGCCGTGTGTAATATAAAGAGTGGCCATGACCCATAGACAGAGCTCAGCTCTCTCCATGCAACTGAACAACGTTAGGACCAATCAGAGCAGCGACCAATGTAATGTATTCATAGGATAAGTCAACGAGGCAGTCCGCCACACACCATAAAAGTAGAATAAGGAGTGCATCAATCGGCCCATGCCTCAAAAAAACCCTCAAGTCTACATTGTCCAACATTGACGCCAAAGCCGTTTAAAACGAGCGCCATTCCTGAGTTGACACCATATTTGTAGCTTTTCCTTCATCTTAGCTCTTAGTCATCATAAAAAAATAAAGTTGTGCCATAATGGCACCAAGCTAGCCTTACATCTCTCTACAAAAATAGAGAGCTGTGACTGGCCCAACCTAAACTTAGCCGAGCCAATGGTAGTTAAGCTAGCTAGCCAAGTTGAGTTTTCATTTCCGTTTTGCGCCGTCATGGTTGCTGGGCGATAGGACACACACTGAGGTAGGGGTGGGCGATATGGAAAAAAAAGGATAAAAGATTTCATCCATCCATCCATTGATAGCCGCTTATCCAGAGTCGGGTAGCGGGGGCAGCAGCCTAAGCCGAGATGCCCAGACTTCCCTCCCCTGGGCTACTTGAGCCAGCTCCTCCGGGGGAATCCCAAGGTGTTCCCTGGCCAGGTGAGAGACTTAGTCCCTCCAGCGTGTCCTGGGTCTTTCCTTGGGTCTCCTCCCAGTTGGACGGGAAAACCCCCACAGACACTTTCATTAAAAAAACTATAATTATTGTAAAATACGGTAATTCAAATTCTATTCAGAGGTGGCTCATATCCTATCATCCACAATAATGTAAGTAATTTTTTCTTGTCCAGATTTAAAAAATCTATCCTGTTAAGCTAAAATCATGATGCATCCTCATCTCCTGCATCCTCTAGTCAGGATTACACACCCTATTACACTCTTTTTTTTTGTCCCTTACTGCTCTCCGTAGCCGTTTCCTGACTACGCAGGGGAGGAATTTGGTATAAACAAAGCTCTAGTCGGCAGCCACGGTGAAAAGGCTCGCTAAAACACAAATGAACATCCCCAAATTGCAACGTTTAGAGCACATAGGTTTCCTGATCGAGCAGACGCATGAGAATACGTATCATGACCGCTTAGAGACTGAGCAAGCTAGCAGCTAATGCTAGCGGCTAGCCGCTATAATCGAGTATGTTGTGCTTCTTTAAAGATTCATAATTGTTTATGTCCGCATCTTAATGCATCGATTATTAAATTACTTTCCTCAGCTCTACCGAGCACCCCAGCTAAAATATCCAACACGCTGCCCTAACCTTGCTCTGATTGGTTCATTGGTATGTTTGTCATGCTGACAGAAGCTGATTAGCAAATAGCAGGACTCGGCTGAAAAAAAAAGTGGCGTAGACGCGTCCAGAAATAATGGTACAAGCATCGACATATAAATGTTGGACAATGGGTTTCCATAGCTCCAATAATAAGTTGTTGTGCTAAAATGGGAAGTGGCCACCACCGCCATTTTGACCGTGTCACAGGTTCCGTCAAGCCCAGATGATTCCACAAAAGGGAAGAGAGGTGGAGCTGAGGGTGGGGCAGCTGTAAGGCTGGGATCAACTGACGACACCCGGTCGAACTAGCTACAAGCTAACCTGAAGCTAACCCAAAGCTAACGCGGAGGTGGGAGCTAAGCTAACGGAGGTAGCAACCTAGCTACAACCGGAGTTAACTGTGCACAACACCAGAGCTTCTGAGTCAGAGATACGCCGGGCTGACCGCTGGGTAAAACCGGGTGGAACACAGAGGTCTCCCGAGAGCTCCACAAGCCGATAGTGGGAACCCAGCTCCACCAACATGTTATATTTCAACCCATTTTCTAAAGTGCAGCATTATGTTAAATGCACTGGGTTTTACCCTATTACATTTAAATTTCATGGTTAAACAGTACATGTTAAAATCTAAGCTCAGCTCGGCAGTGACCTAAAATACATAAATATAATTTTATTTACCGAAAAAAATGAAGTGGAGACTCCTTGGACGCTCTATTAGTGCAATTAATGCCACAGCAAGTCATTTTGTCCAACAATTGCACAAAAAATATCC